CCCTGGCAGAAGGCAGGCCGAACTAGGTAGGAAGACTTGGTCGTCCCACCCGTCGTCCACCCCCACCAAGGAAGAGCTCTCGCCCAGCAGCCCTCTGACGGGATACTACAGCCGATTGACCAAAGGTGGCTAGCCTTCAGCCTCCCGTGTAAAGAGAAATCCAGGCCGAAGCAGTGTGTTGCCTTTCAGCTCAACTACCAGGATCCCTTCATCCTCCCTTACGGGTCCCCGCACACGGCACAAACATGCGGGTGGTTGCCCCCCCTCCCCCTCACTCTCAGTCTTTGTTGATAGTGAGGCCGCAGGCACCAACCACTTAGTGTCCGCAGTAGGTGTGGATGGGATAGGAAATGGGAAAGGATAGGTTTTGTGGGATGGAATTGCGTCTGGGTGTTTCTGTTATATCTGTTTCGTAGGGAATCAGACCTAAAACAGGCGGCAACCACGGGAAGGATGACACCCAGACTTGCCATGGGGATCTACACGACTGTTGCGCTCTCCCCCATGACCATTCGCCGTGCACGCCCTCCGGACAGGAGGGCGTACCAGGATTGGATCTGCTCCAGGCGATCTTGGCCTATTGGAGCACACCCAACCCCGCCCAACACCTAGACTCATATATAATATTTAGATGTTTGAGGGTTGTGATTTTAAAACATTCGTAGTCAGCTGTTCAGCTTTTTAATAATTAATTAATTGGTGACTAAAGAATTTTTGTTTTGAGTTGTTGCGAGTTGTTGGTAGGTACCCAATTTATGGAGACGTTAATGAGCTGAGATAAAAAGTTACTTACTCGTCAGCTGTTTCTTGCATTCTAGTTAAGTAGGCAGGTGTTGGAGTTTCTAAGGATTGGAGTTTTGTAATGCGTAAGGAGAAAGCACATTTTTTTTATTCTATAGAAGGATTTTTAAGCTATTGCATAGCTTTTATCGCGGGCTCTGAGCGCGGCGCGGCGCGGTGACCGAATCAAGAAATTCTCAAAACCTAACGGAAAATACCTGACACCACGCAGATTTTTTTCTTTAAAAAAAAATGTTATGCAACAGCTTTAACGCGGCAGTCTCCGAGAGTGCCACATGTATTATTTTTTTCAGACGTCTTCAATGGTTGCAACTGATCCGGCGAGATGATTTGGAAAACAAACCTAACTTTAGTTCCTACCAAGTTTGTGAAAAACATTTTAATTTGGAGGATGTATTACATTCATCAAATAGAAAACTTTTAAGAAAGAATGCCCTACCATTGTTGATGCTGCCAAGCTTAGCTAGTCAGTACTAGCTAAGCTGGATCAGTATCCAGGAGTCTCTCTAAAAGAAGATAAACAAACCCAAACTGCTCCGTTGGTAGGAAATGAAAATAGTACACCGACTGAAAATGCAACAAATGAAATCTTTGCTCAAATCTCAACGAGTCTCTCTAGCAACACTCCAAGAAAAAGAAAATTGAAACTTGAACTCCTCCAATGCAGAAAGAAAATAAAATAATTAAATCTACCAATCAAAAAACAACACGCATTTTTATTGAACACTTCCTATTCAATATACAAAGTATTTCATTTATTTATATAAAAAGGATATTTACAATCACAAATCTAAATAGAAACAGAAAGTAGGCAAATATAATTAAAATGCTGGAGACGGGCAGCCCTAACGCATGTTTACGTACCGCGCGGCTGTAGGCATTTATTTCTATTATGCGGCCGAGTTACACTACTGTATTATAATTGTACCGTGCCCATACTCTCCGACAGAAAAAGAGCACAAGAGTAAAGAGGTACGGGGGTTGCTTCCAAGAACGATCATGTAAGTCACCACAGCAACTTTTTTGCTTGGTGTTATAGCAAAGTTTTCAATGGATTTGATCTTAAGGTATTTTCATTAAAGTGTTCATCAAGTGTGTTCAGTGCATCCGCTAGTGATGTTTCAACCTCCTAGAAAGAAGACGCCTGAGCAGTAAGTGCAAGGTCGTCTACATAGACAAAGCGTTGAGTCCCTGATGTTTTTGGCTGGTCATTTGTGTATATGTTAAATAGGATTGGGGCTAGTACACTGCCGTGTGGATGTCCGTTTTTTTAGAGTATGCCATCTGCTTTCAGAGCTGTTTATGTGAACCTCGTACCGATCCGAATCCTTCATCGTTAGTTATTTCTTGAACCTTCAACAGTAGTCTTCTAATATTTACGGTGTCCAAAGCTGCTGTAAGGTCCACGAATACGACACCGGTGACGTTTTGGGTTTCGAAGCCATCCTCGGTACATGACTTGCCGAGTCGAAACCCAGCTTGTTCTGGTATGCGAGATAAAAGGTATATAAGAATGACATAACAGTGAAATCAGGTGATAACTCTTTGGGTCTGATGGGTATTTGCCGCCTTAAGAATGGCTACAACCTTAGCTCGTCGCCATAATTTGGGGATCTTCAAGCCTTAAAGACATGAATGACATGACTGCACGGATGGCGTAATGGTTTAAGCGATCGCCACGCCGCTTCCTACTACGTTGAGTGTTGTGGGTTCGATCCCCACATGGGACGACACTGTGATCCACAAATTATTGTTCTGAGTCTGGGTGTTCTTTGTGTCCGTTTCATGTATGTTTGTAAAGTCCCCTCGACACAGGATACATTCCTAATGCGGGAGCAGTCTTTATAAAAAAAACATCTCCAAGAGACAGGATACGGCCACAGGTGATAGTTCTTTCATCTGTTCGCCCGTTATATCATCTACTTTACCATATTTAGGCTTACCACATTTTAAAGATCGGTAACCAGACACGATCCCGGTCAAGTTGAAAGCTTTACTAATGATGTCTGTATCCTTTACTGAGGCATAAGAACATTTGGACTTAAGCAAGCGATGTTTTTTAAAAGTTGGTGTGCATCATGGTTAGTCGTTACTTGGCCAGGATCAGTTGCTTCGGGTGGGGTTTATGTAAGTTTTTAATAGTCGACCAAGCTTCTTTAAGATTGTGCGTCATATCCACAATGGAGAAAAAATTTATCCACCTTGCTTACGGTCTTCTCCGACTAAACACATAAGCCCTCACCAGCCTCAAGGGTCTTACTAGAGAATAGATCTATCTCACACAAAGATTGATAATGAGACAACAACTTTGCAGAATCGTTATTAAGACCCGAACGTTAAACTTTCGACAGCCTCGAGGGATGTATTGCCGAGATGCTTGCGCCTGAGTCGTCTGCGATACCTGGCGGTCGAGCTCCGCCATCTCATTCGCATGACTTGCTAGCAGAAGAAGACGGCAGAGTTACACGCACTCTCGCTCTGTAAAATGCCGCCAATCATGTGCCGCCAAACCGAGCGAGAGAATTCCCACTCCGATGGCCGCCACGAGGTCACGCCTCTGCTCCACCCACGCTAGGCATTCTGCCAGCTTGTGGAGCGCCGTGTACACGGTCCAGCCACCGCAGTGGTGGCACTCAGGCTTACTGTTGCGAAAGCATCCTTTCCCAGTGATCATTTGCGTCAGCCGGTATGAAAACCGTACAACCCCCGAGTAGAATTTCCTGCAGGAGTCCCTTCATGTTGGGCAGCAACCGCGACAATGAACGCGCTGCTCCAACCAACTTGGGGACCAGACCTCGGAAATGATGTCCAAAGTCCCATCGGCCACCGAGTGCGAGTTCCAGATAGCTCATCAAGGGCTCGAGGCCGATGCGAGAGTGCTGTCCCTTGACAAAAGTTAAATATTTGTTTTAAAGGTCCATGATGTAATATGAAACAATAAATGAAATATTTAATTATAATCATTAAAACCATAAACTATTCTCTCGTTTGATTACATTTACAGTCAAATCCAAAGGTATCCGTTTGTGACATATTTAGCCTTAAAGCGTTGATTTTAGTTTCAGTCAAGCGACCCTCCCCCTCCTATCCAAACGGTACTACTATTTGGAGATCTGAAAAAATATCAGTAGGAACACGCACTTGGCCGGTTTCTCTGGATTAAAAGTACCCTGTTAAAAGCACTGTGTCTCCGGGTTTGTTGAAATTGTTCGGTTTCGGGTCCGCGACTCTTCCACGCCACCCAACGGACGTGTGAAAATCCGTCTTACACGTCCGCGTCAGACAGTGCTGCTCGTACTATTTTTCGAAATGCGTGCACCCGCGCGTGTTGTAGCTAGGCCTTAAAGCCACTTTCTAGGGTATACCTGGTTCTCCGGTTCGAGTCCGACATGCCACCGACAGGTGGTATTCAAGGGGATTTCCGTACGAAAAAAAAAAGGCCTTAAAGCCAAGAGATGGGTAGAATTTGGTTCACGTAAAACATTTAATGTAAAGATTAGGGCCACAGATTTTCCAGCAACAATTTTGAGTTACAGACTCCGCGACCTTGAGCTGCTCCATAAACATATAAAATATAGGCAATATAAATCCCCTGCCAATAAACGAACGTTGATTTCAATACACTTAAGCCCGGTTGACGGGCGTCTTATTATATTACCTAAGTAGGACTTAAAATTGTAGAAGCATTTTGGATGTTTTTTTTTATCTTGAACACTTTTTTTTTAAATCGCCTACCTTTTCGGACTTCTAGACGTGGGTGGAATTTATTATTTACCCCAAATTAGAGGGACATGATTCTATGCAAATTACACTAGGGTTGCCCAATTCAGTAGGCGACCCAGTCTGCCTGGTTTTCTTTCTAAGTTACATCTGATGCTCCGGCAAAAAAAAAGTGATGACAGAACACCTTATGGTTTTATTCGGTTCGAGTCCGACAAGATTAGGTGGATTCATTATGTTTCCAACTCCAATTTTAACTACTTAACAACAATTATAACTCGGTGTGTTCGTGGGTCACTGCTGTTGATCCTAGTGTACAGGAGTTACAGTGGTAGGCGTGTGGGAAGGATTAGTCCCATACCACCTAACCATTTAGCCCCGGCTGGTGACGACCTTAAGATGTGTGCTAATAAAAAAAAGTATGTATTATTTTATCTTTATGAGAGTGTAATTACCGTACGTGTCTCTGTTTGGACCAGTTGAGTACTTCGGACAACGGCGAGGATGGTGGCATATGCGAGGTTTGCATCACACAGCTGCGTAACGCAGCCAACTTTAAGAAACAAGTACTGCATACCGAGGAGCAATTTAAGAAGCATGTCAACCACAAGCTTTTTAAACGTAAGTAGTTTTAAAATAAAATATTCTGCGATGATATTCATACTTATTGAAGGCTGGCACCTCCCGCAGTGACATCTAGGTTTTTGGTCATTGTTCTCTTAGGGTCGTTGCGTGATATAACGTAGCTTAAAGCCTTCCTCAATTAATACTCTGATCAATACCAAAAGATTAATTTAAATCTGAGTGATAGTTCTAGAGATAAGCCCTAGCCTAGAATAATTTTGCTATATTAGAATAGATTTAATGACGGTATACGGTCCTAATGGGGTCCTAAACCTAAAATATTTTGGGGATCAAAAAGAGTTAAGGTGCTTGATATTAAAAGTTCATTGGTAGCTTTGTTCGAAAGTAGTTATTTTAAAATAGTAAAAGCATCCTTGGTTCCTTTGAAATTATTATTTCACACGCTATTATTAACTTCACCAATATGTATGCATGTAACGAAATCATTGTATTTGATTTTTATGTACCTAATGTAAAAGGTCAGATTAATTCGAAAGTATGCACACTTTTTCAGGGGCCGATACAATACTTTAATACGTTTCTCCAATTATCCTGATTCGGATAGAAACTTCAGGTTTAACAACTTATTCCATATCTAATCTATGATCTATCTATCGAATCCAATCATACGAAATTTCATCTAAATCGGTTAAGTGGTTCCACACAGTGGTGGCACACTTCCACTCCGCTTTTTAACCTAGGATGATTTCTGGGATAACAACTCCTATAAAAAGCCGATCCTTTCCTGGGGCTCAAACTATCTCTATACCAAATTTCATCTAAATCAGTTCAGCGGTTTAAGCGTGAAGTGGAACAGACAGACATACAGACGTACTTTCGCATTTATAATATTAGTATGGATGTTTATTATGAGTAGTCTGGTTCCATACCATAGTACAGGTTCTGCCTAGGTTGAGATCAGACAACCGAGTGTGAAGTATATCTAGTAATTTTATTATAGTTACAATTACACACCCATTTATTATATTTTTTATATCAAAAGATACATGAATTTTGTAATTTGAAGGCCTTTACGCTATACTTATTAGCCAGACCAGATCTATTATAATAAATAATGAAAATTAATGTAATTATTAAAATATTCTGCAAAATTGACGTAAGAATTTCAGTTTTACCCTACAGTTAGCCCGCACTCTGCAGGAGCTCACGTAATTAATGGTAGGCACCTGCAAACGAAGGGGCGTACAGTGTTGTTTATGCCTTTATGCTTTTGGAATAGCCTGCGTAGTCTCCGAAAAACCTCCATTCAGTCTACGGTTCGGGGTATTTTTTCAAGGCACTCCCGCGAATCTCACACGTGTTGGTTTCTTGATGGCTGTCGTGATGATTTTAGTTTTGTCTATAACATGGAGCGATAACCCGCCTAAGGCGAAGCAGGCTCAAGCCCCTGAATCGGAGAAAAGCCTAGGTCACTTTACAATCATTTCCTTTCTAGCTTTTACGACTTCAGTAATATATCATGTGAAATAGGCTTTCAAAATTAGCTGGTCCAAACCAGAACATTTATTTTTAAACGTAATAAAACATTTTAAATCAAAAGTACACTAATTATTTAACAAGTAAATCCACATGCTATTCATCCATACCCAAAGGAGTTAAGGAGTTTCAGCAACTGACCTGATTCTCAATTCCCTGTAATAATATGATTTTGTGATTTCCCAGCGAGCATAGTGAAGGTGGAAGCCCTAGTGGAAGATGATAACGATTCCGATGACAACAATATGTCGGCCGAAGAGGGATATTCCGGAACAGGTAACTATTATCCATAATCTTTACAAGATATCGTCGCCCCCTTCTTGGAATTATGTTCAGCCGATGATGTCCTGTCGCTGAAATTATAAACACACGATGCGTTGGCGGTGCAGTGCCCCGCGCACCGTAATGAATTCGAAGTATAGGGTGAAACACGGGTAGTGCGGCTCCGCAGTGCACCGCTGTTTGGGAGAATTGAGATAGTCCATATCTATATTATCGTTCTCATTAGTACTCATTTTACAACTTACGATTGATAAAAAATTACTTACGGGAAGAAAAACACGATGCGAGCAAGCACCTACATTTCACAACATCTGTGACGTCAGAGTGGCAGCGGTGCCGCTCCGGCGCACACAACCGGCGCGGCGCGGAGCTGCACCGGTATACCTTAGACTTGTATGTATTATGCCGCACCGGAGCCGCACCGCATCGTGTGGCTTCTCCCTTAGTACTCCCTTTTACGAGTGCCTTTTTCTTAATATCCAGTTCTTAACTCAAGTTACTGTACCTATTTTTCAATTTATTAGAATAAAGGGGGAAGAATATCTCACCGATCTTTTAAACTGTATCTAAGAAAGCTCACTGCAAGTAGATTTCGACTTAAAGAAATTAGTGGTTCGATCTTATCCACGGCAGTTAGTAATCTAAAGGGCAACATAAATTTGTTAAAATCTTTCATCGTTAAATTCTTATCATCCCTATTCCTAAGTCATTTTTAATACATGTTAATCTTTCCCAGAATTCGAAATACCAATAAAGACAGAAACGGAAGAGCCAAAACCAAGGAAACGAGCAGCAGCAGCTAAAGCAACCACATCTCGAGCAAAAAAAGCTAAGAGTGACAACGGCGAGTCATCCTCGAAACGTAAGTCCATTGTAATTACAAATGTGATTTTGGCAGTGTGTGAACTTACCTTTATAGGAAAAAGGGTGTACCAACCATTACATAATCAAACATTTCGAGCGTCTATCCAGTAAGAGTTTATATTGAAGTGCAGGAAGTATACGGGCAGTAATGAGAGCATGACTATTTACAAGTACAATGTAAGTTTATTTAAAGCTAATAAAATTAATTGAGAAATAAATTTTCACTAACTCGATCTGCATCGACACGAGACGGACACTATTCGTTGAAAATATCTAGCTACCCGCCACTATAATTAAATTTGTTTAGTGTCGAAATCTATAGCAATTAGGATAAGCATAAATTAAATTTGTCGTTGGTATAAATTATACAGACTTGTAAAAATATCTGAAAAGATTTACTTACAGAAATAAATATTATTTCATTTATACACGACAGTAAAAAGTTAATTTCATCGAAGACGTGTGTTTCTTCTAATCAAGTCGATCGCAAAGTTGCTCCCCACTTCTAAGCAAGATCCGGCCGTCCCAAGGTACCCGATAGAAATATTTTTCATTATTATAAAATTAGCCTTAAGATTTGTAACTATGTTGGCAAAAGAAGAAGCCGACTTAACAGAAAACTACTGAGTTTTGAATGCAAGAAAATGTGTTAGAGGAAAAAATATGTATTGCTATACTGATGGCCAACTACCCTCAGGACAGGCTTTTAACAACATAGAAAATTTGATAATGCTATTTGCCCTAAGTGACGCATGTGGTTAAAACTACAAGTCGCAAATAATGAAGTTTCTGAAATACTTACAAAACCAATATATGAAGAAACATGTATAAAGGAATCAGTCAAATTAATAACGAGGCGAGAGGATTTGTACCTTACAAATTTATTGAAGAATAATTAAAAGTGCAGTTAAAGGATACCCGTGATTTGCAGACAAAATTCACAACAGAAGAGCAATTTTACAGAGAAATATTTATCAGACTATTATTTATCGAAGAAATAGATTTTAGATTTACCAAATTATTTAAAATGCTTTGATTAAATCCACACATCCTTTATTCTATTTACTAAACAAGGTACACCCTTATAAATATACGAAACTTGAATAGTACACACATAGTAGCTCAGTGAATATCAAATATTCACTATGAAATTGCCATTGAAAGAGTGTACTCGTATGTCACAAAGGTTTTTCCACACTCTGTCAAAATTTCACTTGGAAAGGTATCAGAAAAGCTATGTTATTCACTTTTATATCTCGTGAGACATTGTTGAATACTGTATTTAAAACATTTGATTTAGTTATAAAATACCCGTATTAGATTAATATTGACTAGCTTTTCTAGTTCCTTTCATGTTATATTTCTGTGTTACTTCTTAAGTGCTACAATATTGCAAAATTATGTGCAGACATATCCAAGCTTTTGTCCTAAAAGAGGTCCCAAAATATTGTTAAGTGTTATTCAGCAGTGGAGCATTGTTAACGTGCAAGGATCGCCAGTTCCTACTTGCCACGCGCGTTGGTTTTATCAACTTGAATGTTTGTGAAAATGGTCTAGGTGTTTAGTAAAAGAAACAACGTATATTACGAAGTTTTTCAACGATTTTCTTTTGGACTTCCACAAGGAGCTAATGTAGGAACAAACTTTAATAAACATCAACAAGTTTTTTTGCACTTTCTGAAAATACTATTATCAAGTAATCTATCAAGTATTATAAGCGCTAAATAGCTGCAGTAAGTTTAGGTATATTATTTATTCATATTATCTTCGGAACTTAGCTAAGCCTTTGACTTACTCGATCATAACTTTGTTTGTTTGTTTGTAAAACTACATATTATCGTGTCATGAAAGTTTGTCCATAAGTATCCAGTATAATTCTTTTATAAAATATATTGTGTCATCTGCTATGGTGGCTTGTCTAGGTAGTATTAGTAGTTTCTATTCTATAATGTTAGAATTCAGGAAAACTTTCGATAGAAACAGTTACAAGACCTTACAACAACACTTTAAGGTACCCAAGGTAAGTGATTCGACCATTTGAAGATATTTTTTATCACATTTAAACACTTGGATATGAAGGGAATCCTTATATTTTGTAGGATTCTTAACGATTAATTTTGCAATATTGTCCATTCTTGCATGAATTAGTTTTAGGTAAGTTTCACATTATAACTATAATTTACTTTTTCACCTCGATATGGAAAATCTGAAATATTTGTGTTTGACAACGACAAAATCTGAAACTTTTATTTTCTAATGCAACAAAAACTTCTGCACTCTGAGAATAAAATAAGGAAATATAAAAAAGACTAACAATAAGCCATTGGCCACGTAGTTTAAAGAACTACAGACTGTGCAAATCAAATCGTCAATCTTTATAGATCTTCTTTAGGTGGATTTGAATAAATGAACTATTTTTCTATTTTATTGTTATTGATATACTTATTTAGGGAAGTTGAAATAACGACCGTTATCGTAAAGAGAAAACTGCTGTTGAGTATACAATACATATATATATATATATATATATATATAATACATGCACCTACCGACTATTACTTTTTCCAAAATTTAGACAACTTTTTAGTGGGTAAAAAATTCAATTCCCGAGAGGCAGTACAAAATGCCTTTGAAGAGTTTGTTGCCTCCCGTCCAGCTGATTTTTACAAGAAGGGCATCAATAAACTGCCAATGCGTTGGCAAAGATGCGTCGTTTGCATGGGTGATTACTTCGAATAACAGAAATAAAAAAGTTTGAAAAATAAGTACTTTCACTTATTGCATACAAAACGGCAATTTCATAGGTAAAGACCTATTAGTTTAAACTAGTTAGATATGTAAGATAAAATAATATTTGTCCGTTAGCTTAGACCACTTAAGAATTTACAATAAACTCATTGATATTGAATTTTAAATTTTTAAACAAACTTACCGTACATAAGATATAACCTTAAGTATTTTTATATTATATGGATATGTTGCTTTGGTTCAGCATTTACAAAACGTCTATAGGAAGGTACTACTTACTTCGCTGGCTCAACGACCCAAACTGTGTCTTGGCCTCCGACAACAAAATCCGCCATTATTTTCTAATCTGTGCCGGTTCAGACCACTCGGGCACTTTGAGAGATCAAACACATTCATCATCATTCACATCTAAAAATAAAATAATAATTAATTTATAGGAACTTAATAAAATAAATAAAAATGGTTGACTAGAGAGAATGCCCTGGCCGTTAAGTCCGCCGATGTACAAGGGTGCATAAAGTTATGTAAATAAATAAATAATACCAAGAATGTTAAAGTACTGCTGCTATACAGCTGCTTTGAGAGTTGCTGGCGTTCATGGGCGATGGTAGTCACTTACTGTCAGGTGTCTTTTGCCCATCTATACTATAAATTATACACCACTTTACGACGGAAAAAAATCGTCTGCGATAATTGTACCTTGAATTTAGTGCATTACTCGTATACTAAAAGTGTAATCAAATTTGAAAGGTTTATTAAAAAAAAATGGAATGCCCTGTCATCAGACAAGTAAGTACCAGTCTGTCTTCTTGTTGAGACAAATGTGTTTTATCTAGAAACCTTTTTTTTTTAATTTACATTGCGCTTCAGCATTTATCTCTACGTCCGTTGTTGCTCAAAAAATAGCCTCTCCAAATATCTATTTATGTTTTAAGTGAGCACTTTGAGAGAGAACTTTGTGATCGAAATGCCTTTATCGTGAAATAGTAACATTGCGAAGTCCATGTTACTGATGACAGCAGAAGTGCATATGGAGAAAACTGCAGTAACTCCATCATAAATATGTTTTAATAATCATTGTTGTATAATAGTTTTTAAATGAAAACCAATCTTGATCATGATAACTACGATCGGTGAAAGTCGAAACAAATTAGAAATAGTTAAACTCATGTATTTAGTTTAAGTAGTATATCAAGAAAAGAAAAGAGCGTACTCCTTCCTAAGAGGCCGGCAGGTGACTCCTAAGTAGCAGACGTTCATGGGCGGCGATGGTCACTTTCCCCCTAACATGTCCCCTCTAACATAAAAAAAAGATCTCAAAGAAATTGAAGTTCTTATATGTAATGTATCTGTGTTTAATAAACATATGATACTTGGTATTGATTGAAATTATATTCAATCATGACCATTACATCTACTACATTAGTAGATTTAATGGTTCAAATCTATCATCTATCTAGTAATTAAAAAAAAGTGGGCGTGAGTTTGTCTGTCCTTGCTTCTCATAAGGCTCAACCCTTTGGAAACGGGCGGTTGTAAATCGGCTCTGGCATAATTATAATATTTTCTACAGGTATACATTTATTTTGCTAATTAATTGACAAAACAGATTGTGACACAATAGTGTGTGTTGGATCTATGACTGTAGAGTACTTACGTAAGAGACAATTTCAAACAATTAAAAAAAAGATAAGATATTTTGACTTTGATTTTGTAAAATCTACAAGCCTTGAATAAGATCAGCTTCACCAGTTTATCTTGGTATAAAGTTTCACCAAGTCATTTTGTTAAAAACACACGCACACGGTCGTCTGATCCCAAACTAGGCAGAGCCTGTACTATGGTAAAAAGACTGCTGATGAATAATACTTATATATTTTTAAATACATCCATATTATAGATAAATTACACCCAGTCACAGAACAAATAACCGTGCTCATCACACAATATTTGCCCTGGGTGGGAATCGAATCCACAACCTCCGGTTTAGCAGTGAGGGCCACTGACCACTAGACCAACAAGTAGTAAAGACAATAAAATAAACTCCTATAAACAAGAGTTGATTTATTTCTTTAGTGTCGTATGCGAGCCCGTTCGCGCATTAGCTACGATCAACGTCTTCAAAAACGTGGCCTGCTAGCTACAAATCTATAAACAGTTTGAGCGAAACGGTGGATCTAATAAGACTACTAAATAAATTAAAATTTGAACTGAAACTAATATTTAAGCAAAACTATCGAATATTGGTGTTTAATATGTGGTTCACTACGACAAGTAGTGAACGCGCGTGGTGAGCGTAATCGGGAGACAGCTGAACGCAGCATGGCAGACAATGAAATACTGAGACATGAAATGCTTAACAATCTTTATGTCTATGAAGCAATGTCAATCAATCGGAGCTATAGATACGTTTGGGATATAAACTAAGCATTAAGAGAAAATGTTCATGGAGAATTGTTCGGATTAATACCAGCCGCAAATTTCCGCCATCGTTTCACACGGCAAAAATTTTATCCTCATTACCTAGATAGTTGGCGCTCCACTACTGTGCGCTTTTCGAGACATTTTTTGTCCCGCACAACCAATCTATAGAACGGGTTATCGTGTGCGATATTTCCGGACCGATACGACCTTCAAACCTTCAAGAAAAGAGCGTACTCCTTCCTAAGACGCAGACGTTCATTGGCGGCGATGGTCACTTTCCATCAGGTGACCCATCTGCTCGTTTCGCCCCTCTGACATAAAAAAAAACAATGTTATTGACACTTTCCACTACGTGAACAAATGCATAAGGCACTTAACAGATAAAGATAAGGAATCTTGACATTCTGTTTTCATCGAAACCTTCAACCGACTTCAATTTCAATGGAGTGGATGAAAAATGGACAAGATGTACGAACTACTTTGCGATTTTATTCTTTTAATTTCGTTTTATAATTTTAAGTTTTTTTTTAAATATTAAATTTGTAAAAAGGGAAAAGTACATATTACGAGTATATCATAAATGAACCTGTGTTAAAGATTTTTTATTCCTTTTAAATTTTTCCCTTTGACCGGTTAAAACAATTAAACCCTGAAAGAAAAAAACGATCAGTGCTTAAAACAATCGCCCAGATATCTGAAGAATACTGTAAGAAGAAATCAATGGGAGATAATGAGATGTGCTCGTTTGTTGTAGGAACGGACGAGGAAGCGCCCAAACGCAGAAAAAGGAAAAAGAAATCGGACGAAAGCGCGACGCCAGAACGCGTTGAGCACAGGGTCAACCTTACTGCCATACTACAGTACTCCAACGCTAGTCCTTTCAGGGACAAGACGATCAGAGGCTTCTCCTGCCTCTACTGCGCTAACTACTTCCCTGATATCGAAGAACTGCGAAAGCATACAGCCCAAAAATCTGAAAAAGACAAAATTAACACTATCATAGATTATAAACTTAGCTATAATCCTATCAAAGTAGATATTACTAACCTTCGTTGTACAGTGTGCAATTTAGAAATGAGGGACCTCACAGATCTCAAGGACCACCTCGTCTCTGTCCACAATAAGACTATTCACAAGCATATTAAAGACATAATTCTTCCCTTTCGTTTGGAGAACGGGCACAATTTTACTTGTGTCATTTGTTCAGTAGTACACATATCCTTTAAAAATCTTTACCATCATATGAGCAGCCATTACAGAAACTACTGCTGCAAGAAGTGCGGAGCTGGATACATAACTATTGCAGCGTTAAGAAAACACGGAAAAACTCATGCCCAGGGTATATTCCCATGTGATTACTGCGATAAATCTTATACTTCTCTTACAAAGAAACGAAATCACGAAAAAGGTGTTCACACAGGAGGTTGGCTGCGAAACAAATGTCCGCATTGCCCAGAAATATTTGTTAGCTACTACGATAGGAGCGAACATCTCGTGAAAGAACACAACCAGGCTCCAGTAATATATCCTTGTAACGCCTGCAATAAGACTTATAAAAAGAAATTTGAGTTGAACAGACATATCAAACATCATCACTTGCAACAAAGGAGCTATCTATGCGATAAGTGCAATGCTAAGTTCTTTTCTAAGAGAGGATTAGTAGATCATCTATCTAGACACACGGGCGGTGAGGTTTGCTCCTGTGACGTTTGCGGCAAAACGTTTTCCAGAGCTCGAACTTTGAAGGAACACATGAAAATCCATGGAGACGATAAACGATTCCAGTGCGAAATTTGTAAGAAGACCTTCATGCAGAAATGCAGCTTGAAGAGCCACGTGCGGCTGCATCAAGACGATTTAGATATATTTAAGGAATTTGATGATGTTAAACATTTAATAGACAACAGAGAGTTGACCTTGAAACAGATTGCTGCTGAGAGCAAGCGGAAGGCGCAAGCAGAGAAAATGAAAGAACAATCTTTTGTTTAGCTATGGTTTTATATTAAAAAATCCTCCTGGTAAAATATAATTTGGACTGGTTTTAAAATTAAGATTTCATTTGGTAGGCGGTTTAACTTTTTTAATAAATGTGATAAAATGAGCCGTATGTCAAGTAAATTCTATGAGTTGGAGAGCTTTTATTAAGGAAATTTTGTTTAGTTTTAAAATTTACAATCGTGATAATAAGACTTTACGTTTGAAACTAGTTGTATCTAGTGACAAGCAATAGACAATATAAAAAATATTTATAGAAAATCGTAACCATAATTTTGTATTGGCTTCTTTAAAATTTTCCTTTTTACCATGGAATGTAATCATGCATGTGAATAAGAATTAACACGATCACGTAATTATGTATTCGGCGTCAGAGTCAGTCTATGATCACTTCCAGTGCAACCTTGACGAGAAGTCAGGGCATTCGAAGAATATCTGCTACGCGTGTTTTAATTCCAGTATACATACATAATTTTATCGTTTTGTATCGGATATACTTATCTATTACAAAATTTCTGGCCTTTAATGAGACTGTGAAGACATTGTTTTATAACTATTTATTAATATCAGCGAGTGGATACTAATAAGACTTGGACTTCTCGTATTATTAACGACAAATTTAGTTAAAGCAATATTCGCTTTGACTGACACGGAAACAATAAATCATCAATCAATCACGTCAACATTATCAAACAATAAATACAACCTTGGCCAAAAGTATTAGGCACCCTACATTTTACTTAAAATAAAGGAAAAAAACAACTTATAATTACCATTAAATTACACAAAAAAGAATGAAAAAAACTTAAAATCTAGTCGGTCCACCTTTGGATTTAATTACTGCACTAATTCTAGCTGGCATGCTGCGTACAAGCTTAGTACAATCCTCCCTTGTAATGGCATGCCATTCTTGTACTAACGCATTTTTTAATGCCGTTTTCGATGTGATACTATGCTCTTTAATCTTGCGCTTCAAAATGCTCCAAAGATGTTCAATTGGGTTCAAATCTGGTGACTGCGCTGGCCAATCAAACAAGTCAATGTTGTTTTCAGTAAACCAATGCATCGTAGTCGCTGACTTATGACAAGGTGCATTGTCTTGCTGGAATATAACTCCCTCTAAGTTAGTATCGCCGAAAATACTCGTTAGCGAAGGCATAAACGCAGTTTTAAGCACTTTTATGTACTTTTCGCTGTTCATACGACCTTCGCAAAACAAACATTTCGCCAACCCCATCAGTAGTCATGCAGCCCCAGATCATTATGCTGCCTCCTCCATGCTTTACTGTCGGTACGACGCAATCTGGATGGTATTCTTCGCCCACACGTCGCCTCACGAAGGTCACACCTGGCGTTCCAAATATCTGTTGAAAAAAGAAAAAAAAAACACTTTTTTTAAACTGCCTTAACTTTTATTAATTTAGTTAAATAAATAACTGACCATGATTATTCATAACAAAAGCAGTAAAATTTACTTACTTATACCACATTGGCCCAATCTTCCTCAGTAAAATGTTGATGCCGTAGAGCCCATTCAAGTCGTTTTCTTTTGTTAGCTTCTGAAAGCCAGGGCTTCTTCCTGGCTTTGCATAATTTTAAGCCTGCTTCTCCAAGTCTTCTTCTGGTGGTCCGAGCACTTATTGGTTTTCCAGCCTCTTCGGACAAAGTAGCAGCAAGCTCTGATGATGTTTTCTTCCGATCTTTCATAGATTCGCGTATTAATTTTCTAGCGCTTCGAAGTCACACGTTTTCTGCCTGTTCTTGGTTTATTAGCATGACTGCCAGTCTCAGCAAACCGTTTGATAGCAGATTGCACAGCGCAACGCGAACATTTCACTAACTTAGCAATTTCTTTTTGCGACTTCCCTTGTTCATGGAAAAGTTGTATTTTTACTCGGTTTTCCAAATTAATTTCACTTCTTTTCGGCATTTTTAAATAAATTACGCGTCAATTTATTCACTATGTTAGAAATAAAAGCTTGTTTACTCGTTAGAGTCCTGAACACAAGTGACCAAACATTGACTGATAAGAACGCATACAAACAAATCCTTTGTTTTCAGTCACCAGGTGTTTTATGGCCTTAACAGATAGCTGCTTGCTTTTCTAGGAAGTTATTTGTGACCCCGGCATTCCATCTAAGATAAGCATTTATTCATTGTTCAATCAGTAAACATGAATTGTGCATTTTTCTGGGGTGCCTAATACTTTTGGCCAAGGCTGTACGTCTACAATATCAAAAGTATTGTTATTCTAATTTAATGGATGTGTTTTACTAGAACTCACGCCTTTAAATTTGAGTATTATTATTGACCATTGAAATCTGGATCTAGGAGGAGACACAAAATATGTGAAGTCTTAAGTAATTTAAACCAGCATCTCCAATATTTTATTAATGATTTTAACCATGGACCTCTTAAACAAGTGTTTGGTTGCCCATTCGTATATGTTATCATCTTTAAAAATATATACTAGTACCTGCTAATTGAAAAAGACAAGACCTAAGATTAATTATATCTGTAGGGCGACTTCCACATACAACGATAAATATCCCTTTAATGACATCTAACGAAGACACACTGAACTAAGGAGTAACTATTAATCCTGCATCGCGGCAATGAAAGTTTTTGCCACCATAATTCCCAACATCAACCGGTGAGAAGCAGTCTCACCTCCTGGCGGCATGCCGCAAGGACATAACATCCGTTCTTCCGTATCTCTATCTCGACTTTCTCATAAGTTATTTCGATCGTCTTTTCTTTTTTAAATAAAACTTCTTTACGCACGCTTGACTCCAAGAAGTTTTACTTCAGTCGTGTAGTCTAAAGCACACTCGTTTTTTTTTGTACTTGAGGTAGTGCAACACTCTACGTACTTGCATGTCTTGAGTTACAGTTCGGATGTTAACGCTTATCATGATCCTTCAGTCCACTAAAATCCATTGAAAAGATCCATGATGGATTTGTGTGCACTTTAATGTCCACTTTAATACACTCAACAGATTTTTAACGAAAAAATAATCTTTTAGGATATACTAGTTTCAAAAAATCCATTATAGGTTACTTTCTACTGTCAATTTCGGAAAAAAATAAATCAATAAGAAAAAACAAATTTCTTGAACATTCAATGTCTGAAATATTTCAAATTCAACATTTCTAAGAGTGCGAAAGTTTAAAAATATGTACATAGTAGATTTTTCACTGCATACTCTATTGACCCTACCAAAGTCATAAGACGCGAAGAGAGGATAAAACATTGATTTAAACAAATTAGCGTATGGGTGGGTCCGTAGCTGTAGAGGAAACCGATCTTGACAGGGATCCGCCTTAAGTCCTCGTTAACTTTGAATTCATTCAACATGAGAGTCTAAACCAGTATGATTATGATTAAAAACTACTTACAGGAAGAAACATTACGATCATTAAAATCTACCGTGCAAAAGTAATGTGCATGCGTTGGAATGATTGTTCTAAAAATAGCAATGTGTACTGTGCCACCGTAGACAAAGTATGTCAGACTAGATCTGATTAAAAGTCTTGTCGCTGGCGACATAATAAGGTTTTTTCTACATTATTTTACGTATTTAAAACCCGAGATTTGTATGCAATCATTCCTGGACTACGACTGGATTTTTACCCTTCATGTGTAGTAACATATACACTATATAATAGCTAAATATTGAGAATCGTCATTAAATCTTTAGTTTTATTTTTCATTATACAAATCTAATTTTAGTTATGTTATCCATCTACCAATATGTATTTTAATCATATTTCGAATGGAGTGCGAACGAAAAGAATTGCGTATTTGGGTTGTGCCATTTATACATTAAAAATCACGTCAGGCTATTTATTACACAATTGACACATAATTTTTACAAAAATATACACCGTAACGTTAAATGAACACTTAAACCATTATTTTACTTTTTTTTAATAAATTTATTTTTATAAAATGTGAATATGTCGTTCAAGAGGACTTGCAGAAGTGCTTTTAAATAGTTTTAGTTAAATAGATGATGTCAACATCTCATGTTTTTTAAGAATTGCATTGAAATGTATAATTCTTTAAAGTTGGCTATTTTCTGCAATCAATTAGAAACTCAGTAGACAATTGCTATTTGAAATATGACCATTTAATTAAGACCAGACCTAATACATTTTCACCATAGTATTATTAACTGGAATGTATAAATAAACTTTGCTGTGTTACAAGATAAAGATGTTTCGAAATAAACGATTATTATTCAGAATATGTTTTTTTCTTTTAAATCAACACATATACAGAGCTAGTTATGCCCCCGCAGCTTCATTTGCATCTGTGGTCACTTAGGATAGTGACCAAATACGAAATAAAAGGAATATCTGACTGATAGTGCCAAAGATTAGTGTGTTTAAACAAAAAATAATGAATGTACAAATATTTACTCGCTTAAACTTTAAGCCGAAAAGCCAAATGTCAGAAACTTTCTCTGTTACACTTAAGTCGAATTGCGTTTGTTTCGTTATTATTATGGTTTTAAATGTTTCATTGTGATTGACCCGACTTATAGATCGATTTAACTGTCGTAGTTTCTCACTTAAGAATATCAAACAAATGATGATAAATGACGAATAACAATATTCTGGAACATATTAACAAAAGTAAGCACAGCAGACACTATGAGTTTCAAAACATAGACGGACATGCTTGCTTTATGTTTAAATTTCTAGTTCTTTTAAAATTTAAATGTATTATAAGTATGTCTATAAATATTTTTCATACGACGATACATTTTGCAGCATGCAAACATCTGTCGCAATCGTCTAGTCTTTTTACAGAACTTCTATATCGCCTAGTACTTGGGTTTTTAGGGGTATGATGACAGTCACTTCGCCATCAGTAGTAGACTTAAAACTCACCACAACCTAGTTTGGAAAAAGGCTTGGAGAAAGATTATAGATACATTTAGCAGCAAAGTTCCCCACATGTCTTTGAAAGACAGCTCTAATTGCGTTTTCTCTAATTTAATATCTCTTCAGTGGTATTTTTATACTGCCATAATGAAAAAATGCACTGGAAATAACCGATATTATTATTACATATTGAACTGCTTTACTGCAACTGATGTCCCATACGTCTACTCAAAGGGCGATCAGAATGTGAAGTAATCACCTTTTTTTTTCCGTGCGGAAATCCCCTCGGATACCACCTATCGGTGGCATGTCGGACTCGAACCGACTAAAACCGCACGCCGTCTCGGGTGCCAATAGCCGGGGAACCAGGTATAGCCTAGAAAGGAAGTCCCTGGTGAATATGTGAAGTAATCACCTAATTACTAAGTGATTGAATGATTGAAAAATAACAATGAATTGACAGGAGGAGGACTGGAGGCTGTTAGGTCTTCAAAAAGATACCCTGATACTTTAATTTTTGAAATTTTATTAACTGAGATCAGATCCGAAAACCACCTGATCTTAATACCATAATTCTTACTTATTGTTTTTTTTTTCTGCGGAATTGAACCTCTTAGTAACTCATGTAAAGTAACTCAAAACATGTAAACACATTTTAATTTAAAACCGACTAAAGTGCGTCACTATTTGTATATCTAAGGAGACTGAATCGGGTGTGAAAATTATTTTTCTTTTATAGGCGCTACCGGAGCAACAAAAAAACAACGTAAACGTGCCGTTAAAGAAGAAAACGAGGATGAAACATTAAATAGGTTAATGTATCGCGAAAAACACCTGCCAGAAATGAAGAAGCAGTGGCACAATCTGACCACTCTGCTGAAGTGCTCAAATGTCACTCCATTCAAGGACAGGAATGATGCAGGATACATATGCGCGTACTGTTTCAAAACATATCCAAATCCAGACATTCTTAGAGCCCATACACACGGAGACCATGCTAAAGAAAGACCTTCATATAAAGCTGGTTCTGGAATGGCTAGTTTTGTCGCCTTTCTCGACATTGTTGATTTAAAATGCACCCTTTGCGATCATCCTATGGAGTCACTACAAACTTTAACGGAACATTTAATATCCATCCATGAAAAGAAATACTATCTAGGAGTCAGGGACTATTTCCAACCATTTAAGTTATCGAATGAACAGCAAATCAACTGTTGTCTTTGCAACGAGGTTTTCCATAACATGAAACTCTTGATGCAGCACATGAATATACACTACAGGAACTTTATATGCACCACATGCGGAGCTGGATTCGTAAACTCTTTTCGTTTAAACAGACATGAAACTACTCACGGTAAAAAGAAGTTCAGTTACCCTTGTAGGCATTGTGGCCAAGTTTTTGCCGCTGAATCCAAAAAGAAAGCGCATGTGAACACGGAACATAAAGGTATAGCCGGTGACAGCGTTTGTCAGATTTGTAAAGCTAGGTTCAAAAATTATTACCAGAAAACAAGACATATGATGCAAGTTCACAATGCAGAAGGTATTAAGTGTGATTTATGTGAAAAGAAGTTTAACTTAAAATCAAATTTGATGCTGCATATGCGGAGTGTGCACTTAAAAGAACGGCCGTACGAATGCTCAGTTTGTAGCATGGGTTTCTTTATTAAAAGGCACATGCTGGGCCATTATATGGCTACTCACACCAACGAGAGAAAGTTCAAGTGTGAAGTGTGCGGAAAGGCGTATGCGACACAGAACAGTAAAAGAAAGCACATGAAGAAAAATCATGGGATTTCTAAAAATATGATGGTTCCTAATTTGGCGGTTCCAAATATGCCAAAGTAATATCAGTGGTTGGACATTTTTACTGGAGATAGATCAATATACTATTTTGGCGATTTTGTAACACTTAAAGAGTATATAGAACTTTTGTTTAGTTATGTAAAAATACCAGCTTCGTAATTAATGTAGGTGAATTTAAAAAAAAAGTTTTTTTTTTCAAGTTTAGTAACCACAATGTGAACTGTTAATATAAGTTTGAATTGGAAACGACTAAATATAAATGGGTGATTACTGTACCACTTGTAGATGTATCTCCAGTGTAGATGTTGAAAATTATTCTCGTGATATATTTATGAACTAGTGACTATTGTAACTTAGGCTTAATTTATTATATTTATATTAGCTTATCTTTCTATCTTTTAATTAAAACAATCCTTGAATAAATACATTAAAACCCCAACAGCAATAATACTTCTGATTCTTGCAATTGTACCGAGTCCTTTTACTCAGTTGTGATGATGTTTGGGTTCAGATTTGAGAGTCCTCTAATTGTCCAAAGTAATCTCTTAAGCCTAGTTTACATGCTTGCTGAGGTTTGGCAAACGTCCACAAGCTCCAAGCCGTTACAAGCGCTTGGATGCCATTTGCACGCTTGCGAGTGTGTTAATGTGTTCCGGACAGCGAAACATAGCAGACTTTTACGTTGAAGTTGTGTCTGCTATTTCGTGTGGCTTGACATATTTTTATTCAAAATATAAACAGCGACACTAATCATTCGATAAATGGAAAAAAATTGCTCAGCTAAACTGATTAACCAGTAGTTGTAGGGGAGCCCTAGAAACCGTGTTAGATTAAGATAGGAGAAATATCTTTCACCTAGTTTAGTACCTCCGCCATACATGAGCCCAACATATAGGGCCGAGCGTCTAGGGCAGTCCATCAGACAAGTTTAAAAATTGTTTTTATTTTGCAGAATGCAAGAAAATTTTAAATGACTACATAATTATCCGGGCCTTTATTTGTAATATTTTGTAAAAAAAAATATTCACATATTCCTAAACATCAGATTTAAAATACCCTGCAAAATTTTCGTCAGATTTTTGGCTAGCATGACAAGAACATTAAGCTGAACCGTCTGTAAAATCAAAATCTAACACGCTCGGGTATTTCGATGTCGAATGGCGATTTGTTTGCACTTTCGATAATTCGCTACGAGCTTATCACTTTAAAATCGTCAGATATTTCAATGGGAGCATTGTCGCCATCTGAATGACATATCTGCATAACATCTGATGCGCGCCCGAATATTTTTTTAGCTAAATTAAAATTGTTTGGGATAATTCATATTAGGTACATACATACACTCGCGCCCATTGCCCCGAAAGCCATGCCAACTGTAATTTTAGTACCACTTTCGTAAGAGGTGGAAAGCCTATTGCCGTCAACCGGAAATTTTAGGAATTGGATGGAAAAATTAGTAGTATACTAAAGGAAAAGATAGGTAAGAAAGAAAGGCAGTGGCGGGAAAAGGAAATTGTCTATACGGATGGATTGGGGAATGTAAGCAATGGCTCGAATGGGTCCTGGTCGCATATCGGCAATATCTTTTTTTTTTTAACGCGTGAAACCCCCACGGGCCGTCACCCGACCGGGGTTTACGTCGGAGTGGTGTGTCGGAATCGAACCGACTAAAACCACACGGTGTGCCACTGTGCGCCTGTTATAGGAGGGATCGGGGAACTGCTGCGTTTAAGACATCCGGACCCCTCCTAGCGCCTGCCCGTAACGGCGCGGGCACCACCTTCGGGTAAATTCTCTATTTTGGCACCGTGTCGACGGAGATGGCTTGCGCGTTGGCCGGAACTCCCCCGTATCGACAATATCTTTTTTTTTTTTTTTTTTTTAACGTGTGGAAATCCCCTCGGACCGTCACCCCTCCGGGGTTTGCGGCGGGGTGGTGTGTCGGACTCGGACCGACTAAAACCACACGGTGTGCCACTCTGCGCCTGTAACAGGAGGGATCCGGGAACAGCTGTTGTTAAGACATCCGGACCCCTCCTAGCGCCAGCCCGCTCCTGGTGCGGGCTCCGTCTCAATGTAGATGTTCCTCTCTTTAGGCGACGTCCGGCACACGCGGACGCCGCCCCCTCGCGGCTGGCCAACTAATGCGGGTGGAGGGGAAACCCACCCCGTCCACCCGCGGCCACACTCAGGGCGGCATGAGGCTGTGATAGGCGGGCCTCCGCCGCCCGGTTCGCCGGCGGCGGATCGGGTCCGAGTGGAGGTCGTCCTCCCGGGCCCTCTCCGCCGCCTCCTTCCGCGAGATTACTACCTCGCAGAAGGTTGCGACCGCGGTAAAACAACTGTCGCTACCGGCCATGGAGCGTACTACGGCCGGTAGCGAGAGATCCACTCCGATGACTGCAGTGAGGGCCCGGCGCTGCGCCGCCCATGCGGGGCAGACCGCCAGCGTGTGCTGGGCCGAGTCCTCACTGCAGTCGCAGTGGTGGCAGGCGGGACTCAGTTCCCTCCTAGCGACCGTGTGCAGGTACTTTCCGAAGCAACCGTGCCCGGAAAGCACCTGCGTCAGTCGGAAGGAAAGGGTCCCGTGCTGCCGCCCTGCCCACTCGGCGATGACCGGCTGGAGAGCCTCCACGGCGGCGAAGCCAGCGCGTGGAGTCTCCAGCCGGAACGACCAACGAGCCATCGTGGCTCGGCGAGCGGCTTCGCGCCACTCGCGCACATCCTCGGGCGGAGGGCGAAATCCGCTCTCCGCCCGGTAGTCAGCCACTCGCCGATAAACTTCGGCGAGCACTTCCGCCTCCAAATCCCACGGGGGAGTTCCGGCCAACGCGCACGCCACATCCGTCGAAACGGTGCGGTAACCGCGTATGGCTCTGACCGCCATTACCCTCTGAGGGCGCCAGAGGCGTACCCTATTCTGGGCGGTCAGAGCCGCCGCCCAATCGACAATATCTACCCTAACCTAACTTGATTTATGATAGGTCTTATTAGAAAAAAATATACGACGTTATACACTTTTACTTTAATAGTACATACTCTTATCCTTTGTCACTTTACACTTTTTAAAAGAAAAGAAATAAAAAAAATTGTCTTAATGAAACGAAAAACAACACTTAAAAAACTTTTTAATTCAATTGCTAGTGTGCTTTTCACAACATGTCTCTACAAATGTAATTAAAAAATGTATAAATCAAAAATTAGTTTGAGATACATACATACATGAGATTACAAAACCAAACATTGAGAATTTTAATTCAGTACTTTTCTTTGTAGGTGTCGGCTGCAATACAGACATTAAAATAGAGCCGGAAGTAAGTAAACTACTGAATTTACTCAAAAAGCCGACATCGATTACAAAGAAAGATAACAGAAACGATTGCAACCTTACAGTGGCAAAGAAACGTCATAAAACAAAGGTATTGGACGGATTGGTGGCCATAGAAACGAACTACATAAGCAAAGAGATCACTAAACATTTACACAATATAAGGACCATCCTCTTAAATTCTAATGCTACCCCAATAAGAAGTTACAACGGAATAGGATACACATGCTGTTTTTGCTCAGAACAATACCCTGTACCTAAAGATCTAAAGAAACATACCCTTGACAATCATGATAAAACTGTCAAAGTAAAGTTTATGCAAGGATGTCCTTCATCTATATATGTAGTCAAACTAGATATAACAGACTTAAGTTGTGAACTTTGCAGTACTGAATTCAAAGATTTACAAACATTTGTAGAACATTTACAAAATGATCATCATAAAACACTCCACACAGATATAAATGATCACATACTGCCATTCAAATTTGAAGGCGAAGGTTTCACTTGCGTTATTTGTTCTAAGAACTTCGAAAGGTTCAAGTTAATACATGAACATATGAATATTCATTACAGAAATTATATCTGTGAGGTTTGCGATTCTCCCTTTGTCAACAAGAGGACGCTTAAAAGTCACATGTCAAGGCACAAGCAAGGGGAGTTTAATTGTAGCTTTTGCGCAAAAGTTTTCGACACCCAAAACAAAAAAACTAACCACGAAAAGTTCGTCCACACCGGTGATCAAAGAAGAAACATTTGCCCATACTGCAAGGAAAAATTTCTCAGCTATGCTAAGAAAAACGAGCACATGGTAGAAGTACATGGTGTAGAGCCTCTTGTGCTGAAATGTAAAGCTTGCGATAAAACATTCAATAGACGAGATAAATTGACACGCCATACGAAGCGAGACCACTTACTTGAAAGGCGGTTTGAATGCGACCATTGTGACATGAAGTTTTATGGAAAAAGAGATCTTAATACGCACATGGTTAAGCATACTGGAGTGAAGCAATATAGGTGTGAAGTATGTCTTAAGGCGTTTGGGAGGAGGCACACATTGAGAGAACATCTGCGTATTCACGCAGACGATAGGAGGTTCAAATGTGAACATTGTGGACAAACTTTTGTACAAAAATGTAGTTGGAAGAGTCATATGCGCTCAAAGCACGAAGAGTTTGTGCGAAATAATCTTGTTTGTTAATAGACTTAGGGCCTTAGGGCATACTTCACACCTTAGAATTATTAAGTTAATATTGAATTTGTTTATGTTCTGACTGTGAGCTTCAAAACAGTCTTTAAGACTTCCAGTGTGTAGCTGGAAAGGGCATATGAGAAACAGGCATGGGGAGTTAGTGTGAAGTTAGTTTATTTTCAATTTCGCTGAGCGTGAGTTTGTTTGCTGTCATACTAATTATTTTTATAATAATAAAATTAATGTTAACATTCACGTTATTGATTTGTCATCATTGATTAGCAAATAATTATTGCTATTCAATTTTAGGTTTCCGTCTTTGTTTTGGATTATAATTTTTCTTTGTCTTTTAATCATTTCATCGAGTTGGACTTTTCTATTCTTTAGTAATTTTATTTGAAAATCAAGTGAGTTATTTTTCTGTCTCTATCTTCATAAGTTTCTTTAACTAAGTTTAGTTCAACTAAATTATGTTATTATTTTTGGGGCACAATTTTTTTTTTTACTATATGTAACCTTGTGTGCCATTTTAATATATTATAAGAGCCTCTTATAATGGCTCTCAATCACTTGTATGACGGCGTATGGTCGATGAGTCGCGTAAAAATGAAGTATAATTGTTGTGCATGTAAAAATATTTATCTAAAAACATCGAACTTAATGGGTTCCTATTTCGATTGCGTTACGTCGATTATATCTTCAGTTAAAGCAGTACAGAGTTTAATCGTGATATTATTAATTCCGCAGACACCAGTCAAATGATTTCAGTAAATCGGTAATCAAAATATTACGCGACCTACAGCGGGAATAAATAATCGAGATATAAAATAACTATTTACTTTTCTTTGTAGGTGTTCGACGTAACGCCATCGAAATGGATAGTGAAAAACGAATGAAACCCAGAATATATGAGTTGGAAAAGCACCGCAGTAACGTACGAATTATCCTTCAATGTTCAAACGCAACCCCCATTCGATGTATGGGCGGCATCGGTTACGCCTGCAGCTTTTGTGGAGACGAGTACCCAGACCCTGCAGACTTAAAAAAACACACAATCGAGGCACATGACGATAAAACTAAATTAAAATTTATGGCTGGAAAAATGATGTTTTCATATTTAGTTAAACTAGATATTACAAATTTACGTTGTAACATATGCGATGCTCAAATCGAATCGTTAGATCTTTTAACCGATCATCTCCTCAAAGACCATGGAAAACCACTGCATACAGATATCAAAAGCCACATAATGCCTTTTAAGTTCGTTGATGACGTCCTTAAATGTATGTTCTGCTCAAACGTGTTTAATAAATTTAAAAATTTGCAACAGCACATGAACGTTCACTTTAGAAATTTCGTTTGCGAGTTTTGTGATGCCGGTTTCATTAACAGGCATATCCTATCCGCCCATACAGAAGCGCACAAACTGGGAACATTTAAATGCGATCTGTGTTCGAAAGTGTTCGACACGCATAGAAAAAAGAAAAGCCACGAGAAATCTGTTCATGTACACGCGAATTTACTCAGCAAATGCGGTTATTGTAATTTAAAATTTACAAACTATAAAAGGCGGGACCTTCATTTAGTTAAAGTACACGGTGTACACATAAAAGCCGTTAAATGTCACGCTTGTGACAAGTCATTTGACAATAAAAGCGCGTTAACGATACACACTAAACGAGATCATTTGATGGAACGAAGATTCAAATGTACAGAGTGTGATATGAACTTTTTTGGTTCCAATGAGCTTAAATTGCATATGGTTAAACATACGGGCTTGAGAGAGTTCAAATGTGATGTATGTTTAAAATCTTATGGGAGAAAGAAAACTTTGACAGAACACATGAGGATACACAATGATGATAGGAGATTTAAATGTGAGCATTGCGGGCAAGCGTTTGTGCAAAAGTGTAGCTGGAAAGGGCATATGAGAAACAGGCATGGGGAGTTAGTGTGAAGTTAGTTTATTTTCAATTTGAGTTTAAAACCTTTTCCAAATACCCTCTTCGGAAGGAATGACAAAAAGCCTTAATTACAATGCAAAAAAATCTACTATAGACTAGGTATGTGACTATATACCATTATTTTTACTTAATAGAACAGTATTTATTTATGGTGGTGTACATCCGAATTAGTTGATTTTAGGCAATTGATTGTATATCCTTTATTTATATTTTAAAATTTGTTGTAGTTAAATTTGTTTTTGAGTATAAATATATATTTTTATGAAACATTAAATGGAGTGATTTATTTTGACTATAACAATATATTGCTATAGTGAAACCGCTGTAAGCTTGGCCCTCCTGATGGTTTGCGGGACGCGGGGCGGGTGATGCGCTCGGCTATACATGACACGATGTACTAACTCGATATCTTCAGATTTATTTGTTTGAGATTTAATCTACACACGATGTAATAAAAATCGAATTTATTTCCATGTATTATAATGTCAGTGTATTGTAAGTTTTTATGATTAATTGTAAAATTTAATACTGTGATTTTTTTTTAATAAAATCACCTTATCTTCATCATGTAAATTATATTCAGATACAATTTAAAAATTAAGTAAAATAATAAATATTCTTTATTAGAACTTTAACAGTAGAACCTCTGTAAGCCGAACTTCAAGTTTTTAAATCTTTTTGTGACGCAGAGTCGGCAGATTATCCATGTTGCAAAATAATACCGTGTGTAGCAGTCTTAAGAAAAATAACACGTACAGCCATGCTTTCACGTCAGTCACTGCCGGCGGACAGCGACGCACTAGCTAATTGGTCGCCCCGCGTCCCCCAAACCATCAGGAGGGCCAAGCTTACGGCGGTTTAACTATAAAGTCCCTTACTTATAATTTCGATAAAAAATAATATAAGCTATGTAAATTGTGTAGTTGTATTCATAAGGTTCATCACAATTCGTTTTTTTTTTCGATAACAGTCGTGTGTGGTTAATCCTACATAAAAAAAGACTATGCCTACTATCAAATAAAAGAAATATTGATATTTCGGCGTTGTTTGTTCTAAACCACTAATGGTGTTGTATTTTTTTTTTATTTAACTCAACTCTGCACCACTGAAATAATGACAAGAATCAAATTAGAAAATCTACATAAATTAAAACTCACATCAGCATTTGTAAAAACATATGTACAAGTTACTTTGTTTCTTATGTTGCCACTCAGCCAGAGGTTCAGAGAGACCATAGATCGCTAGAAATAGTGGACTAGTTAGTAAATAAACGCCAACGATTGATGATACACGAGGCGGAAGCTCATTCTTAGCACATTAATGAAGATTCATGTCGACACATCAATAATCACGACATTAATAACTGAACGATCAGACAGAGATTTCTGTCTGATCGTTCAGTTCAAAGAGAAAGGGAGACAAGGTACATAATAATACAAAAATAATACAAAACCGGAGACAAGCCTTTTATCAAGTCGTCAAAAAAGATCAGATGTAGATGATATCAATTAAAGGAGACGTAGATGAGTGATTTAAAAGGTCTAGAAATTATTAAGTTATGAGATTATTCGTACATATTTGTAACCAAGTATAAATTAAAAGGGCCATGTCTTGAGTTATTAAATTACTTATATAAAGTACCTAAACTCACTTAAGTAAAGTCACTGATGTACACTTTGAATGAGTAACTACTAGCACAGTATTACTTTTAGTCCATAGTATTTTTCTAGGAAGACTTTCAAGAGTAAATGACAATCATAGCATGTAAACAATGCATCAATATGGTTGGATATTTGTAAGCTATCGTTACATCACTCAAGTCTTTGAAACGCTAAGTTCTCCGGTTATATTTTATCATATATTACAAATGATTTGAATTTGGATTTTACTCGTATCTTGAACACAGACAGCACAATATGTAAATAAATATCAGTAGAATAACTTACATCATTTTCTTTGTAGGTGAAGAAGACGAAACTGTCAATATTGGATCTCAAACTTCTAACAGAGTTCTTAATACTATGGCAACTATTAACGATATTAGAGGGGAAGTTGCTAAAAATCAAAACAACTTGACACAAATACTCAAGTACACAAATGCGACGCCAATACTCCGGCAATCTGAGATCGGATATGTTTGCTATTTCTGCGACAAACAATGTCGCGATCCAGCCGCACTAAAGACACATTGCTTGGAATTCCATGGGAATGGTAAACCACGATCTGCGCATATGAGGCAAAAGAATATATCCTTCTATGTGAAATTGGATATCACTGGACTCAGATGCAATATTTGTAATAAAAATATGAATACGCTGGAAGGATTATTTAATCATCTCAAGAATGAACACCAAAAGAAAATATTTACGGATCATAAGAATTTAATTATACCATTCAAGTTCGACACTGAGACTTTAAGTTGTTACATATGCTTGAATATATTTGAAAAGTTTAAAAAATTAATGGAACATATGCACACGCATTATGGGAATTATGTGTGTGAAATATGTGGACTTGGTTTTGTTACACAAGGCTCGCTAGTCAGTCATTCCGAGTGCCATAAAGTAGGCAATTTCGAATGCGATGTCTGCCACAAACCATTTAATACCTTGTACAAGAAAAATAGTCACGTAAAAAACGTTCATAAACCAAAAAATGAAAGGTTTAGGTGTGCTTTTTGCACTGAGAAGTTTACGGAAGCACAGAAGAGAAATGTGCATTTATCGAAGGTCCATGGAATAACAAATCATCATATCAAATGTCGATCTTGCGACAAAACCTTTAGCTCTAAATGGTCTATGACACTACACACAAGACGACAGCATCTAATGGAAAAAAGATTTAAATGTTCTGATTGTGATATGAGTTTCTTTTCTGCGGATGAACTAAACAAGCATGGTTTAAAACATTCCGGCGTGAAAGAGTTGAAATGTGACGTCTGCTCGAAGTCTTATGCGAGACGGACAACTTTGATAGAACATATGAGAATACATAATGATGACAGGCGATTCAAATGTGAATATTGCGGACAAGCGTTTGTACAAAAGTGTAGTTGGAAAGGTCATATGAAGAATAAGCATGGCCAAATCGTGTCATAAATTAAAAAGCTAAACTTACAATAGTCGGATGAACGTTTCCTTAAAACTGTTGAAGTTTTCGATCTTGATGTTATTTAAAAACAGATAAGAAAGCAACTAGCTTTTCTTTAACTTAAACGTAAACTATATAGTATTTGTCTACCGAGGAACGAATCAACTTGTCCTCTCTCTACCACTGCCATGTGCACAGGACATCAGGTTCAATGAGTATTGTTCACTAAAGAAAAATCAGAATGTCATCATATTATAATCATTATTTAAAAACTGAAAAGTGGCCCTCACTAAACTAGAAACTAAACTAAACTCAAAGTTACTCAGATTTAATGCACTTATCTTTACATTATTGTCGGTCGAAGTTTATCTGCAGATGAATCTTATAACATGTAGAGTCACTTCTATCCTGCTTACTTGTGCTGTTCCAGACAGCTGAGACTAATTAGTTTTTGGATGTGTGCATCTTAGAATTTATCTAAATTATTTGTGTTTTGTGTCTTATCCAAAATGTAAGTTAAACTATATACTTTTGCTAAGTAAGTATAAATAGTACTACGCTAAGACCCGTAAGGAATTAGCAAAAATTGGTCACATCTAGTTGCACGGCAACATTAATACTTATCATTAATTCTAACCATGAAAAGTAAACTTAAAAGCATAACCTTCTCTGAACCATGAGTGGCATTACTGTAAGGTCTGAACTTATCTATTTCTTTATAGGTGTCCAAGATAAAGTGAACATCACTACTGAAAGTGAATGTAAAGAATCGCCAAACAAAAAAGGAAAGGAAGAAATTGAATCTAAAAAGACGAACAATACACTTGAAAAGCACTTGCACAATTTGAATGAAATTTTGAAGTGTTCTAATGCGACACCGATATTAAAGCAAGGCGGCATCGGTTACATGTGCAGTTTTTGCCCAGAACAGTATCCAAAACCGGAAGACCTAAAAAAACATAATTTAAGAGAACATCATGGTCAAACCAATCTTAAAATACCATGCACTTCAGGAAACAGAAGAAGCCTTTACCGATACTCTGTGAGACTTGATATTACAGGGCTGAGTTGCGCGCTCTGTGATTCGAATATAAATTCTTTAGAAAAATTTATTGTACACATAAAACAAAAACATAACAGAGACATATATTTAGATATAAACAACCATATTGTTCCATTTAAGTTTGATACAGAGCAGTTAACTTGCTGTTTATGTTTAAACACGTTTGAAAGATTTAAAATTTTGCAAGAACACATGCATAAACATTACAGGAATTACGTTTGTGACGTCTGCGACGCCGGGTTTATTAACCAGGGCAGTTTGAATAGTCACACTCAAACCCATGTCAAAGGAACATTTGCCTGTAGTTTTTGCAACAAAATATTTGATACAGTTACAAAGAAAAAAATGCACGTAAGAAATAGCCACACACATCGAAATATGGTCAACCGATGTGGATATTGCCATGAAGGTTTCAGAGAATATTACATGAAGGAACAGCATTTAGCTAAAGTCCATGGAGTCCATAATAATGTATATAAATGTAATGCATGCGACAAAACATTTTCTACTCCCAAGAAACTGAGATCGCATGTAAAGAAAGATCATTTGTTAGAAAGACATCACAACTGCTCGATTTGTGAAATGAAATTCTTTCGTCTTCACGATCTTAACGAACACATGGTAAAACATTCCGGAGATAAGAAATTTCAATGTGAAGTGTGTTTGAAGTGTTATGGTCGGAGGAAGACATTAAAAGAGCACATGAGAATACACAATGATGATAGAAGGTTTAAGTGTGAACATTGTGGCAAAGCTTTTATTCAAAAGTGTAGCTGGAAAGCACATATGAAAAATAGACATGGGCAGATTATGTCCTAAATAAGATGCTATATAAGATCACTTTTCTTTTAATGATTAACCAGTGTATCGGAATAGTTGCCAATTAAATATTTTTTAATCTATGATTCAGTTTTTAACAAATGTATTTCTTGTTTGTTCTATATGAATAAAACTTTATTTCGCAATACATACATTACTTTGTTTTTGATTGTCAGTTTGGTCAGTACCGAGGGAAGAGTACTGTTATTAAAACGTCCCGGTTGATCATTACCTATGAACAAATTGTGTCTGGTAGATGGTACGACTCGGGTAAAATGTCGGACATCTAATCGTACATTATAAATGTTATAACGATTTACATTCCTTTAGCCTAATCTGTTTTTTGGACTATTTCCCAATTTTCTCATATTTAATTTCCCTGGTTTCTGGAACGCGTTGATGTATATATGTATGTTTTTAATTGTTGTAATTAGTATAATCGTTATAAGTCAAGTAAATAAACACCTAAATAAAATATGAGTAGAACGAAATTATAGTTACTAAAATACGGGCGGTACGCCTTTAGTTATCTTTTCGGAGAGAAGCGCGAGTGTATGTCTATATAAAAATTATTACTTTATAAATATATCACAGATGGTTTTTCTTTATTAAAATGAATACTTTTCCTATCTCCTTTGACTCCTTTCTTGACATACTTTAACTCATATGCTGTTAAAAGCATGTCTGGAAATCTTGTACTTTTTCTGGAGTCTACAATTTCACAGATTCTGCATTAACGGATTTTTTAAAAAACTAGGGCATCACCTCGAAAGCTTTGATATCAAAGTAATATTATATTTGAGAAAAAGTAGGTTGTTTTATAATTTCGCTTGGTACTCGAATAGATAATATAATGAAACTAAACAACATTTGAATGATGAATCCTTTTCTTTGTAGGTAGTCAAGAAAAAAAAGTTGTTACTAAAGATATGACAGAGACATCAGAAAGTGAGGAAGAAAATATCACATGTGTTCAAAATAAAATAACTCCCAGAACTGAACTGGTCAAACACCGTTCCAATATTAAGGAAATACTCGAAAATTCAAACGCCACACCTATAAGACGCTACGGAGGCATTGGTTACACCTGCTGCTACTGTGAGGAGCAGTACATAAACCCTGCAGATCTAAAAAAACATACATTAGAGAGTCACGATGATCTATCACAAGCTAATTTTATGAAGAACATGAATATGTCTGAATATGTTGTAAAACTTGATGTGACTGCGCTTAAATGTAAACTATGTCAAATGGACATCGATACGCTAGACAACTTCGTAGAGCATTTAAAAAGCAAACACGGGAAATGCTTATTTATGGACGTCAAAACCCACATATTTCCATTGAAATTTGACGGTGACATACTCAACTGTACGAATTGTTCAAACTCTTTCAACAAATTTAGAATGTTAGTCAGACATATGCACATTCACTACCGTAATTTTATCTGTACTATTTGCGATGCAGGCTTCGTTAATCGTAACGCGTTAGCCCAACATTCTGAGAATCATAGAGTTGGAGAATACACTTGTGATTATTGTCCCAAGGTCTACACTACCCAAGTGAAGAAACGGCTTCATGAAAGAACTGCCCACACACATACGAACACAATGAACAAATGTAGTTACTGTACAGAAACATTTAAAGACTACAGGAAGAGAGAAGCTCACCTGGAAACCATACACGGCATTAAATCTGTAATTGCAAAGTGTCAGGCGTGTGATAAAGTTTTTACCAATAGGAAGTTGCTAAACATTCACGTTAAAAGAGATCATTTGATGGAAAGACCACATAAGTGTTCCGAATGTGACATGAAGTTCTTTTCGACCACGGGCCTGAAAAACCACATGGTGAAACATACAGGATCCAGGGCATATCATTGCAGTATTTGTCTTAAGTCTTATGGCAGAAAGAAGACGTTAAATTCTCACATGCGTATACATGAAAAAGAAAGATTTAAGTGTGAGCACTGTGATCGAGCATTTGTGCAGAAATGTAGCTGGAAGGGCCATATGCGGTCTAAACATGGAGAAATAGTATAAATTATTATTGTAAATATTTAGGAAGTGATGTTAGCGTGAACTTGAGTCATTAAAGCTGTTTTATTGCAGATAAGCAGTTTTTAATATCGTTCCTATGATCGATGAGCTCAAAATTATGTTTAGCTTTCTCTTCAACTTCATTTTATGTATTCTAATTAGAAGAGGCTTGTCGATAAAACAAACAAATTTTAAAAGTAAAAAATCCTGTTTTTTTTTTTAATGAGACATAATTACAGAACTACAATAAAATAATCTCCAAGCCCTAGTAAAATACAAAGTTTCTGCAGGACAAAGATTTAGAGAGGTCAGAAGTACACGGTTGTACAAACGTGAACGCGTTTTGCGCAAACATATGCCTACAGGAAAGTCATATGTATTACGTAAATCATCGATAAATAGCGTAGTAAGTTGCAAAATGTAGGTCTACATTAATATTGAAACTTAACCCAATCAAAATAACCTAAGATAATCGCTGTAACTTATAAACACTAACATGAATTAGATAGATAATTTTCACTTATATTTTTATCGAGTTGGGCCACAGGTGCGAGAAAATAAGGTGTACCAATATGATTACAATCAGTGATAAATAAATTAATGCTTTTCCTTTATAGGTGGTCCTAAAGCAGACACTCGTAAAGTTAAAGCTGAAGAGAAATCTATCCGTAACATTAAAAACAATGAAGGAACTACAAGATTCAAAACAGATTTTGTCAAGGCGAGAGAAAAAAAAGTAATATATCAACCTGAACCCAAAAATTATGAATTACAAAAGCATCGAACTAATATAAGAGAAGTGATACTCTGGTCAAACGCGACCCCCATCCGACGTTACGGAGGCATGGGCTATATGTGTTGCTACTGCAATAATCATTACCTAGAACCTACAGATTTGAAAAATCATACATTAGAAACACACCAAGATGTCCAAAAAGCGTGTTTTATGGTCAAAGTTAGCATGGACCAGTTCGTCATAAGATTAGACATTACGTTGCTGCGATGTAAGATATGTGATATAGATCTAGACACACTGGAACATCTTATGGACCATTTGAAGGTTGACCATGAAAAAACTATTTATACCGATATAAAAAACCACATAATTCCGTTCAAGTTTGATACAGAAATTCTTCGTTGTTGCATTTGCATGAACCCTTTTAGTAAATTCAAAATACTACTCGAACACATGAGTCTACACTATAGAAATTATATATGTGATGTCTGTGATGTAGGTTTCATAACTTCACAAGGCCTCAAATGCCATAAGCTCATTCATAAAACTGGTACATTCAAATGTGATCACTGCTCTTTAGTTTTCGACACTAACGTTAAAAGGAACGCACATGTTCGAACAATGCATTCGTCAAAACCTGTTGCAAAATGTTTGTATTGTAATGAGGTCTTTAAAGATTATAGAAAAAAAGAGGCACATTTAGTAATGATGCACGGTTTGAAAGTACCTACTCCTAAGTGTCAAGCGTGTGAAAAAGTATTTAAGAATAGAAAAGTATTGAGTCTTCATATAAAGAGAGATCACTTACTGGATCGACGCCATAAATGCTTAGAATGCGGCATGGGCTTCTTCCAGTCCACGGAACTAAAAGACCATATGATAAAGCATACAGGACTAAGATCTTTTACTTGCACTGTCTGCTTAAAAGCCTTCTGTAGGGCAAAGACACTGAAGGAGCATATGAAAATACATGATGATGTAAGAAGATTTAAGTGTGAACACTGTGGTCAGGCGTTTGTTCAGAAGTGTAGTTGGAGAATTCATATGAGGTCTAAACATGGAGAAATTGTGTAATATGAGTAATAAAACTTCAGGAATTAATACTTTTTTGTTAATATTAAATTCATGCACTCACGGTACTCCGACTGGATTAAGACATGCAAATTAGACACGTTTGATTACAATCTTCCTCCGAGCCTCTTTTCCCAAACCAGGTTAGGGTCGACTTTAAGCCTACTACGATACGGCTGAACTTCGATTTCTTACGTGAAGCGACTGCCATCAGACGTCACCAACCCAAGTACTAGGCGATATCGAAGTTCTATAGAAAGACTGCTGACGGTTTTAGGTCTCCGAGGCACAAATGGGTCTCAATGTTTTAAGAATGGTCACCCATCGATAGAGCGACCTGGCTAGGATTCCTTAACTTTGCAATGTGTTAACCTATTCGGTTCACACGTTTACTTACAATATACACATTTATCGGGGTAAGGCTATTTCCAATCAGCTATCTTTTATCTTTTGATGAATGTCATAAACTACAACTAAACTATTTACCATATATAATCGTAGTGAATGTTTTCTAACTTCTTTGTCTAACTTAATTCTGTAATTCTTTCCAAATTTACAGTCGTATATTCCTCAGTCAATGAACAATTTCAATCAATATCAACTCCATCAGAAGCCGTTTTGACTTCTGATTGAGATGATATTTGGCAGGATCAACTTTGGTGACCATGTTTTTGAGCTTGAAAACATTTAAATTATCTGCACAGTATCCATTTCCCAGGGCCAATATTTTGGAATTAGTAGTAAAGATCACTCAGAAATGGGTAAGTCTCGTAAAAATCTTAAAAAAATGCAAATTCATCCACACAAAACACAACTTATCAAGCCAAGGTAATCACGGTCTATGTTCAAAGGCTAACGGACGAACATTGCAACCGTACCAAAAATGGTGCTTTCGTCCTGCCTACGCTCCTGCTCAAATTGTGTAGTTTCAAATTACGGCTTCGCACGATTATGGACAGCGTAAAAGGATTTAATATTTTTGGCTAAGCTTCAGGTAATAAATATTCAGTGCGGATGGGACGCAATGTCCCATTTTTAAATGTTAGAGCTTCAACAAATAAGAATGACATCTCGAGCATGTTTAAATGAATGAATTATTTAACGGTTATTTCGAATCTACGGATTCAATGAAATATTTCATTCCGTTGTTTCATCATGCTCTTTTATTGTAGGTCGTCCAGCTGTGTCTGTAAAAGTTAAGGAAGAGGAAAACAATTCGGTTGATACGAACATCAATGTGTTATCAGCAAGAAAACGGAAACCACGAATGTCAATCAAACGAGACGATTTGCACAAACATCGAAAGAATATCAAACAAGTGCTGCTTTGCTCGAACGCTACCCCCATCAGACGCAATGGAGACATGGGCTATATGTGCTGCTTCTGTAAGGAGCAATATCGAGATCCTGCTAATTTAAAGCAGCATACATTAGACTACCATAAAGATATCGAAAATGCATTTTTTATGAATGTGACAATGGAACGGTTTGCTGTCAAATTAGATATTACCTGCTTAAAATGTAAGATATGCAACCAAACTCTCAACACATTGGAAGAATTATTGGAGCATCTAAAGAGCGCCCATCAGAAGACAATTTATACGAGTATTAAAAACCACATTATTCCGTTTAAATTCTCGAATGAAAACCTCGAATGTTGTATTTGTATGCATTCATTTAGCAAATTCAAGGTACTTCTTGAACATATGAACTCTCATTATAGAAATTATATATGTAATGTGTGTGGTGCAGGATTCACTCATGGTTCTAGTTACAAAACCCATATGACTGTTCACGATACCGGCAGTTTCAAATGCCGCCATTGTTCGCAAATTTTCACAACTAATGCGAAGAAAAGACTTCACGAGAAATCAAAGCACTCTGTCATCAAGCCGGCTTTTCACAAATGCGGGTATTGTAATGAAAGTTTTAGTGAGCAAAGATTGAAAGACATACATTTAGCGTCGATGCACGGATTAAAAGTGCCTACACCGAAGTGTCAAGCTTGTGAAAAAGTATACAAAACCAGGAAATTATTGAATCTTCATATAAAAAGAGATCATTTGATGGAGAGACGACATAAATGCTCTGAGTGCAATATGTGTTTCTTTAACACTTCGGAATTGAAAAATCATATGTTAAAACATACAGGATTACGGACTTTTAAATGCAATGTTTGTTGTAAATGTTTTGGCAGAGCATGCACTTTAAAAGAGCATATGAAAATCCACGATGATGTCAGAAGGTTTAAATGCGAACATTGTGGGCAGGCTTTTGTTCAAAAGTGTAGCTGGAAAGGTCACATGAAGTCCAAACATGGAGAAATTGCTTAAATTGTTAATTATTTCTCTCCTTTAAAAAAAAAGATTCCTTATAAAAATATATAAATCACAGAAAGCTTTTAGTTTGGCTTTTGCTGTTTTTTATGTCTACATTGAATACTTTACTTGACATATTTAATTGAATGTCGAGTATCAACGAACATCAAAAGCAGTAGGCTGGATAAAACAGCTATAGGTCACCATAATCATCATCTATTTATTAATGAAATAATAATGATTACTAATACTGATACCGTCACTGTAAAATACTGAAAGTTAATAAATTAATAGGTAACAATAATGGGAATACAACCTTTTGTTGCAAGAACTGTGTATTTTGGGCATCAGGTTTTTGATTGAATATCATTTCTTTTTCTAAAAATAACTTTTTTTTTTTTGAAAATGCTATAAAAAGAAACTACTGAATATTTTCTCAAATTTATTTTTTTATTTGAAAGTACAATCCTTCCGGTTAATAATGGAAAATAATTTCATTCAAATGGCTGCCTGCCGAGGCATGCTAGAAAACTAATTATCTGTCAAATCAGAAATGAGCTAAGTGTTACCATTCACGAAATAAGCACTAGTTGAAAAAAAAAACTTTAGATGGCGGACCCTTTAGATAGGTATATCAAAGAAAACATTGCGTCTGACATCGGCCTTCCCTTATTCATTATTTATCTACCTATCAATTTAAGTAGTGTGAATGACGGAAAATTATATGAACTTCAAATTACCTTTGTCGTCCCATATCTTTATATTGAATTACATTTTTTTTAAACAGTTTTAAAGTCTTTTATTGATTTAAAGGCTATACGATCACTGATTTTAAAATTATAAGCTTGTGTGTCTGCTAAACATAACTTTGAAACTTGGATACTAATTAGAGTATATATGTCCGGGACAAAATTAAGAAATAATAACATGAAATATTCTGAGCCTATACAGAAAATATCCTGATTAGCTTCTAGCAATGGGAGATTACTAAGGCACGGCCAAATACTAAAATCAATTAATCTTAAAAAACGCTTCTTGCAGTTTTTCATTTCTTTTACAAGACAGGAAACTATTTTTAATTTTTCGACCTACTAGACTAGCATACTTTTGCTCCCGAAAACGTGTATTAAGCACTCAACATATAAAAATATTTTTATCTGGCTCATTGCTATAATCTTCTATCATGCTCATGATCACATACGCAGTAAATGAATATTAAAATAGATGCAGTCTTACCATGCATATGGTCAATCATAAATAAATCTATAAGGCCGGCAACGCGCTTGTGAGTTGCAGGCGTTCATGGGCGGCAGTAGTCGCTTTCCGGCGCAGTAGGCGTTCATGGGCGGCAGTAAACTTTCATTAATTTAGCCACTAACAGTTGAGTGTTGGCAAAGGATACAAAACATAAAAAAACTAGTAAACAATGAAATTATGACAATGTTGGGTTCTTCTGAATCAAGGCACCTGGATGCAAGTTCTCAAAAAGACAAAAGATGGCTCTTTATCGTTTATATAGCCTTACTTCTTTGTGGAACTCACTGCCACTAACTCAAACTTTTATTTATAGGTCCCCACGAAGAGTCTACTTTGAAAGTATCTAGCGCAGTTAAGACAGAAGAAATTGGTGCTGATGGTAGAAAGGTTAATTCAACATCCAAACAAAACGTACTTGTACCTGTAGATCGGCAGGAAATATTTAAACATCGGATAAATATAACAAATATATTGCTTTCTTCTAACGCTACGCCTATAAGACGTTATGAAGATATGGGTTATATGTGTTGTTATTGCATCGATCAATATCGAGATCCCGCAGACTTAAAAATACACACATTAGAATGTCATCAAGATGTGCAGCAAGCTTATTTTATGAAACTGGGAATGGAGGCATTTGTCGTCAGGTTAGACATAACATCACTTCGGTGCACAATTTGTAATGCGAGTATGGAGACCCTAGAGAAACTGGTTGAGCATTTAAACTCCGATCATGAGATAGAAATTTTCACTGACGTAAAAAGCCACATAACACCATTTAAATTCATCACAGAAACTCTGCAATGTTGCATTTGCACGCATACTTTCAGTAAATTTAAATCGCTGCTAGAACATATGAACATTCATTACAGGAACTACATTTGTAAGCAGTGTGATGGTGGGTTTACTGTTATAGCTAGTTTGAGAGCCCACATGCACGTACACGAAAGTGGCAATTTCAAATGTGAACATTGTTTAAAATCATTTGAAACCGCGTCTAAGAAAAGAGCCCATGAGAGAGCTAAGCATGTACATAAGCTAGACGTATACAAGTGTGGGTATTGCAATGAAACCTTTAGTGACCACAGATCTAAGGAAGAACATCTGGTGTCGATCCACGGATTAAAAATGCCCATATCTAAATGTCTGGCATGTAACAAAGTCTTTAGTAATAGACAAGCTTTACGTGTTCATGTAAAGAGAGACCATTTGCTGGAAAGACGACATAACTGCCCAGACTGTGATATGAGTTTTTTCAACGCCAATGCGCTCCAGAGGCATATTATAAAACATACAAAATTACGAACTTACAAGTGTGCAGTTTGCTCAAAAGGTTTTGGCAGAAAGTATACTCTGAGGGAGCATTTGAAAATCCATAACAACATCAGGCGGTTCAAATGTGAACATTGTGCTCAAGCGTTTGTTCAGAAGTGTAGTTGGAAGGGTCATATGAAATCCAAACACGGGGAAATTGTATGAAATATTTACCTGCATTAAATTGACGTGTTATATCTTGATTATTGCCGAATTTTAGCTTTAAAATCTAAATACAATTTTACTTCAGTAACACTGGCGTTAATTTCTATCGCAACATCTTGGCATTAGATGTAATTCTTAGATTTCCTACTGAGGGTCGGGCTTATCAAATATATAATAGTTTTGAGAATGGCCAAGTAAAATAACAAATAATATAGTTATTAATTCAATTTAATTTTTCTTAAAGGTCTACTAGCAACCAAAATTGCTAGTATTCCCGTTAACCCCTCCCGCTAAGCCAAATTACTTGTGTTAGGAGTGGGTTCACCTCGGTGGTACCGGTCAGGATTTGAACCCATGGCCTCTTGATTGCAAGTCCACCGCCTTAACCACTAGTCTACCACCGCTTTTTATATTTTATCATTATGACCAAACATTCTATGGCTAGAACAAATTTGTTTTAGTAAGGAAATGTACAAACTTCCCATACAAATTCGGCCTGCAGCGGTCACGAAAGTTTGTTGGAAAGATAAATATTCTATTATTTTGTGTATATATAAACGCGTAAAACGTAAACGCGCAAACAGTGATAGCCATTAGAGACATGACAGAAAAAAAGGTTCCATTTTGGAAAAATCGTAATTACCAAATTGATTCGTAAATTACTTTTTATGAAGTAATAAAAAATTATAAGTAAAAAAAATTACTGTTAAGTGTACTGTAAAAAAAAAATATCCCTAGAAATGTCTTTAAAAAAATCAAAATCTTTAAATAACCTTTATTATCAGTATTATGAAGTGCCGATAAAATAACGTTCTATTCTTAGAACTGGAAGTAACAACTATTCCGAACTATCGGGTTGATCAAATCAAACTTAACAAAAACAAACTTATTAAGTCAAAATATTTTTGCAATCTTATACAGTAGTGTTGTTAACATTACAAAGTAGCAAAACCCCATATTTTATTAATTATTATACATTACACCCATACATTATTATTATATTTTTTAAATATTATCAAATCCGTGGGTGCTTCTAGGCCTGATTTTGCAGTATTCCTTTAGGGTTTATCATTATTAAAAAAAGACAATCTAATGAAGAATCTCCTAACCTATGAATATTACGATAGCACATTACACAAATTTTAAATAGAACGGCAGAATTTGTTTAATACAGAATATATTGGTAATATAAATGTGTGGTATTATTTTAGTGAATACGTAATGCGCTAAATTTAGTTTAACTCTCAGCGAATAGAAAATCGCACAAAAGCACTCTACTAACAGTAATGACACTCCAAGTTACAATTGTGTTAAGTTCAACAATACATTAAGTATTTTATTTGTAGGTGGTCATCCGGTTGTAACGATCAAAGTAGAGAGAGACCACGAACCAGATAATCCCAAAGATAAAGAAACCGTTTCAACAGCCACAAAGACCTCACATATGCCTCTCAAAATAAAGGATATCTTTAAGCATAGGACAAATATAAAAGAAGTAATGCGTTGGTCTAATGCTACTCCTATTAGACGAGTTGGAGATAAAGGTTATGTGTGTTGTTATTGCAATGATCAGTACTTGGAGCCTGAAGGATTAAAGAAACATACTTTAGAAAATCACAACGACGTTCGAAAAGCTTTCTTTATTAAACATTTGTCTAAAGATCGATTTATTGTCAAATTAGATATAACGTCACTAAGGTGCAACATCTGTGACCAAAATATCGATTCATTGGATAAGTTTTTGAAGCATCTGAAAATAGACCATACGAAAACAATTTACACAGACGTGAAAAATCATATCGTCCCTTTCAAGTTTACTACAGAAACACTCCAATGTTGTATTTGCACAAGCTATTTTGATAAGTTCAGAATGTTACTCGAACATATGAACACGCACTACAGGAATTATGTCTGTGATGTTTGCGATGTAGGTTTCGTAAATAGCAGCGGCCTTCAGACTCACATGACTGTACATAATACTGGTATCTTTAAGTGCGGATATTGTGCTCGAATTTTCGATAAGCTTAGTAAGAAGAAAACTCATGAAAGGACCACACATTCTCTAAAACCAAACTTTCGTAAATGTGCGTATTGTAATGAATCCTTCAGTGATTTTAGATTGAAAGAGGCACATTTGATAGAAATGCATGGTTTAAAAGTGCGTACACCCGAATGTCAAGCGTGTGAAAAAGTTTTTAAAAGCAGGAAGTCGTTGAGCCTCCACATCCGAAGAGATCATTTAATGGAAAGACAGCATAAGTGTCCAGAATGCGACAAAAGTTTCTTCGAATCTGCTACACTCAAAATTCATATGATTAAACACACAGGAGTACGGTCATTTAAATGCAATATTTGCTCAAAGGCTTTCAGTAGACCGAATGTTTTGAGGCAGCATATGAACATACACGATGAAACTAGGATGTTTAAATGTGTTCAGTGTGAAAAACCGTTTGCCCAAAATTGTGCCTGGAAAAGTCATATGAAGATTAAACACGGAAGTGATATGAATTACAGTTGAAATCATTATTAATAGTTAATTAAAGTGTAAGAAGTAATAAACATTTAACTCTCAAACGGTTAAAGTAAATTTTGCAATAACGGTTCTTAGTTTTATGTTACTATCCTAGACTTACAAGCTTTATAAGCAAAGATTCTTAAACTACGATAGCACTGAATTTTCCTAAATGTATTCTCCTCACTTGTTCTTGGTCGTAGTGTCAGGCATTTCATAGGCACAATATCTATTGATTAATTTCTGTATAGTTAAATAACTTGGTAAAACTCTTTATTAGGTCATGGTTTCAGTAAATGGTTGATAAATAACAAAATTATGTTTGCCATCGTCATAATAACATCTGAATAATCGATTAAAAAAGAAAATTCTTATTGAAGTCGCTGACTTTAGCTTCTTCTAACTTTCAAGATTGATGGTCAGTTCTAAGATAATATAATAATATATAGTCTATTTCACTAATCCTAAATACTTTAAGAAACCAAATTCAAAGAAGTTTAAAAAATAAAATAATTATTTTATTTATAGGTCGAGTAACAGTCAAAGCGAAGATTCAAAGAAACCAACCGGATGAAGTAGAACAAAAAACTGTTACTCGAAAAACCAGACAAACTTCAATAATGCCATTGAAAACTAAGTCTTTGCCTAAACATCGTGCAAATATAAAAGAAGTTATGCTCTCCTCAAACGCTACACCAATAAGACGTTTTGGAGATATGGGGTTTATGTGCTGTTACTGTGATGATCAGTACCTAGAACCAGCGGAATTAAAACAACATACATTAGAAACTCATCCAGATATCCGAAAAGCTTTCTTCATTACGAAATTAGGGAAAGATCGATTCGTTGTCAAATTGGACATAACTGCACTACGATGTAAAATCTGCGATCGGAACATCGATACCTTAGAACAGTTAATGCATCATCTCAGGGTCGACCATCATAGAACAATATACACCGACATTAAAAACCATATAATCCCGTTTAAGTTCATAACAGATACGTTACAGTGCTGTATTTGTATGAATACGTTTAGTAAATTCAAAATGTTACTCGAACATATGAATATACATTACAGAAATTACATTTGCGATATTTGCGACGTAGGTTTTGTTAATGCTGTCAATTTAACTAATCATATGCTCACGCATGAGAATGGAACATTCAAATGTGATCATTGTTCCCAAGTGTTTAACACAAAGAACAAGAAACGACTACACGAAAGGAAGCATGGCTTTAAAACGTTGCTTTTTAAATGTGGCCACTGTAGTGCTACCTTCAACGAATACAGAAAGAAAGAAGCCCATTTGGCTTTAGAGCATGGACAAGCATACAAGTGCCAGGCATGTGAGAAAGTTTTCAAAAATACCAAAGCTCTTAACAATCATATTAGACGAAATCATTTGATGGAGAGGCCACATAAATGCACAGAGTGCGATATGAGTTTTTTCATGACTACAGAACTAAACAATCATATGGTTAAACACACTGGATCAAGGTCTTTTAAGTGCACTGTCTGTTTAAAAACTTTCGGGAGATCAAATTCTTTGAGAGAGCATATGAAAATACACAATGATGACAGACGGTTTAAATGTGAACATTGCGGGCAGTCGTTTGTTCAAAAGTGTAGCTGGAGAGGTCACATGAGGTCCAAACATGGGGAAATTGTGTAAATTATTACATTGGTATTATGTTTAAATAAATGTTAACTTATTTTTAAACTTTGGGAATTATTATTTTTTATTTGAGTACATGAGAAATAGTCTTCTCTATGTACATCTTATATTCTACTAGTTAATTCTTATTTTACTCCATAGCATTAAAAACGCCCAAAGATTTTACGTCATTAGAAAAAATGACAAAATTAGAATAATTGTATTTGACTTCATCGTACATAGTTCAAAGTATCTGCGTTTATGTTAGAGCGATCACTTACAATCAACCTTCATTAACGAGCTCAGCTTCATGAAACTAGTAACGACAACAACGATAACATACAATTTAAAATGACAGGGTAATTTAAATAATAATAGGAATAAGTATTATTTACATAAAAATCACAACGAACCTGAAATTTCAAAATGTATTATTTGGATGTGATATTTATATAATAACGTTAAATATATTTCTTCAGGAAACCATCTGTGAGCAAACAAAGGTGACATTTATTTAAAATGCTTTTACGATTTCCATAAACGTACTAAAACAACTAAAAGCAAATGAAATCATGAGTACAATAAAACGTTTTTTCGTTATAGGTACTCCAGCAGACACTGTCAATGTGTTTACAGAAGAAAATCGATCCGATAATACAGAAAGCATAAAACTTACACTTTTACCAATCAATGAGGGTATAAATAAACATAGGACAAATATTAAAGAAGTAATGCGATGGTCAAACGCCACGCCTATAAGGCGGTACGGAGATATGGGTTATACATGCTGCTATTGCAAAGAACAATATTTAAATCCCGCAGATTTAAAGGCACATACATTAGAAAACCACAAGGACATACAAAAAGCTTTCTTTATGAAATACAGAATGGACCGGTTTGTCGTAAGATTAGATATAACCGCATTAGAATGTACAATTTGTAATCAGTATATCGACACTATCGAAGAACTGTTGGAACACCTTAAATCTCAACACAGAAGACCAATTTACACCGATATTAAAAACCATATCATTCCATTTAAATTCGTCACGGATAAATTACAATGCTGTATATGTGTAAACACGTTTAGTAAATTTAAGATGCTCATAGAACATATGAATATACACTACAGAAATTATATATGTCAAATTTGCGATGTTGGCTTTGTTAATTCTATGAATTTTTCGAGCCACAAGCTAATACACAGTACAGGTACATTTAAATGTGATTACTGCCCTCAAATACTTGATACTAAACTAAAGAAAAAATCGCATGAAAGGGCTATTCACTCTCCAAAAGCGCCATCATTACATAAATGCGGATATTGTATTGAAACTTTTAGTGAATACAGAAAGAAGGAGGCACATTTGGTATTAATGCATGGGTTGAAGATACCTACCGTGAAATGCGAAGCTTGTGAAAAAATATTTAAAAACAGGCAGTCATTAAGCGTCCATGTGAAAAGAGACCATTTGCTGGATCGACGACATAAATGCCCTGAATGTGGCAAAGCTTTCTTTTCTACGGGCCATTTGAAAGATCATATGATCAAGCACAGTGGTTCTCAGGCTCAGTTTAATTGTAATGTCTGTTCAAAGGTTTTCTCTAGAAAGAAAAATTTGAAAGAGCATAAGAAAATACATGATGATGTAAGGCAATTTAAATGCGAACATTGTGGGAGGGCGTTCGTGCAGAAATGCAGTTGGAAGAGTCATATGCGAGCTAAACATGCAGAAATTGTTTAAATATTATTGTTAACGTTTTTATATACTATAATATAAAAATTCCACGTCTACTATTAATTTTTAACAAGGGTAGTTTGGTATATGCAGCGCCGTATTTCAACTCTTAGACTACACTGTGATGTATTTCCTATTCGATGACAGGACTTCCTTACGCGGCAATCGATATAACTACTTAGTTGTATAAAAAAATTAGCTTATAGAGGTGTTCAAATTAAAACACCTAAATAAACCTTGAGTTAGAGTCAATTCACTCACCACCAGACGCCCTTTTTTAACTGACTTAACGGGTTATGTTGTAGCAATGTGTAAGTATTTTTAGTTTGTCGTTAAATCATGTTACACACTGGCTTATACCCGTGACTTCGTTATAAATTATACTTTTCATCCTGTGTGAATAGTGCTTTTATCTGGGTGAAAGTTATTAAGTATATCCTTATCCGTGTATGTAAAATTTCATGATGATCAGATGAACTAGTGTAGAATAGTGTATAAAAAATAATACAAAGTTTCTCTTTGTAGGTCCCGGAGGGGAAACTAGAATGATCGAAATAGAAAGGCCCACAAAAACGAGTGTCGAACCGAAGGTACATTCAAAACAATCAACGGCTAAGGGTAATACCATAAAGGGTTACGTGTCAGAGACAGCGAAGAACAAGCTGAATTTGACGCATATTTTGCTCAATTCTAACGCCACCCCAATACGATGTAAAGATAGCTTAGGTTACGGCTGCACATTTTGCTTAAAAAAGTTTCCAGAACCTACCACACTTAAGAAACATTTCCTCGACGAGCACAATAACGATAAATTATTAAAATATATATCTGCGAAAATGCTAGAACATGTCATAAAACTTGATATAACTTACCTAAAATGCACCCTTTGTGAAAAAGAGATTGCAAAACTCGACGATTTTACGTTTCATTTGAAACATGAACATAAGAAAAATATGTACTTGGATGCAAAAACTCATATCGTTCCGTTCAGATTTGATACACCAGAATTGAAATGCGCTATATGCCCCACTGAGTTTAGCACATTTAAACTATTACAGGAACATATGAATTCTCACTTTGGGAGTTACGTGTGTGATATATGTGGCGCTGGCTTCGTAACAGACAGACTTAAGGTTTGCCACGTGAAGCGACATAGCAGCGGCGAGTTCAAATGCGATCACTGCGATAAAACATTTAATAATCAAATTAAAAGACGAGCGCACGAAAAAAGAATACATCTCGGTTTCAGTGCTAGGAACAAATGCAAATTTTGCTCAGAACGATTTGATGATTATGGAAAAAAGATGAGGCATATGGTCAAAGAACATGGGGTAGCACCAGTTGTTTTGAAGTGTACAGCTTGCGACCGCACTTTTAATAGTCAGAAATCGTTGTCACGCCACACAAGGAAAGATCATCTTTTGGAGCGAAAACACAAATGCAGTGAGTGTGATATGAGATTTTTTGGTAAAAGTAGTTTAGAGAAGCATATGACCAAACACACTGGGCTAAGACAATTCAAATGCGACATTTGTTCAAAAGCATATGGACGGAAAAATACCTTAAGAGAACACATGAGAATACACACTAATGACAGAAGATTTTCATGTACACGTTGTGGACAAGCTTTTGTGCAAAAATGTAGTTGGCGAAGTCATATGCGTTCAAAACATGGAGAGGACGTGTAGTGCGTAGTCTATTCCGATTTATGCTTTTATATAGACAATATTAAATAATTACGATAACATTAAGGCTAAGTCAATACACTATGACAAATTTTACACACCTATTTTACTACGCGACGCCAAATGAAATTTTCGTAAACTATTAAAATACTTATCGCATTTTATAATGAAGTATACTCGTATGTAGGAGGGTCTTGACTGTCCACTGGTTACAAACCATGTATGTGTGAGTTTAAAAAAATGTTAAAAGAAACTGTTAAATCTTGTATATCCAACAAAAGAATTTAAATTTGCACTTAGAAAATATAAATATTACTGGGTGTTATCGCTGCTTAACTTATAACGGCTCGATTATCGGGTAGAATCAGTCGACTACGGTGAAGATATAACTAGTAGATACTTGTAGGTTTTGCTTCCACTTATCTTCCAAGTATTCCCATACCTCTTTGGAGATTGTAAAGATTAAGGATTTATGGATGTCCGTGTGGTAACGGATTAAGAATACAGAATGTCACCTATGTCCAGCAGATGACTAATAACCAGCTGTTGATAATGATGATCCATCATCATCATCAACAGCTGGTTATTATAATGTCTAAAATATGTAAGTTAAAACAGGTTTAAAAATAAAAAATCTAAGAAAGCGAAATACAAAAATTATTTTAATAAAAAGTAAGTATAAAATTGTACTCAATATTCTTGTCTACCTGACTCTAAATTTACCATATACTTTAATTAATTAACATACATAGTGATGATCAGAGGATAGGCCAGGTAGTATGGTCCCATGTAATATGGGTTGTTTTTATAACCATAATATATATGTATCTCACAGGAAATCTCCATAATCTGGTATTCTATGCAATATCGAAGCATATAATAATAATCTACATGATTACCTAAATCTTCTGTATTGTGTATCATCTATATAATATTGAATACGAATAAATAAAAACTGGGAAGACAGACGCTGGGAGAAGTAAACTCACTGCGACTTGAATTTTTTTTTCGCTTACACTTAAAATTGCCTTGTAAAACGTAAGAATAAAACTAAATACGCCTGAGTGAGGTGCACCCGCCATATTGCGCAAAAAACAAACTCACTGCTTTACTATTCTTTTCTCCAAGTCATTTAGGTCATTTTCAAAGCCGTTCTGGATTAACATAGAATCCTGTAATTCTAGTCTTACAAGGTTTATACCCAATACTACATGATATGAGTACTACGAGTCAAAGTTTTTTAATTCATGATTGCATGCATATCTAAGAAACTTTTTAATTTAATTGATATAGGATTACAAAGTTCCTTTTGGAGTTCATACAATTTTTTAGCTGCCTAAAGAGATATACAAATAGGTACCTAGTATATGTAGGTACAGTGTCATCGAGTAACTATATATTGTTTAATAGATACTAATCTACAAAAAGAAATGGGATTGAGAGATAAGATGAGCTCTCGCGAGTCTCGCATTTCTCAGTGCAGTTCTAGCACTGCTAAATTATTTTTAGAAGTATCCTAATATTCCTATAATAATTTTAGAGAATACAATAATTGGTAAACTTAATAAATTTAATTTTGAGCAAATATAAGTAGTGTTTTATTTGTGGGGGACCAGCAGGTATTCTATACAATCCCTGGCACATTACCTAGGTAAAACATGTGGTAAGAAAATTATTAACATTCTTGTACTCATTCTCCTACATAACTTAAGTATGACTTAAGTGAGACTCGAAAATGTTCGTAGTGATAACGTGTATACTCGTATTAATGAATTAAATCAAAAAGGACTACAAAAATTGTTCTAGCTTTCTAATTTTTGTCCTGATTACACAGAACAAAAATTAGCCTCATCATTACTGCTGCTATATCTTTACATAGTATAAAGTCACATTTTTTCTTGTACGGTTTCTTTAAAACTAAGCAACGGATTTTAATGTGGTTTTCACCAATGGAGAGAGTGATTCAAGAGGAAGGATAATATGTGTAATACATGTATTATAATACATCGCACCTTTAATAATAAACTGAATTAATTCAAAATTTACGTTTTTCGAGTTTTCAACAAATACCGAATCAACTTCATCAGTAGAACACGAACAATCCAACAGCCGACTCGATACAATGAAAATGGCAGAGATAAGGAGATCGTCGTTCTCTATTTGACGAACTCGCACGTACAAATGTCAAACTTTAAATGCGATTTCCCACAATATTGAAATTCTAAGTTAATTCAGTTTATGAATAAAGGTGCGACATGTATTACACATATTATATAGAAAATCTGAGAATTTCAAAGATTTGTCGTAAGAAACATGGTTTGCGCGCTTACATTGTAAATAATGTACTACGGCATTATATATCTTATAAAGATCTATGGCATATGGATATCTCCTAACTATAACCTACAGTAACCATTTTTATCTATTAAATATCACAAAAAATAATGGGTTATTGATGAAGCTATTTTAAACAATACATTAAAATAGTTGTTTTTAAAGAAAATAAATAAATTATTATTCCTTATCCAATTAAATACGTTAGATACGTTGTGCATTTAATGTAGATTAAAATTGCTCACACCACATTAGTAGTATTAGTTGTATCTACATTGCACCCGTGCGAAGCTGGGGCGGATCGCTAGTAATTCTTAAATGACAAAATAAAGTAGTAACATAAAAGCCTTAGTTCATTTCTTCTCTGTCGAGATCGCGAGGTGGACACGTGGCCCTTCGTTCAATCTCCCACCATCTCTCGCCGTGGGCCAACTATTAGATACAATCAGATATGCGGCTTCCTGCTGCGGAATCTGGTTCCCTCCATCTTTCCCTTCCCTAAAAATATAAAAGAAAGCCAGAAAATCTCACATACTGTAGTACTCGGCTCATATCGCGTTGTAACGCATTTTGCTTTCAATATTGACCTTCTACGTTATAGGTTCTCCAGAAAAAAAGTATCGCTACCAATGCAACTTTCGTCCCGATTGCCGAAACGCCTAAGGTTTTTACTTTTATAGGTGGATTCGTCAAATTCTTTAATTTTGTACCAAACAGTTTGGTACAAAATTAAAGAATTTGCATTGCATTGCATTTTAATCCAAGTAGAGTTTTATTTGTCCGTGTGGTGGCGGATTAAGAATACGTTATTTCACCCCTATTCATCTCGCCTTGGGTCTCGTAAGAGCCGACTAAGGGAGCAAAGCAAAGTACGCAAGACAACAGCACTGCAAAGAGAATTAAAACATGACACAATCCCTATACCAACCCGTCTGGCCAGCGTGGTATAGTTGACCAAAACCTACTTTCTAAGGAGAGGCCCATGTCCAGCAATGGACTATGAAAGGCTGTTGATGTGTGTGATCTGATGAAAGTTTTATTTATTAACTATGTCTACATCAAGTCAAATACCTGTAGACTTTACAGGGGCACTCGTCCTGGGCGGTAGTATCAGGGGGTGCCAAAATCAAAATATAGTATAATTAAAAATAAAAAGTTGCTCCACAAGGCGATTAGCATACGGAAGCCTGGTTGGCTCACCGTCCACTTGTAAGAAAAAGGCACCCCAAAGGCCCAAACTGCAAGTGAACCTATATATTTGTGAGCTTTTTTAAGTAATTTATTTCAAACGCTGGAGAGAGGGGCGCCGCTAGTAAGTTTCTGCTCCGGTTGGTTAATCGTAGACCCAGGTCTGTTGATGGATGGATGGCTAATATACAATAAAAACATGTATTCCATAATTCACAGATTCACATTTCATTAAAATCACAGATTTACATTTCTCGCCTCTGCCTATCCCTTCGGGGAGTCTCCCGCACAATATGTTCAACTATCTGTTCAACCAATTCAACATATTGGACGGAATACCGGGCGTGAAGATATACTTATGTTGAATATTTCTAATAAATTAGTTTTGAATTTGAATGTACTTCGCGGCATAAAAAGAACTGAGTGGCGATTCGGTCCACTATCTGTTAATGGGCCTAATAGACCAATGAAAAACATGCCTTTAGACTTTTAAGTATTATTAAACACTTTAAGACGCCTAGATTGGAAATGACTCATTATTAATAAATTAGAGTTTTCGTACATTTTAACGATGATTCGTATTTAAGTGAATTTGAAATGTTTTTGTTTCAAATATTCAAATTTAGTCAATAATAATTGCGGTAAAATGGAAATAGCTTCATAAATCAATAGTTTTACGGAAAAGGTTATTGAAATTGCGTGAGTTACGCCTGTACAAAGTTGTTTCGTCTTGAAAATTATTTAACGTCAAGAGGTACCGCCTCTTAGATTCGATGGACTAATAATCACGAAGTGCAAAAAGTTTTCGTTTTAACTAAATTGAGCATGGATCGATACTTTATAAAATTAGATATAACTTTACTACAATGGAAGAGCTGTGACCAATCTATTGTCGAGAATTGCAACCAACCAACAAAATTGCCATTCGGTAAGAAGCTGTGATGTGCATCACAGCTTCTGGCACTGGTCCACCAGACAGTCACCATATTTTTCCTATGGGTAACCTTTTTTTTGCGCACTGATTAGGTGCAGTACCCAGGTCCACCCACTGAAACGAACGCTTACAGTTGTCGTGAAGAATCCACTTTTCATCGCAGGTAATAATTCGATGCGGAATTCCCTCGTTTCTATGCCGATTTAGTAGTGCTATGCATGCTTCCACGCGTAATTCTCGCTGACGGTCGCTTAGTTCGTGTGGCACCCACTTATCTAGTTTCTTAATCTTTCTACTTCAACATTGTTTTGAAACTAACTCCAAAGCCCGCAGCAAGCTCAGCCGTAGATTGAGTTGGATCCGCTTCCACTATCACCTTCAATCCGTCGTTGTTGGCTATAGTTACTGGCCGACCGCGACGCTCGTTCTTCAGCTCAAATTTTCGAGATCTAAAACGATTGAACCAATAATGGACCGTGCTTATTCAAGCAGTGGTAGGCCCGTACACGTCGTTAATGTTTCGTGTTGTTTGCGCAGCGATATTTGGCAGCGGCGAATCTAGTATTACAATAAATTTCATCGGGACATTTTATTTATGGGTCACCAAGTTCCCGTTACAGCCAAGCAAGGATGAGCAGTTAGTAAACTAAAAGCTAAGGTGATTATTTTGAAAGACAATACACAAAAACAAACAAACAAAAACTTAAAATATTGAGGTGAAAAAAGTCTGAAAACCACCTTAAAAGTATAAGAGAGATATTAAGATACACTAATGCTACCCCCACACGAAAATATAGCAGTGTGAGATTTACTTATTGCTATTGTGATAAACAGTTCTCAGAAGCCAGGGCACTTAAGGAACATAAAATAGACAGTAAAAAAGATTTAACTCACGCCGATTTTATGAACGTCAAGTTTGCCAACTATGTCGTAAAGTTAGACATAACAAATTTAACATGCAAACTGCAACGAGTCAATTTATACTTAGGAACAAGTTATGGAGCATCTAAGAGATCAACACGAGGAGCAGTTATTTAAGGATACACCTAATCATATTTTACCGTTCAAATTTGAAGGTGATTCTTTAAAATGTTACATGTGCTTAAATGTTTTTAACAAATTTACAAGCACTATTGGAACATATGTATATACACTATAAAATTTTCATCTGTGAAGTTTGCGATGCTGGTTTTGTTAAAAACCACGCAATCATAAAATATTAATATTGCCTAAAAGTCTTTTAAAGTAATAGAAATAGAAACAGTCACGAGAGAGCGGTCCATGTTGTCAGCCACAATCTACACAAATGTCCATATTGCAAAGAAAAGTTTAAAACGTTGTAAGGTATACATACGCAGGGGGCCCACGGAATGTGAGAAAGATTTTTTTTACTAAAAAGGGTTTGATCAGTCATCTTGTGTCACATACGGGTTCTAGACATTTCTGGAGCGACGTGTGTTCAAAGTGTTACACCAGAAAAAAACAATTTGAACACATGAGAAAACATAATGACGAGAATCGATTTAAATGTAGGTAAACATTGCGGGCAAGCATTTATACAGAAGCTCAGTATGAATTCTCATATGGTGTCTAAACATGGAGATCACTTACATTAATCTAGTCAAAAGTTACTTATTAAGTTACTGTTTAATAATTCTTAGGAAGTAAATAAACTACGAACAGTTAGTGCATGTAAAATATGTTAGCAAATTCAATTAGTTAAAAGCAATTGATTAGACCTATTTAGTTTTAATTTCAGTGTAAATAATTATGTAAATAAATTACAAATACTTACAACTTATGAATGTAAATGATTATAATATATAAACAATGTGCAATATTGTTGAGCCCTCAGTATTGCAATGCTTGGATAAGGAACTAAGTAATAAATACTTATTTTAATTGTAACATCTGCATTTATGTACACTTAGATTCAAAAAATAATTTGACTACTTTACTAATATTATCAATAGCATTATTGTTTTAATACTCAAAACAGGTAATTGAAAAATTATCTTTCAAATAATATAATTTGTCATGTAAGTCTCTTTAAGTTTCTCGTTAATAAATATTAAAGATTCATTGTTATTTTATTAACAAAAAGGTTAACAAAACTCTAATAGTGATAACCAGAAGGAAAAATTCAAAGTTAAACGGACGTTGAAAAGGTTTACTAACTACGTACATTTTTAAAGAGAATAATGATAAATGAATATCTTTTTCATTAGAAAATAAAATAGTGAATAAAAAGTAATACAACATTTCTCTTTGTAGGTCCCGGACGGGGAACTAGAATGATCAGAATAGAAAGACCTTCAAAACTGAGTGTAGAACTGAAGTTCCTATCAAAACGATCCACTGCCGACGATAGTACCGTAAAGGGTTACGTGTCAGAGACAGCGAAGAACAAGCTGAATTTGACGCATATTTTGCTCAATTCTAACGCCACCCCAATACGGTGTAAAGATAGTTTAGGATACGGGTGCACATTTTGTCTAAAAAAGTTCCCAGAACCCACCAAACTGAAGAAACATTTCCTCGAAGAACACAACAACGACAAATTAATAAAATGTATGTCTGCGAAAATGCTAGAGCATGTCATCAAGCTTGATATAACTTACTTAAATTGCGCTCTTTGCGATAAAGACATTGCGAAACTCGACGATTTTATGTTTCATTTGAAACATGAACATAAAAAAAATATGTACTTGGATGCCAAAACTCATATCGTTCCGTTCAGATTCGATACACCAGAATTGAAATGTGCTATATGTCCCACTGAATTTGGTACTTTTAAACTGTTACAAGAACATATGAACTCCCACTTTGGGAATTACATATGTGAAATATGCGGCGCTGGTTTCGTAATAGACAGGCTTAGGATTTGCCACGTCAAGCGACATGGTAGCGGCGAATTTAAGTGCGATCAGTGTGATAAAACATTTAATAACCAAATCAAAAGACGAGAGCACAAAAAAAGAATACATATGGGTTTCAGTGCGAGGAACAAATGTAAATTTTGCTCAGAAAGATTCGATGATTACTGGAAAAAAGTAAGACATATGGTCAAAGAACATGGGGTACCACCAGTTGTTCTAAAGTGTACAGCCTGCGACCGTACTTTTAACAACCAGAGATCGTTGTCACGCCATACAAAGAAAGATCATCTTTTGGAGCGAAGACACAAATGTGGCGAATGTGACATGAGATTCTTTGGTAAAAGTGGTCTAGAGAAACACATGGCCAAACATACTGGGTTAAGGCAATTTAAATGCGACATTTGTTTAAAGGCGTACGGACGGAAAAATACATTGAGAGAACACATGAGAATACACACTAATGATAGAAGATTTGCCTGCATACATTGTGGTCAAGCCTTTGTACAAAAATGCAGTTGGCGAAGCCATATGCGTTCAAAACATGGAGAGGAAGTGTAGTGCGTAGACTATACAGAGTTATAATTTTCTGTAGATTAATACGATAAGATTTAGTCTGACAAGAATATTTTTTCTTACAATAAACAATAACGAGTCAGTAATAACTAATGCGGAATTACATACCCAAAAATAAAACAGTCACGAGCAATTTGTACGAGTCATTAAAACACTGAAGAAATTGATGGTATTTGTTTGTTTGTAGGTGTACCACGGCACACCGAAGTAACAGATGAAGATATTATCACAACGAAGGAAGCGTCTGTACTGAAAACAGACACATATCATGAGCCTGAAAAAAAGTCGAAAAGTACAACTGAAACCTTGAAAATTATTTTAAAATATTCTAATGCAAATTTAATACGGAAACAAGACAGCGATGGATACGGCTGCATTTTCTGTCCTAAAAAATTTGCAGAGCCCTATAAACTAAAAGAACATTCTATTAAAGAGCATTCTAATGTTGAGAGTCTTCGAATGCCGAGACCTTTCGAGTGCGTAATCAAAGTGGATATCACAGACTTAGAGTGTAAACTTTGCAAAAAGAAGTTCACTAAACTAGATGATTTGGTAACGCATCTAAAGGAGGTGCATGATAAGAACATTATGACTGATAACACAGATATAATACCATTTAAATTCGACGGAGAGGAGTTACGATGTGCAATATGCGACGCAAGATATTCTACATTTAAGATACTGCAGGAACACATGCATAATCATTTCAGGAATTACATTTGTGAGATTTGCTCCTCTGGTTTTATAACTAAGCGTCTGCTAGTTCGCCACAAAAGTAGACATGAGCAAGGAGAGTTCAAATGCGGGCATTGCGAGAAGACATTTGTTCACGATCAGAAAAGGCGGGACCACGAGCAAAGGATACATCTTGGTTTGAAAAAGAGGAACAGATGCAAATTGTGTAACGAGAAATTTGATGACTACTGGACAAAAATGCACCACATGGTCGACAAACATAATGCTCCACCAATATCCTTAAAATGCAATGCATGCGAGCGCACGTTTACTAACAGAAGGTCCTTAGCAAGACACGTCAAAAAGGATCATTTAATGGAAAGAGATCACGTGTGTAGTATTTGTCACATGCAGTTCTTTTTAAAGCATTATTTAGAAGCACATATGAGGGTGCATACTGGAGTGAAAAATTTCAGATGTCATGTGTGTATGAAGCACTATGCATCTAAAAAGTCGCTGCGTCAGCATCTGCGGGCTCATGCCAATGATCGGAAATTTGCTTGCAATTTTTGTGGATTGGCGTTCGTGCAGCGAAGTACTTTAAAAAATCATATTAAAGCAAAGCACGTAGTTTAAAATAATATTATAGCTTTGTTGTTTATCCAATATAGTGCCGATAGAGTGTTCTGTTGTTTTATTTAAACATACATACATTCACTCCTCTATCCCCGAAGGGGTAATCAGAGGCGTGTTAAAGCCCACATTTTGCCGAGTAGAATTTAAATCGTATCTATTTACGTAATGGGAGACAAGCCTATAATTGTCAATCAGATATTTTAGGAAAAGATAATCAGATGAGAATCAATGAAAAGATAGGGATATAAGGTGGGAGTGTAAGCAATGTCAGGGTCGCATACCTTTGTTTTCTTTAACGGGGTGGAAGATAGACCTCATGAATGTCCTTCATCCATTAGGTGGTGGCGAAAGGACTCTTACTGTCTAAAAATCATCCCGGTGTTCCTCTTCTTGCCAATTGCGGTGGGAGCGAGAATCGCAATTGCTTTCTTCCTCGACAGGCATTGACCCGTCTAACCGAACAAGGGGCTTGTAACGTGTTGCGACCGTTGTCACCCTTCGGTCGCAGTACAAAATCGTCACCCGCAGGCCAGTAATTCCATCAAACTGCTGTCGGAAAGTGAGACAACCACGTTTTATTAATAAATTTAAAATATCGATATGCGTCGTTTTATTTAGGTAATCGTGTCACATAAAGAGGAAACTTTACATTCTTTTATCTTCACAATGATTAACACCAGTTCCCCGCTGGCGGTCACAGCGGACGCGCGTGACTCAGTTCGTCCGACCCGTTGAATTCTATTTTATTACGCGACACGTGAATCTTAATATTTATTTTGATTATTTACATAAATAGGGTAACTTCTGGCAACAGTAGCCTCTTTATAAAACAATGTTTGGACTCTCAACGTATCAAAATCCCCCAGTGTACCAACCAACCACAATGTCTTAAGAACCACTCAATATGTCAAGTTATGCAAATGTTACTTCATCCACTTGTTTTCCAAGAAAGAACAAACCATCGTACTAGACTCCATTGACGGTATAACACTCAGGGAGTAACCTCATTGCATTATCGATAATTACACCTGCAACGTCTATACGATTTATATCTCGAATATCGAATTCGCGAATATGTATTTAACTGCCGAAAACCTTGTCGAAGAAAAGAAAAAGGTAACCATCAAAAATAATATTCTTGAAATAAAATCTTGAATTACAAGAAATAACAGGATCGTCCTATCAAATGTTTGTCTCGTTATACCAAATTATGTCATTGAAAAACGATTCAAAGAATTAAATATAAAAATAATGTCGCCACTAACATTTATGAAAATAGGTGTTAGTGACCCAGGATTTGCCCACATCTTAAGTTTCAGAAGACAATTGTATATCAGCTCAGACGATATCGCACGTTTGCCAGTATCATTTCAAATTACATTCGAAGGCACTAATTACTGGATCTATACATCTACTGATGCTCTAAAACGTTTTAATACACGGGCATTTAGCTAAAAATTGCCCACAAAATATAATACACATTCAGGACTACTCCCGTAAATAACAAACAGCAAAAGAAATTATTGATATATTTGATAGATGCGATGATTTAATTGTTACCAAGCCCCAGGATGACCCTAAATATACCACAGTAAATCAAGGCTTTTCACAACTATCTCAGATGAACCCAAAAATTTTACTTGTAGAAAAGATCAAATTATCATTACCCGTTTACGTATCGGACACTCAAATATGACACATATTCATCTAATTACTAAAACCGAAAGAAATAATTAAAGCAAGTGTGGACTAGATTTAACTGTTATGCATTTATAAAAGGAACGCACAGCTTATTGTAGCGAGAAAAAGTTATGTAACATTCAATAATTTACAAGACTTAAAATCAAAATGGATGTATGCAAACTTTTAAGTTTTCTAAAAATGATCAATGCTTATAACCTAGTGTAAACTACAGTGTTGTTATATATGTATCGTGGTCGCTAATGTCTTGAGATGTTAAAAAGCGATCTTAAATAAATAAATAAAAAAAGATAATAAGTGCCATGTTAATATTTGAAACCAAAAAGCAAAAAATTAGTTATCTAAAATATTTTCTTCAAAAATACATTTATATTTGACTGTGTTGTAATAAAATAACATAATGCACACATTATGTTATTTTATTACAACACAGTCAAATTGTATCAAGTCTAGAGGAGATCCTCATATGAAGTTGGTATGATTAAAATACTCAAAATTACTATATAATACTTAATAATAATAAATAAAAATAAGACAAAATAATTTTCAGATCAGCGGTCAAGAAGCAAAGAACAACATGAACCAATCTATTATGAAGACGAAGAAGAGGAAGAGAAGAAACTGACTCTAAACAAGAAGATGAACTTTTCTTCTTTCATATCAATTCGCCCGGTGGGCAAGATGGCAATACCTTGGGTAAGAGATCAACAGAAGAGAATTGCCCAACAGAAACGCATGTCGGAATTAGATTGGCAATTCGACAACATCCGATCAATTTTGAAATGCTCAAATGCGACTCCGGTACGCTGTCGAGTTGGCACTAGATTTGCTTGCAGTTATTGCCTGAATCAGTTCCAGAACCCACATGAGCTAAGGGTACACACAGATCAATGTCATCAAAATGATAAGGCAGAGTTCTTTAACGCGCGGTCATTATCCAGACATATAGTTTATCTTGATATTTCACAGCTAAAATGTAAAATTTGCGATAAAGCTATGGAAGGATTGGAAGAAATCATGGATCACTTGAAGACTGAACACAATGAATTAATACATAAGCAGATCAAAAATCAAATCCTTCCTTTCAAATATGAGGACAGAAAAATTATGTGTGGTGTTTGCTCTCTTGATATTGGAGAGTATTTAGATATTCAGGATCATATGAGTCAACATTATAGAAACTACGTTTGTGAGTTCTGCGATTCAGGGTTCGTTATTCGTAGTAAAATGCTTGAACACAAGAAAGCAGTGCATTTAGTATGATTAGATTCAACATGTATTAAAAAAACAATAACACGTTAGTGCCGTAGTTAGAAATCTATACATATATTCATTTTGACTTTAATAGTCAATGTATAACCATTAAATTATTTGTCATTCTTTAATCTCTTATCTGTAATAAAGTAAAGTCTTATCTATCCGTGTGGTGACGGATTAAGAATATAGAGTGTCACCACCCCTATTCGTCCCGTGGGTGTCGTAAGGGACTAAACTACGCAGGACAACAGTACTGCAAAGAGAACGAAAACTTGAAACGCCTATACCAACCCGTCTGGTCAGCGTTGTATAGTAGGTCAAAACCTCCTTTCTAAGGAGAGGCCTATGTCCACCAGATGACTAGTAAAGGCTGTTGATGATGATGATCTGCAATAGAGTTGAAAAAAGTGGATACATTTTTTTATTGGTTTTAGGTTCAAAGCGAAACATTGCAACTTAATTTCAAGTTAATGTGATTTGTGCATTTTTTTAGCTTTTAATATAATGTGTTACATATGAACATATTTAATAAATGAAAAATAAAATTGTGTTTCATTCGAATTACGTATTAGATTTATTTTGACAGGCATATTGGTCTAGTGGTTAGTGACCCTAACTGCTAAACCCTAGGTCGTGGGTTTGATTCCCGCTCAGAACACTAATACTACTAATGTGGTGTCAGTGTATAGTAATTAATTATACTATTATAATGATAGGACTATACTACAGGACATCTTTAAACGCAATATTTATAGGCCCGCTACGATCCTTCCGGCCGCTACCAACCGGGACAGACGTACGGTTCGACGGTTCCCACATTTGGGCCGCCACATTTTAAACCTCTAATAAGTAGTAATGATATGCTGTAAAAAGCAACTTTTCAACTACATTAAATGCTCAACTTATCTAACGTATTTAATTGGATAAGGAATTATAATGTATTGTTTAAAATAGCTTCGTAAATAACCCCTTATTTTTTTGTAATATTTAAAATATTATAATGGGTTGTTTTCCTTAGGAGATAGATACATACCATAGCGTTCACCGTACCATACCATGGATTTTTTGAAGATCTTTTTAAGATATACAATTCCGCAGTACATAATTTTGGTCTATCTCTTAAGGATTAGTCAGCGATTGCAATGTAAGCGTACAAAAACATGTTTTTAAGACAAATCTTTGAAATTCTAACTCTACTATAATACGCATGTGTTATACATTAAAAACCTTCCTCTTGAATCGCTCTCTGTATTGGTGAAAACCACATTAAAATCCGTTGCTTACGAGTAGTTTAAAAGGTCTAAGCGTACATCACAAAAAGGCGACTTTATATTATGTAAAGATATGCATGTATTTAGAAATATATAGGGCGTTTTGTATCGCCTTGCTTTTCAAAAAGAATGAAATAACAAATAACACATTTCAATATACGTCGGTTAAAATAAAAATAAAATAATTAGTACGAAATTACAGAAACGCAAATTTAGAACAAAATAAATACAATAAAATAATTGTCGAATTTGAACACCATTGAGTCGCGGAACTGTAGACGAAAGCGTCGCAATGTCGCGACGAGCCGGCGAACTTTACATTCTTATTACCTAGCTACTAATCACTTCACTTGCTTTTTAAAATCAATTTATTAAAAATACAATTTTATTCACATGTCTATTTTCGGACTGCTCGCCTAGCTTCGGACCCGGCAGTACTGTCACTCCTTGAAGAAGTAGGTACTTTGGTTGTCTCGTAATCTTTGTTACCGCCCTCACAAAAATTCGGCAGTCTAGGACAGACACGATAGACTCCATACCTCAGTTTGTCTGTAAAGCTAAAGATGCGCTTTGATAGAGTTGCCCGTAAATCCGCGGCTGTGAAGTTCACCCACTCACTCACGGTTTTCTATGGATTTCGTCCATGAAAAAATAGTGACAAAATCTCGTCTTACAAAAACGTGGATCTACGAAGAAAAAAGTGAAACTTAAAGCAGTAAATGATGTATAGCATCTTTAAGAATCGACAGTCGCAATTAATGATAGTAGGTATACTTTTTATTTTAAACTTATACAATAATATTTCTGTGTAGTAGATTGAACTGCATTTCAATGTATATAACTGCATGCTTATTGTAAAAAGAATACTTACTTAACCGGTCATTTGTTGTAGGTACTGAACCAGCATCCGTACTGATCGAGATAGAAGTTGATACGTCATATATGATCGGCAGTACGATTGATTATGTTGATGAAACTCCAGCAGACGATAACGAGGCACAAGTTGTTAAAAACGAAGTCGAAAAGCATAGAGAGAATATTAGAACCATACTACTTTCCACTAACGCGACTCCAATCGGACGATACGGCAGTCTCGGCTACACTTGCTGTTACTGTACAGAGCAGTACACTGACCCCAAGGAACTGAAAAAGCATACAATAGATAGCCACGATGAAGTAAATATTTCTCAATTCATGAACAATCATACGATGTTAAATTATATTGTCAAATTAGACATTACGGCATTAAGATGTGAAATGTGTGTGAAGCCCTTTAGTGAATTGTCACATATCATTGACCATCTGACGATAAAGCACAAGAAATACTTTCACACAGACATTAGCAGTCACATCGTACCATTTAGGTTTGATTCGGAAACGCTTTATTGTGTCGAATGCTCCACCGAATACAGGAACTTTAAAATTCTATTAGAACACATGAATTCACACTATAGCAATCATATCTGCGAAGTTTGTAAAGCGGGCTTCGTTACTAGAAGAATGCTTCAAGCTCACATGTACAGACACAAAATTGGTGTTTTCCAATGTGGATATTGTCCAAAAATTTTCGACACACGAATCAAAATGAAAGTGCATGAAAGAGTAGTGCATATGTACGTGAAAAAGAGGCCCAAATGTGGTGCTTGCGAAAAGAAATTTGTTGATTTCAACGACATGGTACAACATGAAGAGCACGTGCATGGATTGAAAAGGGAATTCAAATGTGAAATGTGTAACAGAATGTTCAATTGTCAGAAGTCGTTCACTATACATAATAGATATCATTGTGTTTCTGATGTTGCTTAATTGTCATGGTTTGGAAATTATGGGTAGAAAGAAGTGAAGTGGAGTAGTACTAGCGTTAATCTTTCACTATGATCTTATTGTATGTAACCTAAAAAAGTATTTAACTTTATATTTTGTAAGCATTAGATGCTTTAAGTTTTGTTACCGCCTATTTTTACCTTAATTTAACATATATGCATACATTATTTACTTAAAAAGTTACTTATATTTATTGCGGTAATTAATGTGATTACTTTGCCCGCGTGTGTGAGACGGGTACAACCATTACATGAAACGTTCGTATATCATACTATGGCTAACCAAGTCATAATATATCCTTTAAGTGTTAACATTTGATGATATGTCAATACACGTTCGGCCATCTCGTTTATCTAGGTTCCCGATGATAGAAGGTTTAATGAAAAACGTAAATAAAAAAGAAACATGTACCCACATCGATATTTTAAGTTGTCGCAATGTTTAGCTAGCCATACACGCACAGATCTGCCTGCCGGATCTGTCCGACAGGCAGATCCGTGATTCGCCACACACGAGTACGGGCAGCAGTTCAGATCGTAATGAGAGCAAATACGGTCGTCTGTAAAAACTAGTCTTTTTAAACTAGTGTAGAAGCAATGGGAAAGCTTCTCTCCTTCTTTAATCGTATCCTACTCTAATTATCTGTTGCGCTATTTTTAAATTTTGAACCTACTTGCTATTGTGGCGCCATCTTAATTTGCTGCCTTTCAGTGGACACTTTTTAATATATGAGATGTTTCTCCTTACCTCTACCCTCCATACTTCGAGTGTTAGAGCGCGACTGACGTCAAATCTGGCGGGTACATCCGTCGCTACGCACACACGCACAGTTGGGAGCTCGGATCTACCCGCCCCGTGCCCGATCCGCTCGATTTGACCACGGGCAGCGGGCAGGCACCGGGCGTGCAAATCCGTGTCCGTTCTCACCATACACGCACGGATCTGTCCGCCAGGCACGTCTGTCGGACAGATCCGGCAGGCAGATCTGTGCGTGTATGGCTAGCTATTATCTTCTATAATTTACAGATTACATTCGTTTTAAAACAGTACAAGTAATTAATTATCCTTGGGCATGATGCATCATGAAATCAGAACTTACAATTGTTTATAATCTAAACATTTTATTAAATAATCTCAGTGATCACATCATGTATTATTGACTTTATTGTAAAGCACCGCGAATTTTGCTGTTATGGGCAATCCCAGATTTTTATTGTTCTGGCAATGCATATCTTGGTGTAAACAACCATTTCATGGGATACTTATATTTCATTAAATAGTCAGACATATATGAAGCGATCAATTTTAAGATCCGATCACTGCCATCCCTTTATCGCGTTAACTAAATATCTCTGGCGCGTTCTAGTTTTTCGTTGTATCGAACTGTAAAGTGATTGCTTATAGCTCAATACAACAAGAATAGCAATAGATATCATGTCAGAAGACGGTTTTATCTTTTGATAAACAAGTTAACAGTTTTGTTCTTTACCAAAAAGAAAATGGGAGTTTATTCTCAAAAGGAATGTGAGTTTAGTAATAGAATAAAAGCAGTGCACTCTTTGAGAGACAGGCCGTTCCCATATAATTGACGTGCTGTTATTAACATTTAAACCGAGGCATTTTATCCAATTTTAACATAAGCTTTAGTAACATAACATAAATTAACATAAGCTTTGTACAACCAGCCAGCCCGTCTGACCAGCGTGTTATAGTAGGCCAAACCTCCTTTCTAAGGAGAGGCCTATGTCCAGTACTGGACTACTAAATGCTGTTGGTGATGAAGTTTTGTACAATAAATCGTTTACATATTTGGGTGATGTATTTTCGTATTAAATAACAATAGATGTATTTATAAATTAATATTAAAGTATTATTAGAGTTAGATCGTATACATTCGTATGTAATTACTATATCTTATAGATACAGGAAATTAATAGTAGCAAATGCTTAAACGCTTTATATTAAAAATAAATGCAACATCAAAATATATGTTAGTCGTATTTTTTACCTTGAATCTATAAATAAATACATTTCATTTAGTTATCTCTATCTATGAATGATATCTGTTGCATTTAATGTAACGTTTTGAAACTAAGCAATTCATTTTATTCTTATTTATAGATCCTCCGCAAGCCATGAAGGAGTCCGATTTAACAGTTGAGCCTAAAGAAGGAACGAAAAAGATAAAAGTCATCGCAACGAAACGTCGCGTAGAACTAAAAAAACAAAAAAATAAGGAAAAAACAAAGAAATTAAAGATTATCAAAATCAGGCCTGCTGAACAGATAAAGGAGCAACTAGAAAAGTCTAAATGGATTTTCAAAAGCGAAGTCGATCGTCACAAAGATAACATTAGAACAATTTTATGTAATTCCAATGCGACGCCCATTGGAAGATATGGAGGAATTGGATATGGGTGCTGCTTCTGTGCGAAACAGTTTAAAACACCGATGGAACTAAAAAATCATACGGTGGTTGTCCACAAGGATGATAAAATGAGCTTTATGAAAAATGTACCTTTGCTCAGTTTCATTGTTAAATTGGACATCACCAATTTAATATGTGATTTGTGTTTAACGAGCTTTGACAGTTTAGATGGCTTAGTCGATCATTTAGAATCGATTCACAAAAAGCATTTTCATAAAGAAATAAAAGATCACATTTTACCTTTTAAATTTGATGAAGGCAGGATTATAAAATGTGTCGTTTGTAGCAATGATCATAATAATTTTAAAGTGCTTTTAGAACACATGAACACGCATTTTAAAAATTACGTGTGTGATGTGTGCGGTGCAGGGTTTGTGAATAATAAGATCTTGAAAACTCACGCCGCCAGACACCAGACCGGCGTATTTGAATGTTCGTATTGTCCAAAAATATTTAATACACTTGTTAAAAAAAGAGATCACGAAAGAGCTATACATGTAACATTTTCTAAGAGAAGTAAGTGTGGATATTGTGGAGAGAAATTCTCCGATTACACGAAGAAGAACAATCATGAAGTTAAAGTCCACGGCGCCAAACCTGTGGTGCTCAAGTGTCAAGCTTGTGAGAAAACGTTCAACAACCAGAGGTCGCTATCTTCGCATACAAAGAGTTATCATTTAATGGTAAAACGTGTATTGAATAAATAAACATATTATGATGAGTAAACTAGTTATTTAATAAATAATATGTATGTAGGTATGCAATATCTATTATTTTGAATCGTGACATCGGAGACAACACATGGTTTAGGTACTATACACCTTTTCATCTCGATAATAAATTGTAAGCCAGCGACTTCGGCGATCATTTCAGACTATTAGGTAGTATTGTATGGTCTTATAACCTCCTTTCTAAGGAGAGGCTTATGTCCAGCAGTGGACTATGAAAGGCTGTTGATGATGATGATGTATGGACTTATTTTATGTGGGTTTCTAAATAAAGTCTCAAGTCGTCAGAAGGTATTTCATTCTAAATTAGGGACCCTAACACCAACCCTAATTAGCCATGCGTTTAACTGTCACACTCAAATATTGATTATTAATGATTATATCATATATATATATAGTACTCATAACACCTAGTTTAAGATTTATTTATTGTAACTATTCTGTGTGAGAAAAACAAAAATCAATTTTATTATTATTCAGTTAATATTCTTGGTTTTATCAAACTATAAAATAATTTCTTAAAGCGCAATACAACAGGAATGGAAATTGAAATCATGTCAGAAGACGGTTTTCTCTTTTGATAGACAAGGTAACAGTTTTGTTTTAAAAATATAAAAAAAAAATATTCTCAAAAGGAATGTTAGGTAGAAAGTGAAGACTGGCCGTTGTTATATAATTGACATGCTATAATTAACATTTAAACTGAAGGATTTTATCTCGTTTTAGTCAGTCAACTCGAATATTCTCGAAATAAACCCACATAAGCTTTGTGTAATAAATCTTTTACATATAAGGGTGATTATGATCGTATACTTTCGCATGTAATTACTATATATTTGATTTAAGTGATAGATACAGGACATTCATTGTAGCAAAAGCTTTATATTAGAAATAAATGCGCCTTTGATATATCTTACTCGTATTTTAATTAACTGTATATCTATAAAAAAAAAAAATTCACCCCTGACGCAAAAGCGACGGGTGTTATAAGTTTGACGTGTCTGTGTGTGTGTATGTCCGTCTCTGGCATCGTAGCTCTCTAACGGATGAACCGATTTTGACTTTGTTTTTTTTGAAAGGTGAATTAGTCGGGAGTGTTCTTAGCTATGTTTGATGAAAATCAGTCTAAGATGGCCGCCGCCACAAAATGGCGGATTACATATTTTTTCACAACTCCCTTAATATGGGTATCAAATGAAAGAGCTGGACTAGTAGAAATTATTTTACTAGTCAAGCTCTTTATCGAGCTTTATCAAATCCAAAATGTGTCGGGTTTAACTTTTAATTTAAAGATTATGTTGCATGTTTTGAAATTAAGCAACTCGTTTTATTCTTATTTTATAGATCCACTGCAAGCCGTGACGACGTCAAATTTAACAGTTGAGCCTAAAGAAGTAACGAAAATCCTAGAGGTCGTCGATATAAAACCTCGCATAGAACTTAACACGTCTGATGGGCTTATAAAGGAGCAACCAGAAAAACCTAAAAGGATAAAAAACGAAATCAATTATCACAAGAATAACATCAGAACAATTTTATGCAATTCCAACGCGACGCCCATCGGAAGATATGGAGGAATTGGATATGGATGCTGCTTCTGTGTCCAACAGTTTGAAACGCCGATGAAATTAAAAAATCATACGGTGGTTGTCCACAACGATGATAAAATGAGCTTTATGGAAAATGTACCTTTGCTCAGTTTCATTGTTAAATTGGACATCACTAATTTAATATGTGCTTTGTGTTTAATGAGCTTTGACAGTTTAAATGGCTTAGTCGATCATTTAGAATCGATTCACGAAAAGCATTTTCATAAAGGAATAAAAGATCACATTTTACCTTTTAAATTTGATGAAGGCAGGATTATAAAATGTGTCGTTTGTAGCAATGATCACAATAATTTTAAAGTGCTTTTAGAACACATGAACACGCATTTTAAAAATTATGTGTGTAAAGTGTGCGGTGCAGGATTTGTAAATAGAAAAATCTTGAAAAATCACGCCGCCAGACACAAGACCGGCGTTTTTGAATGTTCGTATTGTGCAAAAATATTTAATACATATGTTAAGAAAAGAGATCACGAGAGAGTTATACATATAAAATGTTCTATGAGAAGTAAGTGTGGATATTGCGGGGAGAAATTCTCCGATTACACGAAGAAGAACAATCATGAAGTTAAATTCCACGGCGCCAAACCTGTGGTGCTCAAGTGTCAAGCTTGTGAGAAAACGTACAACAACCAGAGGTCGCTATCTGCGCATATAAAGAAATATCATTAAAATTACTTTTATAAATAACATGTATTGAATAAATAAACTTATTACTTCGAATGTGATGAGCAAACTAGCTATTCAATAAATGTATTTTCTAATATTTTAAATAGTGACATTAGAAACAACACATGGTTTAGCTACCAAACACCTTTTCAACTCTAAATTCTTTTCTATTCACAAATACCGCAGTGTCGTAAAACAAAAGTCTTTTAGGTTTTAGGTAGATACGCAGTGTGTGCTTTGTTGTTGTATTATTGTGTTTGCCAGTGATGACTAATCACAGAGACGTTTTTCCTCCAAATTGGCCCCATAAGAAGCTCCTCCTCATAATAAATCATCCAAAGAGCAATGGAGAGGGCAATGCTTCTCTCCGTCATCGAATCAGGAATAGGAGATCCGCAGACGAGCCAACATCACCGACATTGCCCAGAGGATTGCTAATCTTAGGTGGCAGAGGCGAGGCACATTGCTCGCAGAAACAATGACCGATGGAGGCGAAAAAGATCTGGGATGGCGACCGCGTACCGGTAAAAGGAGCATCGGTAGGCCCTCCACAATGTGGTCCGACGTCCTGGCTAAGATTGCGGAAAGTTGTTGGATGAGGGAAGCACAGGACTGGTTGTTAGGTCGAACCTTCAGGGAGGCTTATGTCCAGCCGTGGACGTCTTTCGGCTAAGATGATGATGAATAAATTCTTTGTGAGTATGTACCCTACAGTTTTACACTTTTTTTCAATCCTTTGCTTTCCGCATTCGACCATCAATCAAGACTATAGCAGTCGCCAAAGTGATAACTACGAGTAGGTACGTAGGCCTTAACACTAAGGCGAAAAGGCTTGATATTGGTAATTAAAACAATTTATGCCGTAAGTAATTTAGTTCTTTTTCATTGTTTGCCTACCATTTACCTGGCAACTCTAGCGCCACGCGTGCATTTGCCTTACTCTCCTTTTTTTGGGGTGGTTATGTCGGACTCGAATCGATTGAAAATCGCACGCAGTCTCGGGTACCAGTAGCCAGGGAACCAGGTGTACCCTAAAATTGCAATCATTGATACCACGACGTACCTCGGGCCATCTACGACGTATAGATGACCCCCTCCTATGTGAAAACTCCCATGTTCCCTTTGTGCTTCACAAAGTCTCTCCTATAGATTACAGGAGTTGGTCCTCCTGGTCCGACACACATTAAACACACTAATAGACTCTTTTTAGTTAGATACGCAGTAATTGTTTCACAAATATGTATTGTAAGAATACAATTTATAATCCCCCGATATTGCTTTACTTATCTTAAAATGCGTAACATATGGCGAAAATACAATCGGTGCAAAATACATTTTAAAAAACCATTTCAGGAAATATATTAACCTAGCTGGTGCCCGCGACTTCGTCCGCGTGGAGTTTGAATAGCGCTACCTTAGTGAGTTCTATAGTATATGATTATTTATTTATTGTCTAGGCACTAACAACACTTACTACATTTAAATATAATTATTCACTTTACAGTATAGTTACAAGCCGCCATCTTAGCTCTGTGATGGCGACTTTTGAGATGGAACCTTAAACTAGCCCGTTGAACAAAAGAGGCTTCGCAAATGCTACATAAAAATGGCCTCTCACCCGTGTGCAACCTATAATGAGCTTGAAAACATTCCTTCCTAGCAAAATCTTTCTGACATACGTCACACTTAAAAACTCTGTTTTGATTATGGGTAATCATATGATCCCGCAAATTTGACTCAGTATGAAACATCTTCTTACAAATCTGACATTCTTTTCTCTTCTCATTTAAATGCACGTTCCTTTGATGACGTATCAAGGCACTTTTCATCAAAGTCCTGAGACCACAGATTCCACAAGTTGGCATCGGAATATCATGCGCCTCGTTCATATGAAATAGATATTTTTTTCGCACGAATTTCAAATGACAGTGCTGACACTTCTTTTCAATATGGACGTCCATCATGTGTTCGGCCAATGTGTTTTTTCTTTTGAATTGTCTATTGCAGTTGCCACATAAGAAATTATCTGATTTTTTTATGCTGTGCACGATGCTCATGTGTTGTTTGCGCTGACTGTGATACATGAAGCTTTCAGGGCAGAGCTTACATTTAATAAACTTTTTTTTGAGGTGTGTTCTATTAATATGGTATCGTAGGTCCGATACTCTTCTGTAGGCGAAGTCACAGGCTTTGCACGTGTACTTTTGGTCAGGTCTCGCTTCCGTAACGTAGTCATCGACTCGAGGGTAATCTGTAACAATAAAAGAGGAATTAGGTTGTAATTATAATTAAACACACATATAATATAAAAAAAAAAAAATATTATATAATAATAAAGGTAAAACAAGATGTACTAAGATGGTAGTCACCGAAAACTACTTTAGATGTTGTTGAGAACTGTATGGATTACAGAAGAAAAAGTACAAAGAACAGTGCCTTCTCCTGCGTGCCTGCCTCCTCCTTTCGGTGGTGGTCGGTTGAAAATTACCGTTATCTTAGCGTTATGTCACTTAATGAGGTCTTAGCAGAATACCATCGACATTTTAGTGGTATTCTGTTAACACCTAGCTATTGCTAATACAGGTTGGGTGAACTGCCAGGTTACTACGTTGACAAATGAAAGCAGAAAATAACTAAAATCTCATAGTTTCTTAGCAGCGCCTGCAAATCGAGGAGTCTTCTTTTAAGATCAGTGCAAAAATCATACGTAAGTAGCTAAGTAGACTTATAACCCTATAAACTGTATTTCTATTTGTTCAAATGTGATCTGACATTGTGTAAATTGAAATGTAGTTTAACTGTCTCTAATATTACGTTTTTATGATATCCGGGATAAGCAGCTCTAAGCACATGCTTGCTAAATGTTGTAGATTATAGATGTAAAACAACCGATTTATAACGTTTTAAATAAAATTTTGCTGTTTTAAACCAAAAAAGTAATTATTATTAAACGGTTGACAACTCGCCTACATAAATAAAACAACTGTTTTTACATATACTGCAAGCAATTTTTGGTTACTTGGCGTCATGTTTCGTTTTAATTAGTTTATAGAAAATCAATAGAAAGTACCCACCTTCATTACCTACAACACGAAAACTTAAGTATGTAGGTATACCTACCTATACTTATTTATTATATTACACACACTAGATTATAAGACATCATTACACAATGCCATCCGGTTTACTTGCGCATGAAAAAGACAACATTATGTCTTCAAGGCCGTCGCGCAAGTGCGAGAGTGTGAGTTTGGTTTTAAACCGAATCAAATTGTTTATTTATATCGTTTGAAAACAATGAAAAAATGATTATTTAGCAATACAGAGTTTTTAACTTTTCAATAGTGTTTTTATAATTTCGGTAGGTAATACCTTTTTTTTTCCGTGCGGAAATCCCCTCGGATACCACCTATCGGTGGCATGTCGGACTCGAACCGACTAAAACCGCACGCTGTCTCTGGTACTAATAGCCGGGGAACCAGGTATACCCTAGAAAGGAAGTCCCTGGTGCCCCGACATACCTCGGGCCATCTACAACAACAGGTAGACGACCCCCCTCGGTAGGTAATACCTACGCTTGGTCGGACGGACCAACTACAACTAAACCCGCTTAGTATATCAATATCAGTATAACATACATATAAAAATCTTTACACAGTTTATAGGTACTCCGTCAAATCCATACCTCGGTAAAATTAAAAAAAATGTAGCTATTATTAAGAAAAACATAGTCATCAACACCAACCGCTTTAAAAACGAAAAAAAATGTTTATTTCGGTATTAAAACCGGCCTTACATCTATATACTAGATCCTATTCGATAGCCGATTGAGGTAGGGACACTTCATATTTCAAACGCGAGTATTTCTATTGTTTGCCTTACAATTGTCTACAATTATTTCTTTAGTAAAATCATTGACAGTTATCCCTAAGAAATGTTAAGGTTAATCTGCATTTAACAGATTCGAATTATTTGGATCAAGGTATAAACAAAAGAAAACATATATGCAGGCTTAAAACATTTATTAAACCATCTCTGGATGTCTTTTAGTAGTGTGGTACTTCAAGCTTGTTTGTTGTACAAACGCCTCTTTGCAAACTGTACACACATGCCTCCTATCATCTAAATGCATTAAAATATGTGTCCTCAAATTTTTCTTCCACTTAAAAGTTTTCTCACAGTATTTACACTTATGGATCCTAATTGCCGTGTGTTTTATAAAATGTTGTGACAGATTGCCTTGTGATGCAAACTTCATGCCACACACCTCACAGTTGAACATTTTCTCGCCCATGTGATCATTTTTTTGGTGTCGCAACACTTGGAATGGGTAGGCAAACTTTTTGCCACAAGCTCCACACGTTGGGGCTGGTATGCCGTGTTCTTTTTCCAGGTGGAATGCTCTTAGATGACCTGGGACTCGGATTTCGCAGAAGTAGCAAGATCTCAGTTTTGGTCGTAAACGTAAATGGACATGGCGATAGTGTTGGACGACGCTTGCAAATGATTTATACACTTTGTGGCACGATGTGCATGTGTAGTTGTGGGATCCGTCTTCTGCTCGGTCAAATGTGTAGTAAGAGGCGGTTTCTGAGGTTAACTCTGAAACAATGAATAAAATTCAGCCGTGGGCAATCGTGAATCAATATTATTTGCCTGCCCTTTTCTTAATTTTATATATCGGCTCAATCTGTTGTTAGGATAGGATGTTGGATGATCTATTATAAACAGCGGACAGCCGTCTGATCGACGCCAATTAGGAAAGCGTGAATAATATTGTTTCTATCAAAGATTATACATATAATAGCTTCTAAATCACAGTTTTTATTTAAATACATTGTTAATTACTTCTTCGATAGTTCACATTTAAGAATCCAAGAAACTCTCCACACAGCATTTATGTTGGTAGGGTTGAGAAATCTACTGGACATGCGTTGTTTACCTTACTTGACTGTCATGAAAACTTTTATATCGATTACATTTGTTTCCTATGTTACATTTTCTTATTTAAACATCGACTCTGTTGCTCCTGAAGAACACTTGAGGCGGTGTTTTTGTATTCAAACGCATATGAAGTTTACATTCCAATTAATGATTAGTCTTACTACCATGACTAACATGTCAAAATTTTCACATGTCACATAAAATGCAGAGGTTCTTTTTGTCATTTATGATTATTAGACCGGTTTATTGAATAAAATGTAGCAATAAGGACCGGTTTTTCAATCCTCAGATAAACAGTTAGCATTTATTCCACAGTTAGCGTAATTTTGGGTTTTTCAATGGTCAGATAGCTGTTATCTGAAGAATAAAGCTTGAATCAGAGGAATAACTTTATCTGTCATTTCACGCCTCAGTTAGTGAAATTATCAGTAGAATAGTGATTTTGACCTTTGAGTATTTGGTAACATTCTCTAATATTAAAGTAAAGTTTATATACGTTGTCCTTATTGAGTATTTAAATTTAGCTGTGTAGTGTCCCGAGAGAAAATAAAGGGTTTAAGAGAAAGATAATTATGACAATACTTTTTGTGTTAATGAACAATTTTATTACAAGTTATTAGCAAATTTAATACTCGTTTCATAATTGATTCTATTTTATACGAAAGTAACACAAAAAATAATTATATTCTTTACTACATCGTCCGTGTGGTGACGGATTAAGAATACGGAGTGTCACCATCCCTGTTCATCAAACCGGTTGGTATAGGTTTTGTTTCAAGTTTTCCTTCTCTTTGCATTGCTGTTGTTATGCGCAGTGTGCTCCCTTAGTCGTCTCTTACAATACCCATGGGATGAACAGGGATGGTGACACTCCGTATTCTTAATCCTTTGGCCAGCGTGGTATAAGCCAAAACCTCCTTTCTAAGGAGAGGCCTATGTCCAGCAGTGGACTGTTAAAGGCTGTTGATGATGATGATGATACTACATTTACACAGCGCCATCCAGTCCCAAACTAAGAGCTCAGAGCTTGTATTATGGGTACTAGACAACATATATAAATACATATACTATTTTTTGTAAATACATACATATACAATGTTGTCTAATAGCTTGTGATCCTTATCTAACGTGTTACTAACTGTATAGCTGCATCTCACTTACGCATGTTTACAGTGAACTTAGCCATGAAAGACCATCAAGTACTTTTTCTGTTTTTCAATCGGGTGTAAACAGACAGATAGTGTCTCACCCAATTGAAAACAGAAAAAGTTTATTTTAACACATATATGCAGTGATAAAAATGTGAATACTACATTTTTGCTGACCTATTCGTACATCAGTACTAATAGGTCAGTAATCGTTTTAAGGAATAATGTGAAACTAGGAAGGGTTTTCTCCCGAAAGCGTTTTATATAGAAATATTTAGGAATTGTACTACACCAATCAAAGAAAAGACTATCGAGAATATATAACTTCGATGGTCACTTTATTCCTAGTTTACCTGCGATGTAATAAAAAGTAAAAAAAAGATGGTAGAAAGTATCTCCACTTTTCTATTTTAATCTATATCTTAGGCCTTCGTAATACATATACAATAATACAAGTGTCTAATACTTTGATATATAAGTTTTACTTAACATACCTTTCAAACTTTACATGCTTATTACGTCACAAGTTTCTGAATACAATGAAAACAAATATTGTCATTTTGTAATTAACTATGAGATTTTGTCGTAACTATAAAAAAGAATGCATATTCAGTCTTGAAAGTAATCATTACGCAATAATTTTTTTGTACAGTTTCAGGGACATTTAGCAGGCACTTAAAACTCTTTCTAATTCACTGAACTTCAACACCTGGATGATTCCTAGCAGTGTGCTGCTTCAAAGTCGACTTCTGAATGAAAGCTTTGTCACACACGCGACAGACAAACTTCTTATCGCCTGTATGAATTTTTACATGGTCCTTCAAGTTATTTTCCCATCGAAACATTCTCTCACAAATCTCACATTTAAACTTTTTCTCGCTCGAATGCGAAGACATGTGTAGCCTTAAACTTAATTGATTAAAAAAACTTTTTTGACAGATGTCACAAGTGACAGTTTTCTCGCCCATATGTACTTTTTTCTGATGCTCCAGAACGTGGCAAGGGAATCGAAACTTTTTGCTGCAAACTCCACAGGTAGGTGCTGGTATTCCGTGCTTATTTTCAAGGTGAAACGCCCGAAGGTAGCCAGGAATCATTTCATCACACTTCGGGCACTTCCGTTCTCTAGGGCGTTTTTTTAAATGGACGAATCGGTAGTGTTGGGACACGAGGGGCTGTGACGCGAAAGACCGGTGGCAATTGTTGCACGAGTACCGGTTTTGTGCGACTGTATAGTAAGTGCATCGGCCTAGAAGAAAGAAAAATTGTATAAGTCTTCTTTCTTCTATGTTTTAACACTATATTAAATGGAAGCACTTTAATCAGCTTTCAAAGACACCCAACGATAACCAACGACTTAAAAAAGGTTTAAAGTGAGTGATCGTGTATTTGCTTAAAATACCTGGACCACAGTGATATTAGACTGTAGTTCAAACTTTTATATCATAAGCAAATTCAAAAAATCAATATGAATAATAACATATTATCGAGGAAAGCAAAGAGAAAATAAGAAAGTTGGGTTAAAAGATTTAATAAAAAATCCTAATGTATTCGCAATATACATGTGCAGTGTCCAGAATATCGTGTAATGTGAAGCATTCAAACTACTGACTTAGTTATCAATAATGAGTACAAAAGCTAACAGAGCACAAAAATTATTATGCCTCGGTGGTGTAGTGGTAGCGTATGCGACTGCTGTGCTGAGGTTTCGGGATCGATTCCCGAATCGTCCGATTCTTGGGAATGGATCGAAATGTTTGTATGATCTGCAAATTTTTGTTCAGAAGTTTGGGTGTTTTCTATGTATAATATATATGCATTTACAAAAAAAAAGTATATGAGTATTCTATTAGTCAATCAAGCTTTCATAGCACAAGCTCTGCTTAGTTTGAAACTAGATTACGTTGTGTGTCGGATGTCCCAAATTATTCTATTATTCTAAATCTAATTGGTAGGTTTGGCCATTTTGTAACTATAATATTAAGACAACATTATTTTAAACGCAGTAACACCAATAACTCGCAATTTAACTATACTATTTATTCATCATCATCATCAACAGCCTTTAGTAGTCCACTGCTGGACATAGGCCTCTCATCAGAAAGGAGGTTTTGACCTACTATTTATTACCATAAAAAAAATAAAGTCATGTAAGAAATTGTGTACTTTATTTACATGTAGCAACATAATAGGCATAGCCATCATAAGGCACGATGCAAAAAGGAACTAAATACCGTAATTCACACATTTTAGGTGTTTTACAAAATCTTGCGAGAACGCATTGCAGTCATTAACGCTCAAGTTAAAATATATTTAAATAATAGAATATTCCAGAAAAAGTTCGAGTATTTCAGGACGTTCCACAATGTTGCAGAGGTTTCCATAGGGGTGTTAAATCAGTCGGGTTATTACGAGAATTTATAGAAAGTAAAGTTCTTGAACCTTCTAGATCTTTCTATAAAAAAGTCATACATTTGCCCGCCGTGATACAGCATGGATTTGTCCTAACCCGTAGTATAATTAGTACATTCTACATTATAAAGAATATACAGAAATAAAATATAATATATACAAATTAACAAAGACATTTGAGTAACAATAGACTTGATCAGGAATATTCACAAACAAAACACATTAGACTTAATAAAAAAACCTAACAGAGAACTATATCTATACACTAAAATAACTTAATTCTGACATTTATTTTAATCGGATTCAAAGTTCATCACTATTTTCGCTTATGGGCGTTTCTCTGTAAACTGGGCAACTCGTTCTAAGGAAACTGTCTAGGCAACTTTTTTGCTCATAATATAATAAATTTTATTTAGGGAACAAGTATCCGTCTATTTATTAATATAGGGCAGATGAACCACAAATATTCCCATTACTTTAGAAAATATTAAGCATTTTCTGAAAAATGTATACAGGGGACTGTTGTCAAAGCCAGGGGACTGTGAACTTAAAAAAAAAAGACAATTTAAGTATCGAAATTAAATGTTTTTTTATTATTATAAACTTTTTAGCTTAAGAATTAAGTAACTGAATAATAAAAAATTAAAGAATCAACTATCTTTATGTAATATTGTACTTAGCACTGTAATTTTAATATTTACTTATTATTAATTAAAATCACATATATTGAAAGGACTTTCAGTACTTTGAAACTTACACTACAGAATCAGTCTCGAAAAATAATTAGTTATTTCTAAAATATAGCATAAATAGATAAAAAAAACAGTATTTAAAGTCTTATTTTTTCTCGAAAACATCTACAGGTGAATCAAACTTGTAAAACATTCTATTGCCTTTTAAAACTATATTGGGATTAGACAGCTTCTGTACCACTTGGTCCATTGTAATGTCTGCCACATCATCATCATCATATCTAAATAATTGACCTTTATTATCACAGAGCTTTAAGAATGTAACCCGGATTTCGCCATCTTCTTCATCAATCTTGGCAATTATGCTCGCATATCTATATTCCATATTTGTTTTGCCAAGTAATTTCACAACAACATAATCTCCAGCTTTTTTGACCAGATCTTTACTTGATTCTGGAGTATCTGCCATTTTTTGTAACTTTGTATTTGGTGTATCTTTAGGCTTTGGATTTATATTCTTTTTTAGTCGCGATAAACGTTTTTTGTACTTTAATACTTTCTTCTGCATTTCTTTATCTTTTTTCTTCTTTATTTTATATCTAAGCATCTTTTCTTTATTTTTATTAATTATTTCAGCAACTTTAGGTGTTGACATTTGACATGAAGTAGATACATCAGAATCTGGAGTATTGTCTTTAATAAATGAGTTAGTAATATTTGCTAATACTTTTTTCTTATTGCGATACTTGTTGCAATGCTCTTTCCACTTCTTCTTGGCATTTCGGTGTTCTCGTGGGGTCATATTCTTAACAAGCTTTCTAGTTCCCTTTTCTTTTTTCTTAAGGTACTTAAGGCGTTCTTTTTCTTTAAGTTCTTCCCTTTTCTGAGGGTCGTTTTTAATCTTCTTATATCTCTTTCGCTCTGCTTCCCTTTTTTTGTAGAATCTCTTCTTTAGTGGCTTTTTTTTTTCTTTCGTGCCATTCTCAAAACAAATCTAAAACAATAACAAATATTATTTAGACAGTCCTCTGGATGCTGAAAGCTGCTGCTGCTGTCCTGTAGAGAGACAGGGGACTGTTGCCAGGGGACTGTTTAATTTGATTTCATTGATGAGTAGTACAAAATGTAATTGATCTATGCTACTTTGCTGCACATGGGAAGTATGTATCTATTGTAACAATTTAAATATTTGAAGGAATCATTAAAATACATAAATAGAAGTAAAATAATCCTTACCAGAGGACTGTTGGCTGTCAGGTTACAACGCGGCTTCCACGGAAGGACGCTCGAACACTACTAAATAAGATGGAGTTCGGGTCGTCATGGCGGCAATCGCGCAAACTTCGAACTTGTTGCGTTGCGTTACACGCATAAAAGGCGTTGTTTAACCTTTCGGCTACGCGACACGTAATTTAAAATATAGACAGGGGGACTGTTCACTAAATGCGAAGACAAAGTTTCATTGCCTTTCTTTAAATTGTAAAATAATATTTATGTAAAATAAATAGGTCTCATTGACAATCAAACAATATTAATTTAATAATACAACAATTCGATTAATTCCAATAGATACTATCTCGATTAATTTAGTCTGAAGTAACTATACTGCTTTGGTGACATGCCAGGGGACTGGTTTTTAAGAACTATAAAAACGTTTTTAATATAATAAAGTTTATTTTAGTCGATTTTTTATGTTGAGCAGCGGTAGATTAAGGTATTGAGTTTTGGAATTATCTACGAAATATTTACGGTCTTTTATTTTTTTTAACAAAATTAGCCTGAGACAATGAGTTGCCCAGTTTAGAGAGAAACGCCCTTATATTTAAAAAAAAAAGAACTTGCTAAGACAGAATCGAGAATAACAATTCTGATTACAAATTAATTTTGACTATTTTCAAACCTTCATTCTTTTTCTCTAGCTTCCAAAGTTTTTTATTATTATCATCATCATCATCATCACATCAACAGCCTTTACTAGTCCACTGCTGAACATAGGTCTCTCCTTAAAAAGTAGGTTTTATTATCATCATTTAAGACGAAAGGCGTCCGCTGCTGGACATAGGCCTCCCCTACGAATAATTCGTAGGGCCTCCCGTAAGGTCCTTTTGAGTACCGGAAGACGGGCCGTGGGTAGGCTCCCGATAAGGTGGTACGACGACCTGATGAGCGGTGGTAATGCGGGCAGCGGACACCGGTTATTGTGGCGAACCTTGGTTTCATTCAATTCACAACACACTTCTTCAATAACACAACTTATCTAAAAATTGACTTCAGGATGATACTTCATCATATGATAATTCAAGCTTGCTTTCTGAACAAACGCTTGTCCACACTCATTGCAAACTTTTCTTCTATCACCCGTATGAATTCTCTCGTGCAAAACCAAAGTACCTTTTCTAATAAATGCTTTTTGGCAAAACCTGCATTTGTAGTCTTTCGTGGTTCTGTGCTTAAACTTGTGTTTATACAAAGACTCCAGACTGAAAGATTTATACTCACAAGACTCGCAGGAATATCTCTCACCGAGCATGTGATAATTCCGTATGTGTTTTCGCCATTGAGCCTGAGTGTTAAAAACTCCTTTGCAAGCGTTACACTTATATCTGTCATCTATATTGTGATCTTGGAGCTTATGGACTGTGAGGGGCGCTGGAGTATTGAAGCCCTTCTGGCAGTAAGGGCAGGTGTGTCGGGGCATGTTGTAATGTTTGGTTTTTACGTGAACTCTAAGAGTATCTATTCTATCGTATTGTCTCTCACAACGTGCACACACGTATGTTTCTCCATCCTTTTGCTTATAATCTTCTGGGCTGAGGTAGAATTTCTGTCGCGGATGGTCTGCAGACAAAAAACAAACTTGTTGATATATGTCACCTTCGCTCTTCTTCTATTGGTGTAGTCACCCCTGTTTTGTTGCTTTTCTATGACTTATTTTAATGGTTTCTTTTGGATGTCTTGAGCTAGTTTATATATTAATTTAAATTGATAATACGTACGTTTACTGCACCTTAATAAACAATCACTAATTCTGTTATGTTATTGTTTCGTGAATATTTAAAAAAGCCATATAGTAAAAATGTATTTCTAAAATACTGATCCTGATTTGGATTAGAACCAACAACAACAAGTAACACAGAAGTATTTTTTTCATCTCTCCGGAATTTATTTATGGGTGAATGTGGTGTAGTTCAAATAATGACCGGCAGCGCATAAAATACGAGCGAACCATTTTTCCTATGTATATATATTTAAAAGCAGAAGATAATTCAATTGCTACATCTAGATCAGCAGCAAAACACCGCTAAGCTTCGTCAGGAAACAATTTTTTAGAAGTTGAAATCTTTGGCAGACATTGTCCAAGGCTTATAGGAGGAAAGAGGAAGAGGACGGGAAATAAATTATTTTATTTTTAGGCTCTGTTTTTCTGTGCACGCAACTTTTACGCGTAGAAAAAAACAGCGAAGCCTTAAATTTCGTCCAATACCCTTTCAGCAGAACAATGGCAGAACACCGCATCGTTCGTAATTGCTGCCCAAGAAGGAGGTAAGTTTTATAGACAAGCGACAAACAACAAACACCTACTGAACATTTTAAACAAAAATGTATATTGTAATTGAATGCAACAAACAGTCATATTGTTTTAATGTCTCTGTCTTCTCTCGTTTCTCTATCTATCGTCTCATAAATCTGGCATTTAGCTCATGCCTTCGTTTTGGTTGTACACCTGATGGTAAGTGTTTCAACTTACAACTTAAGAGACCCAAGACTCTTGCTGGCTTTCGAGAGCCCCTCTCCAGAATTTGGAGGGGTTGTTCCTTTGGTCGCCTTGGTAAAATGCAACAAAAGAATGCTTAGCACAAGTTTTCTGCCGGCGTATCACTTCGGTCGAACCGCCTCATACGTGGCGAAGCTCGGCTCTCACTTCAGAAACGTGACGTACCTACTATCTGTTTCCCCTGCAACACAAACCGTTGACTAGTAGAGAATGCCTTAGACATTAAGTCCGCCAATGCACCAAAAGTGCATGATGTGTAAATAAATATTAGCCTTTGAGGTTGGAATAAACTTAAACTCAAAATATCTGTACTTCTTTTATTTTTATTGTTTGATATCGTCTTAGACTCTAAAGTCATAAATCGACACACAATAGCAACAATCTGTTTTGTCAAATGTTTGAAAAATGAAGTTAATCCATTATATTTCTGTGCCGATCTACAACCGCCCGTTGTTGAGCCTTATGAGGAGAAAGGGCAAACAGTCTCTTCTTGAAGGTTTTAATTTGGCATTGGTCAGGAAATACCCTGGGCAATAATATGTTCTACAGATTGGTTCTGTGGGGCAAACAGTTTGGTAAAAAGAGCACAGTGGTGGAGTGCCAATTACTCCAGTGACGTGGATAGAAGTTTTGTGACATCTTAAGAGAAAGACTATAAAATGTTTTATATTATTTATGTATTGCATTGCATCAGTGCACATGTTGATATTATCGCAAAAGGATAGGCTTTAATTACATTTAAAATAATAATAATGGTCCTTTTGTTGTCATCTTAGTAACAGTATAAATGCAACTTTTGCTCTTGGTGATTAAAAAAAAAATAACTGAAAGTAACACATACTTAAAACAACAACAAACTACTTAAAACAAAAATATATCGTTATTTCATGATTTTATTCATTTTAGACATCGCCTGGCAGTCGAATCGTCCAGTATAACTTGAACTATCATTATATAGACTTTTTACCATGTCAAGTCAACACATATGACTGCGGGGATGGCGTAGTAGTTTAAGCGGTCGCCACGCCGCTCACTACTACGCTGAGTGTTGTGGGTCCGATCCCCGCATGGGACAACACTTTGTGTGATCCACAAATTCGACATTCGAAAATAACTGAATCCACAATTCTGAATCTGGGTGTTCTTTGTGTCCGTTTCACATGAAATGTTTGTAAAGTCCCCCGCGACATCATATATTCCTAATGTGGGCGTTGTCTTTTAAATATATATATATATATATACTAGGCTTCTGTGGATTTCAACATCATCATCATCAACAACAGCATTTAATAGTCTACTGCTGGACATATACCTACCCTTAGAAAGAAGGTTTTGGCCACGGGATGAATAGGGGTGGTGACACTCCGTATTCTTAATCTGTCACCACACAGAATGAATCTGTGGATTTATGTAGATATTTTTACATAATTTTTAACTTTATAGCACATATTGTTAAAATGTGTGTATTTGATTATAAAGGGGTAAAAAAAAATTACATTAATTAAGATAAAACTTCACTGAAAAATTATCTAGTTGTTATAATAAAAATAAATTGTTACAATGCATCTCTGTAATAATATTTTGATATAGAAAAAAACGCCATTAACTAATTCCATGATGCCAAACCAACCGCTTTTTTTTGTTTGTATTATTGCAATTTGTTTGATTGAACATTTATCATAAGGATAAGTATTATATATACTACTATACCACGCTGGCCAGACTGGTTGGTATAGGGTTTGTGTCAAGTTTTCCTTCTTTTTGTAGTGCTGTTGACCTGCGTAGTTTGCTCGTTTAGTTGTCTCTTACGACACCCACGGCAAGAATAGGGGTAGTGATACTCCGTATTCTTAATCCGTCCGTTCTTTTTAGTTTCCCAAACGTTGAGTGACTATTCATTAAGTGCGTAGCCAGTGAGTTCGGATGAGAGTCCAGTCTGTTTTTGTAATATTTAATTGAGTGTTTAATCTCTTCTTGGATTATTCTAGATCGTGGTGTAGTTTGGTTTGGTTATGAATAAAGGAGAATTAAGTAGTAAAATAATTATCCTCAGCATTTTGGACTGGAATCTCTGAATTATTTCTAGCTGTGCCTAAAGTTGTACTCCATAAGTCCTGATGGGTCTCAAAATACATTTGTATAGAAGTAGTATATTTTCCAATGATAGCTGTGATTTTTGTCCAGTAGCCAGTACATTTTCCTTAGTTGGATTCCTAGTGCTTTTCGTTTTGTAAAGATATGTTTTATCCAAGTCAGGCGACGATCCATATAAATCCCAAGGTATCTGGCTTCATTGGCTTGGGGTATTTGTACTCTGTTGAGCAATACAGGGGGACATGTTCCTTGTCGCATCGTAAAGGTCACCTGTACCGACTTAGATTCATTTTCTTTTATTCACCAGGTGTTTAATCATTCCGTGATGTTGTCTAAGGAGCGTTGAAGCATGTTACTTGCTGGTGCTGGAAAGTCGTGGGGGTTAAGGCTGCTGCGTAGTCAGTAAAAGTGCCAATCGACGCCTTCTGTAATGGGTAGGTCTGCGGTAAAAATAACATAAAGCAGCGGACCAAGCACACTTCCTGGAGGCACTCCTGCCTGGGCCCTATGGAGTTTGGTTATATCTTCTCCTTGTTTAACGTAGAAAAATCTGTCAGCGAGATATGATTTTAAGAATATGTAATAAACCTTCATGCCAAACTCTGTGAAAGGCCTGAGAAATATCCATAAATGCTGCGCAACAGTATTTCTTATTTTCTAAAGCTTTATGGATTTCTTCCACCAATCTATGCACCTGTTCTAACGTGCCATGATGCTTTCTAAAGCCAAATTGGTGGTCAAGTATAATGTTATTTTCTGCTATTAATATATTCAATCGTTTTAAAAACAGTATTTCCATAGTTTTTGACAGAATGGGTAGTGAGCTGATTGGTCTGTAGGAGGTCTGTAGGAGGATACATTTTCAGGAGCTTTACCGGGTTTAAGGATCATTTTAATTTGCGCTACCTTCCATTGCGGCGGGAAGATGCATCTGATCATTATTGAGTTGAAAAGGTTGTACTTAGGTAGTAATTAGGTCGTATCCTGGAGCTTTATGTTGATTTAAATTTCTAATTGTTTCTATGAACTCTCGCTTCTTAATAATTTCAATGGGTAGGTCCAGCTGGTAATGTTCATTTAGGGAGTTGATAAGTTTATCACGGTTGAATTTCGATGGTTTCTGGACAGTGTTTAGTAAGAAGACATCAGCTGGATGAGAGGCGAAAGCTTCGCCTTTCTCTAGGTCACTTCTTGCCCAGAAACCGTCCTTTTTGCGTATTGGTAGATTAGAGACAGTAGGTCTTTTAATTCTTTGGGTTGTTTTCTAAAGGGAATAGTCCCTGGCAGCCGTCGCAGATTATTATTAGATAGATTACGAAGGTGCGTCTGTACGCCTTCATTTTTTTTCCGGTATGTAATAGTTTTTTTAAGTTTAGTTGTTAAGTAGTTCAACCGTGTTGTTTCCGGGAAATCTCATATTTTGCCATAATTTACGAGTCTACTTTTTTTCAGCAACTAGTTCTCGAATAGGCTTTGAGCAGTATGGTTCCGCCTGTTTCTTGGCAATAGGAGTGCTATCCCAAGCAGCCTTTTGATCACACTCGATGAAATGTTCGACCGCTGCTGTAATGTCCTCCTCGGTTTTTAAAGGCAGGTTAGTATTGTTTATAGACTCTACTATGGAACGAAATATCCAGGTTTATCCAACGTTCATGTATAATTGCTGTGGTAACTACACTATGATCAGATGAGAGGTCTTGAAGACAGGTACATTTAAAATAATTTGTCTTCCAAAATAATTTACCTTTACGACACAAGTCTACCAGATCAGTTTTTTTTGGGTCAGCCGCCCAGTACGTTGGTTCCCCATTCGTTATCGTTTCTAGGGGCAGATCAGTTATAGCTGCCTGTAACTAGCGTTACGTAAAAAATTAAGTAATTTTCTTTTTTGTTCGCTGTAGTTAAACATTTTGAGGTAAGTTTTTTTGTAAAATGTGTTTCAGGTATTAGCAAGATAGCAATTTGTTTTTTTTAAATGTCTCTACTTCGAAGACATGGTAAGTAAGCCCGTTGGCATTCTAGAGGACTTTTTTTAATGAACAGATGTGTCAGTTTGGTCATAATTTACATCAGGAGATTTATTATTGTGGTTAATTGTTGCATTAGTTTTCATAGTATTCATTATTTCTTTCATGTCATTGTTGTTTGATTGAACTTATGGTAATTCATTTAGATTTTCGTTGCTAACAGATGTGTGTGATGGTTTATGGGATATTAACACTAGTTTGTAGATTAGTTGATCTATGCAATGCATTTGGGCTTCCTAAAACAGTATTTTCTTGTGTGCCCATATTGTTGGCAGTTAATTAGTTAGTTTTCCTTCTGTTTGCAGTGCTGTTGTCCTGCGTAGTTTGCTCCTTTAGTTGTCTCTTACGACACCCACGGCAAGAATAGAGGTAGTGACACCGCACCAGGGACTTCCTTTCTAGGATATACCTGGTTCCCCGGCTATTAGTACCCCAGACGGCGTGCGGTTTTAGTCGGTTCGAGTCCGACATGCCACCGACAGGTGGTATCCGAGGAGATTTCCGCACGGAAAAATAAATAAAAAAGGGGTAGTGATAGGGGTAGTGAACATTGTAGAATTTCCCGATGAGGTCTTGGCGGTTCAATGATGATTCTACAGTGCATAAGGTTTTTGATATCATAGATATGTTTATTGTTGCTGTTAGATTCGATTTCTATGAAGTGTATGGGTAATGGTTTTTTGGTAGTTTCCTTGCATTTCTAGTTCAGCTTTTATTTCTTCTATGTCAGTAGAGAGGTGGATATTTTTGAGGACTACTTTTAAAACGGCGATCTTGTTTTGGCCTGTAGGTATAAAATTCCGTGTTTTTTCTTGTAAATTTTTAACTATTTTTGTATATGTCTGTTGATTTCGGTTGAATCCTGACTTGTTCGTTGCGAAGAACTTTCACTTCATAGTTTTCTGCAGCTACTTTAATAATGGTTGGATGTTACTGACCCGGTCTACATATAAGGGCGGGGCCTTAGCAGTTTTTGCAGCGATGTAATTTTTTTTAATGTCCTGCGTATCGGTGCTCGGAAAATCTATTTGAGGTTGGTGTATGCTGGCTTAACCAGTAGGTATAAAGTTTTTTTGGTTTGCCTTCATCTATTTCGCGTTGCCTTTTTCTTTCAGGTACTTTTGTCCATTGTTCATATTTCCGTATCGACTGTAGTGAGGTTATGGAGATTATTCAGTGACTGAATTCTTGTTTTGTTAAAAAAGGATTTGTGAAAATTTGGTTGAGTAACAACTATATTTTGAAGTTCTTCAGGTTGAGAGTGTTTGATTGTTCTTTAGTTTTCATAGTGTTCCCACGAGTAGGGTCGCATAAAACAGGACGCACACAGGGTGACGCTCATTCCCATGTGAAGGCACGATACAACAATGTGAGCCGGTTCCATTGAGGTTGAGTTTTAATGCCACTACTTACTAAAGACATTTAGTATTAGTAAGTTGGGCAATCTCTACTCTCTATGAGTAATATATGAAATAACCACACGGTGCTTTGGGGATATCCCAGTTAAAAAGAAACTACCGCCAATTAAAACTTAATTAGTGTAAAAATATTTTATAAATACAATTTGTTCTATAAATAAAATAATCTGTATAATTTTTATAAACTACAACATAAAGCTATTTATTCCACGTACACTAGATTATACAGTCTTTAAAAAGCTGCACTTAAGCATCATAACGAACAAAAACACTAAAACAAACCACCCTAAACCAAATATATTTCTATTTAACAGTCATACCTAATCTTGGTATTAACGGAATATCAAAAATTATCTTTAATAGCTTCATATGGTTACACAATCACCCCCCCAAAAGAGGGGACTAGCCGGAAATTTGATAACCAACGACAGGAGTCAACTTCAGAGTCTATATTTTATAGATACACAAAATGGGAGCGTAAATGGCCCGAACGTAAACACTTTATCTCGACTCGACAATAGTTTGGAAGTAGTTCAGTTTGTTTCCGCTAGATGGCGTTCGATGTATTAGTTTTAAGGGATGCCTTGTAGGAAAACAAAGTAGTTTCTTTACTTTTTTAGGTATTTCAGTGTAAATTCTTTCTCTATTAGTTACTTCACTGTGGTTACTTCACTTTTAGAGGATCCACTGTAGTTACTTTACTGTTTTAGTATATTAACTGGCAGTTACTTCACTTTTAGAGGATTCACTGTGGTTACTTTACTGTTTTAGTATATTAACTGGTAGTTACTTCACTTTATTAGTGACTTCACTGTAGTTTCTTCGGACACTACTTTGAAGCACTAGCTCCATATACGGCTCCACCAGCATTCCATAGCGCGTTTTTATTCAAATATTAAAAAAGTTGTTTAAAAATTGACTTCAGGATGATATTTAGTCATATGATAGTTCAAGCTCGCTTTTTGAACGAATGCTTGTCCGCACACTTTACACACTTTTCTCCTGTCACCTGTATGGATCCTCTCGTGAAGTGCCAACGTAGTTTTTCTAACAAAAGCTTTCCTACAAAACCTACATTGATGATCTTTTGATGTTTTGTGTTTAAACTTATGTTTGTACATAGCTTCGAAGCTAAATGACTCGTATTCACAAAATTCGCAAGAATAACGTTCACCGAGCATATGAAAATTGTTTATATGTTTCCTTAGTTGCACTTTTGTGTTAAAAGTTCCTTTACACGCATTACACTTAAACCTATCATCGATACTATGTTCTTCGAGCTTGTGAACTGTGAGCGGCGCTGGTGTCATGAACTCCTTCATGCAGTATTGACAGACGTATCGTGGTATTTTGTAATGCTTAGTCTTCACGTGGTATCTGAGTGAGAATATTTTGTCGTATCGCTTGTCGCACCTCGTGCACGCGAATGTTGTGCCATCTACTGTATAGTCCCCGTCGTTGAGGTGGAATTTCGGCCGCGGTTGGTCTGCAGACAGAAAACAAACTTGTTGATATACTTCTCTTATGTTATCTTCTTGTTTCTCCGTCTTGTGAGATATGTTTCCAACGACCTCCAAATGTATTGTTTTTTAATTTTATTTCAAAATGATTTAGCACCATAAAAACGAATCTGTCACGATCATTCTGTATATTAAGGCGGACGAAGAATATGCTTTCTTGCCCAAAATGAAACAATTGAGTGGTACACGGAAAGTTTTTGTTTATGACCTTCATGGCATGTTCATAACATAACTCATAGAGAAGCAAACGGAAAACTTAAGTTATTCTTATAACCTATTGCTTAAATCTATTTTCTAGTATAAATATATACTTTTGAAAATTATATATTTTTGAAAAATAAATTATAATATGTTAACAGCTTATGCTACAGCTATCTTCGTCAATTCGGCAACAGCAAAACCCTCCTTTTCGTTTGAGAAAGGTATACAACACAAGGTAGGTGTCGAGCTCCCCATCACGCGAGTTTACTCCGAGTTTACTCCAACATCAAAGAAAATAAACAGGAAACTCTGAGGAGGTATTCACCGCATCGTACCGCAATTATAGATAAATTCACTTCTCCTTCCAAGAAGAGGGTATTTAGAAAAAGTGTCATTTTTTAGGCCTGACATTTGCTTCTGTCCTAACTACTTCATTTTTATCACGCTACGATCGCACGCCGCCCGCACCTCTACCGGTCCTCGATCTTGTCCTACTTCCGCGCTCCCGCACCCCGCAGGCAAAGACTCAATTGAGCGGTTTTTCTATAGCAGGGATTTCCAATGTGGTCGATATCGACATAAACAAATAATACTGATTTTGGGGGTCGAAGAGGTCTAAAAATCGACTCCTATCAATTAACACAAGTTCTTATTGGAAACTTTCAAGACACTGTATTAATTGTGTTTCGTGTACCAACTTGCCATAAGAATGACTAATATTGTAGTAGAAAGTACCATTGTTGTACTTTAAAAAAAAACTCAAGTTGATAAGCGTGCAGTAATTTGACTATAGGGGTCTGAGGTATCAGTTCATTTTAGAAAAGGGGTTTCTTGCCAAAATAGTTTGAGAATCCCTGATTAATAGCAACGAGACTAAAACAATAATCGGATGCACGTTGGCGTTTACTAGGCCCGTACCTAACCCTTCGGGGTGAATGTAATGTATGCAATGATGATTAATTGGCAGATGACGTGTCGATGACGTAACCTGTCGGTATTAGCACTACATAAGTCGTAAAATGGTCAACATATTACTGGTTCCTGCTACCGATGAGTAGCCTATTCTACTAGATGGTGGTAAATGAGGTCCGTAGGGTTTTTATTGGTAAATGGCAATTACTAATGAATTGGTGTTTGACACAGAAATATGCAGTGCCCTAGACCTTTCTAGAATGTACAGAAATAAACATATCATTTAACTAGGAACAGGATCGCAATTGTATATGCAATATTTCCTTTTTGTTCACTTGACACACCTTACACAAGGCTGTCTGATACCAAAATAGACAGAGCCAGTACTATGGTAACCAGACTGCTGATAAACATACTTATATATTTCTAAATACATACACATTATAGATAAATTACGCCCACATTACACAAATGACTATGCTCATTGCACCATAATTTGTCCTGGATAGCAATCGAACCCTCAACTTCTTGCATAGCAGTCTGGGTCACTAACTACTGGACCTATATATGTATGTATTCAGTAATATGTAAGTATGCTTATCAGCAGTCTGGTTACCATAGCACAGGCTCTGCCAAGTTCTGGAACAGACGGCCATGTTTTAAAGTTTACGAATAAAGATAAAATTATTTGAATTAATGCCCAATTGCCATATTGTACAACAAGATGGCGTCTTGCTCTTAATTAATTCTCACAATATTTCTTATAAACCGCTTACCTTTTCTCTTCTCCGCTTCTTCTTCCTCTTCTGGTTGTGGCTCTTCTTTCATCTTCTTGGGCCTGCCTTTTTTTCTCTTTTGACTAGGGTTCACTTCTGTGGGTTTTGATCGCGCTTTCTTAGATTTCTTTTTTGCCGTTTCATCTGAATCTGATTTGATTTCTAAAAATGATTTTAAAGTAAGAGTTCAAAACATGAGTATATAAAAATGTAGAAGAAGAGCTAATTGATTAGAGAAATAGTAGTAGAAAAACAAGTATTCTTCGGGATCCATAAGTCGCTGGTTCAGATCCGGCTCGAAGCACCATAATGTAGAGATGTTTCTCTGCAGTTAGTGTTAAAATGCTAGTTGCTATGAGTACTTGATATTGAGACTACACGTCAAAATATGTATTGAGACGTGTAGTTTTTAACAATATATATAGGTCAAATGTTTTTATTGTTCTAAATTATTTAATATAACTACACTAATTATGTGGTGTACGTCAGCTTATGATACCGATTGCGTAGCGCATTTCGCGCACTCCCTCTTATACAAAAGGAGGAACCTTCAACCAGCCTAGGTTATCAAGCCTGGCAAACCACAGCCCAATTCCAATTATAACATTAGTGTGACAATATGTCTAACTTGCAGAAGTAAAACACATACCTTGCTCGTCAAATCCGTAGTCTGGTATGTCATCAAAATTGTCGTTCTCTTCCAGTGAAAACTCATCTGAAAAGAGAAGAAGAAGAAGTCAATTTCGTATTTGGGGCAGCAGATCTAAAAATATTTTGAAGGCCACAAGGACATATGCTATGATCCCAAGTATTTTATAACAATAACATTATCACCATCTTCCAGCCCATCACATCAACAGCATTTAAAAATCCACTGGTGGACATAGGCCTCTCCTGGGGAAGGAGGCCAAAACTGGCCTGCTATACCACACTGGCCAGATGGTTTGGTATCGGGTTTGTGTAAAGTTTGCTGCGTAGTTTGCTCCCTTCGTTGGCACTTACGACACCTACGGGATGAATAGGGGTGGTGACACTTCGTATTCTTAATTCATCACCGTCATCATGATATGTAGGCACATTGAAGTATTGTTAAATTACAGATAAATACTTTAAAGCTTATAACAACTATGGAAGCATAACACAGAGGTTTTTTTTTGCCAACCTTGATGCAATTTAGCCAGCGATGAATAATAACGTAAGAAGGTACATTCACTAACCTTCATGACATGAGTCAGGTGTCTCTTCCTTGATTGCTACATCTATCGTTGGAGCTTTAACTGCAAAGAAAACGTATAGGAAGCGGTTACCAGAAGCTTTTATGAATGAAGGTTTAAAAAGCCGTATGTAGGCCCGCAACGCGCTTGTAACCCCCTTTTTTTGCGGAAGTCCCTTCGGATACAACCCATCCCATACCGGTGGTTACGTCGGACATGATCCGACCAAAAACTTGTGCGCTTGTGACCCCTCAGTTGCAGGCGTTCATGGGCGGCGGTAGTCACTTTCCATCAGGTGGATACCGTCGGCTCGACTGTCCCCTTTTTTATAAAAATAAACAGCAGAACAGTCATAAGAACACACGACAGAAGAGAAAACTCAAAACAATGGAACTACGCGTCGCTCGTCTGGCGCAATATGTCACGAGTATGTCGAGATCATCGGTGACGCGAGCCCATAAGTTTTTCCCCTACCAAAAATCGCTCAACGCAGCTAAGCAAGTTTTCACTTCAAAAAGATACTAATATACTTATTTTCTGACATTCAGGGTATCTTTGTGTTGCAAAAGAGAGCTATTCGCGCAATTTAAAATCTTAATTATAGGCAGTCACTGAGGAAAAGTTTAAAGAAATTAGTATTATGCAATTGCATCTCAATATTTACTTATGTGATAATTTAGTGTATGTTAAGAAACATATTCATTTATTCACAAAGTTTAGCGATATTCATAATATAAACACTAGAAATAAAGATAAACTCGTGTTGCCAACGACTAGACTACAAAAAGTAAGCAAGTCTTTTCTATGTCAGGGTATGGGATTCTACAATGAAATACTAAACAAATTTCATGAATTAAAAATTAACAATTTTAAGTCCTCAGTTAAACCAAAACGGATTGATGCTGCTCACTCCCACATTTGAAAGTGATGAAGATTTTATTTTATTTTTTTGTGTAAGTATGTTAATGTGAGTACAGAGTAGGCTTGTAATGTTAGTTCATGTTTTAATAACTTTTGGTGGTTGTGAGTGTTTCACCGGCCTACTCAAGTGTCCTAAAGGCGGTAGTGTCGTGTTCCGGGTTGTTGATTCTGACTATATCGGTTAGGCTACACAATGGGTGGGGCTCGTATGCCGTCTGTATGGACGGGCCGACTCAATACTATGGTCCTTTCTTTAAAAAGTCAACCCAGACCCTATACACTCACATAGTTATTTTTAACATTGTACACAGACCTAAAAAAAAAAAGACACCTCTGTGGCTTGTTTCGGCGTTTCTTCCCAGACTCGTTCTGGGAAGAAACGCCAAAACAAGCCACAGAGGTGTCTTAGGAAATGCCGTCGCCTTCTAGCTTTTAAGTCCGACTTGTAAAAATATCTGAAAAAATTTACTTGCAGAAATAAATATCATGTAAACATTTCATTTCCATTAAATCAGAAAGTTGATTAAATTGTACTTTAGTAAGGCTAAGCTAGATAAACGAGCCTTAGCCTCTGTTTTCTTAGGAGATGCTTTGCAAGTGTATATGAACTTAAGGAGATAAATTCACATTCAGTTGCAAAGCATCTGTATATTAATATACGTATGTAGAAATGTATATATTAATATATGAAGATGTTTTTTTACATTATGGTATGTTTAAGTTTCAGTATTTTTCAAAAACTTTTTCAAGTTGTTATTACTGCTAGGTACTAAAATAAAAAATTTGAATAATTTACATTATGTAACAGATGTTCCGTACCTATGATAGCATTCCTACTGCAGAATTCCTTGAACTTCTCCTCGCATGTGGCCACTTGCTTTCTGAACTTGGCTGCATCGCTTACGCTTGTGATACATGCTTCACAGATTGTATAAGTCGCTGCACATAGCTGGCCAGGTACAGGCACTAACTGGAATATGCAAAAATATTACAATATATCGCAATCAACATCACCCCTTGAACTAATTTTATTTGGAGTCAGCACAATATGTAAAACAGAATGAGGCTTCCGCTGGTTGCCAGCCTAACACTGAACATCTGTGATAAAGTGAATGTTCAAATAATAGGTTTTTCATGCTCACATGGTTATTTGTATGATAGCTATGCATAAAAAATAGTTGACATTATTTTTGTCTGTCTGTTTGTTCCAGGTAATCTTCAAAATGGCTAGAGCGATTTTGATGTTTTACTACCAGGTAGCTGTCAATATAAGGACTAACTTAGGCCATTTTTTACTTCCTAAGAACCCTATAAAATTTTGCCCAATCCAGGCATCCAACCCTAGGTTTCATGGAGTGCAGTTGCGTACAGTACTACACCACTAAGGTAGCTCTTTTGTTAGTTATACCTAATATATTTATATATTATAAATTTAAAAACTAAACAAACATTTTCAATTCAAATTCCACGCGAATCAAGTCGCAGATACCAGCTAGTTTAAATAATAAATTTCAACTATTACAGGCAAATTAATTAAAATATATTTTTTGTATCTTTCATTAGTGGCTTTTTTTCATAGTCCTAATATTACAAACCAGGTTTTTATATTATCTAGTTTCTAAGACCCTATTTTCTTTAATTCCCATCTTGATAAGTTTAATACTTACTCAAGTCTGTACAAGTCTCACTTAATGTTTTATTCATCAGAATTAACACAAAGCGATTAGAAGCAAAAATTGTTATGTTTTGTTTACAAGAACCAGGTTCTAGAGCATCTTTACTACAGTATTTTTATTTGGGCATCACTGTGATAGATACTTACATTTATTAAGAAGCAGTCTTTAATCATATCCACATATATTTCTTCGTTTCCAGACTCAATACACGGTTCAGCTAAATTTTTAAAATCTCCCTCTGCGTGACAACACCTACACAATTTTTTCTCGATTGTCCAATTTATAGTAGACATCTTAATTATTTGATAACATAAACACACTTCTGGACTGACGAGTGTTAACTTACATAAATATTAAAGAAAAACGCTTAAAATTAAAAATAAAGGGCTCTATCTACAACGCCATGTTTCTTATTTGATTTGATGTTTTATTTTTAATTTTTGAAGTTTTGTTATAAATGTTGACATGACAAAAAAACGAGTGTGCTGTTGACCACACGACTGAAGTAAAACTTCTTGGCTATGAGCGAAAGAAAATGCTTAGCCTGTGTGTTTTGATGACACCGTTTTGCCTGTTAGTACAACGGTCAAGGATCTCGGTGCGCACATCGATGCGACTCTGAACTGGCAAACTCAGGTAACTAGTGTCAGTTAGGGATGTGAGATTAATGGAAAAGAATCGATTAAATACAAATCGATTTTTCTATATTAAAAATTAATCGATTTGCCAAAAATCGATTTTAATAAAAATAAATAATCAATTTTTTTGTATTATTTAAAAGTATATGCTTTCCATATTCCAATAATAAACCTAAGAGATTCATAATAACTATTTATCAGATTAAAAATAAAATTATATGAATAAAAAAATTACCTATTCCAAAAATTTCAAAGTAGGGAATTAGGAAACTAAATAGCATTATTAATACTCATTTTAGTACTATGAAACGTTTTATTTATTATAATAAAAATGAAATGATGAGAATTTTTTATTTGACTAGTTTTAAAATAAAACACTTAAAATGAGAATTAAAAAACTAAACGACTACTCTTCATCAACAGTCTTTGATAGTCCACTGCTGGACGTAGGCCTCTCCTTAGAAAGGAGGTTTTGGCTTTGGTTACTCTATAGTCTCAAAAACTAAACTAAATTACAAATCATTCGTTAATCTTTAAGTTTAAATAATAATTATTGTCACAAATGTCCATGCAGTCCTATTTTACATTTGACTAGTATTAAAATAAAATACTTAAAAGAATCATTATCAATCCTGAACAACTACGTTATGGTCTCTAAAACTAAAATAAAAAACAATCTTTCGTTAATCTGCAAGTTTAAACAATAATAAAATTAAAAATAATTATTTCCACAAATGTGCAGTCCTATTTTACATTTGACTAGGATTAAACAATAATAAAATTTAAAATAATTATTACCATAAATTTTCAGGTAAGTAAGCAGTTTAAAAACAATAATTTTGATAGTCTCTTTCCTAAAATACGGTTTCGTGTTTTCTTGACCACATTTCCCGCTTTGGAAAATAATCTTTCGGACGGAGCAGAGATTTTTGATCCAACGCATAGATGGCGCTGTTTTTAAAATTGAAACATACTGCAAGATTTTTTCATTCGTCGCATAGATGCGAGCTGTTTCTGAAAATCGATTTAAACACGTAATTTATATAATCGATTTACTAAAAATCGATTAACATTACTTTAAAAATCGAGAATAAAAAATCGATTACAAGAAAATAATAATCGATTTCAAAAAAAATCGATTATTTTTTAACATCCCTAGTGTCAGTCCGAAGGTTACGAATATTTTATGAGGAGTACGCCACTGTAATAGTTACCTATAAGACATCGCCGCAGTTCAAGGGCTCTGACTGTGTTACCTACGTAAAATATCACTTCCAATATCTCTGCTCTAATCATGACAGAACTCTTCGCTCTGCCAACAATTTTCTCCTTCTTTGTCCTTCACATACTTAACGTATGGTCAATTCTTCCTTCCCTTTTCAAGATGTAACCCTTCGGAACACACTCCCACTAGAAATCAGGATGTCCACTAACCAATACACTTTAAAGCTTAAAGTACGGACGCTCTATAGAGACTTGTTGATTGAGTCTTCAGCATAACACCTTAAGAGTATATTTATTATCTTCGTAATTTTTTTCATATTTTGATATTTATTATAATATTTATATGTATAAACCATATAGATGTAATCCGAGTACTTATGTATCTGTAGGATTTTTTTCTTTTTTGCCATTGTACCATTTCTTAATTCAATCTCATCTTTACCTCTCCCAAATATACACCTGCCACACAGCAGGCAACACTCAAAGGTTTGACTGGAAGAAAATGCCTGAGCTTGAAGGATGGTAAGGCAGTTTGCAGGAAGGCTCAATAAATAATTCTCTCTCTCTATCCATCTTCACTAACTTTTATCTCCCTCTCAACTTCCGTTCGCCTCGCCAAAAAAAATTGATGCTACTCGATTCTAGAACAATAAGTACAACTAACGAGAATGTACAATAGCAACAATCTGTGTAGTCTGTGCTCTGATCCAAATATGTTTTGTTTATCAAACTGTCAAATATACAAAACAACACTTACAAAATCCTTAATTTCAGAACCTTACATAATTTTCATTATAATTCCTGTATAACTGTTGCATTACTCCGGTATGGGTAAAATTACGAATAAAAAGCGAAATATTAATTCATTACAAGAGGCACCAAGAACAGAAATGTTAGTATCCTTACCATTTATAATATGTAACCCAGTTATTTAAAACTATTAAATGATAGTCTATAATAATCAAATAATCATTTTCATATTCAGACAGGATAAACGGTTTAACTCTCGTTTGGCAATTTATTTTGCACTCTGAATTGTTTTTCATCTGTACCGTAAATTTCAAGCAATTCCATGTATGCATGTTAATATCCTTATAATTTCACTAAAATATTGCACATCCGATATTGATAAAATGTGAATCTATGTATATGAAAATGGTAATTTGACTTGTGAACACTTAAACTTTAAAAAAATCTGCATTAATCGAGCTCAAATTTTGACACAATATCCAACCGCCTTCAAAGATGGTTTTGTGCCACTGTGATCTGTGGCAGGGTACAGGTACAGGTACTCAGTAATATTACATCTATATATTTATTTATATGACTTTATGCACTTTTATACATCAGCAGTCTATATCTTTTCACAATTTCATATATGATAAAGATTATTCTATTTTATGTCATCATCATCATCATCAGCCATTAATACATAGGCCACCCATTAGTATTCTATGTATTTTAATTTCTCTGACTAGTTTTTAAGCTCTTGTGGATCCTTTATCAAGGGGTGAAATTAATATATATATTATAAATATGTAATTTTTATAGATGCTTTTCTTTTATAGTATAATGGGCCCAAATGAGCAAATGGATCATCTGAATCTAAGTAACTACCACTGCATAAGGAACTCCACTCTACACTCCCAAAATTGTGTGTGTTGGGTGTCTGGTAACCTCAATCTTTTTGTAAAATTTGTGGGTGGTTTTCTGTGAGACTGATATATCTCCGGTCTAGCCGATACATGTATGCCAAAGTATGGATCTTTCACAGCATGTCATGGGTCCTGTCTCCTAGTTAATTTCTGTGCCTGATTATTATCATTGGCCTACTATAGCCCGTTGGCCAGTCGGGTTGGTTTATACCAGTAAAGTGAGTGCAGTAGTAGCAACAAACCCTATGGTTTGTTTCAAGTTTTCCTTCTCTTGCCCCTTGTAGTTTGCTCCACGTTTGCATCCATCCACAGGATAAGCAAGGGTGGTGATACTCCGTGTTCTTAACTGTTACCATATGATACACAGCTGATAATTAAATGTTTCTTTATTCTAGTGACCATCCTCCCCAGTCAGATTCAAGTATGTATGGCATATGTTGCTGCTGCCTGGAGCTGCCAAGTTTAAAAAGTCTCTGGTCTCAATATATGTGGATGGGACAGAGTGAAATATATGGTGAAATGCTGAAGGACTGTTTCAATTTAATTGTGAGTCTGTTAATTGAAAGAACTATTGTTAAAGTATAAAGCAGAATTCTCATCTAGAGCTACACTATTTACAATTAAACTGCATATGAAATCAACTATTTAATTGGTCACCGAGTTGTCAAATTCAAGGATAATTTTTACTAATTCTAATTTAATTACAATATTTACTTATTCAAATTCACTTAAAATTCTCCTAATTTAAATTCACTTACAATTTTTACTAATTCTAATTCAATTACAATATTTACTTATTTAAATTCACTTAAAATTCTACTAATAAAAACTACTAAAAAAATTGTAAGTGAATTTACACTTACAATTTTTACTAATTCTAATTCAATTACAAACTAGTAGTTGTCTACAGTATCACCACCTTTTCAGGCACTGACCTATTGTTCATCCGTGTTATGTCATATAAATGTATGAAAAAAAAACAGTTTTTCTTCATATTTTGTTTTACCAATTTATACCATAGTTTGTCTGCTATTCAGGACAGAGACAAATCAAAAATATCTAAAATCGCAAAGATTGGTCCAGCCGTTCTTGAGTTATAAAGGGTCTACTAACCCATTTTTGTTTTATTTATTACCTAAGATTTTGGATGATTTCAGTGGGAACAAAATGAGATGACCAAGGAACAGATATGCGAAGTTTGCATCACCCAGCTAAGAAATGCTCTACATTTCAAACAAAGAGTTGAACAGAGTCAAGCAAGACTGCAAAAGAAACTTGTAGGTGAGGCTTATAATTAACAGATTTTGCCCAAGACATTTATTATTACACATATAACACAATTAATATACATTTTATCATCATTATAACCTTTATTAATCCACACCTGGACATAGGCCTCTCCTTATAAAAGAAGGTTTTTACCTACTATACCATGCTGGCCAGACGGGTTGATATAGGGTTTGGGGTGCTGGGCTAGAAAACCTCCTCGTGGTGCACCCTGGAAACGCTGGCGATGGTACTGTTTCCTCCTTGTCCTCTTGGAGGAGAGGATTATCGCCAGCGGCCAATATTCTAGCAGAAGAGGCAGCCGTTCATCGGCTCTCGGGCAAGGCCTGGTCCAGCAGGGTGGGCGTGTCTGCCGGTTGCCCTGCTGGCTCTTCGCTCTTCGGAGCATGGAGGAGGAAACCTCGGTAAAAAACCTGATGGCGGGGCCCTGTAGGGGCCACAGTTTCTCCGCTGATAGCGGTGGAGAAAGGAGGACGGGCTCGGCGTGTACTCACACTACCACCGAGCAGGCAGGGGGACGTAGTCTCCCTGTCAACCGTCGGCATATCGTAATCCCGAGAAGAGCGCTGTGGTTAAGTCTCGCGGCTCTGATCGGGGGCGAGGGTCTTGGCTTAACCGCCCGGACCGCGAGGAAGATAACCTCTCTAAAAAATTCCCCGAATCCCGTGTTCTGGTGCGTGGCCAGGGGATGCATGGCTGATGGGAAGTTCAGTCGCGAGCGCACTCCAAGCCGAGGTACCTGCGGACCCCTCGGTTGGGTTAAAAACTTACGCTTGCCCGGGTAATGGGGGATCTCTGCCCGGGTGGACCTTTAGTTCTCCCCCACTCGTGGGATTTATTATGGATAATGATAAGCAAAACATTCAGAAACCGATCGGAAAACAAACCAAAACGAAAAAGGCAAGTCAAACGGACACGGCAACGAGGAAGGAGAAGAGGAACAGTGGAGCGGATGGGTCGTCCACTGAGGGTGAGATGGTGTCAGGAACGCCTATCTCGATGGGGCTCCCAGAGGTCAGTCTGACTCTGGTCTCTGGGAGCCGAAGGGCATCGGATCGTTTGCGTTCCGGATCCGCCGTTTCATCGGATGGCGCGGACGCCATGGAAGCGGAGCGGAGCGACAGCCGGAAACGCGGACGCTCCAGGGAGGAGGGGACCGACACGTCCGGCGAAATGATGCAACCAAAGGTGGCAAGCAGCCGCCGAGGGAGGGCGCGTAAACCGGCCTCGGCCTCGGTCTCGACCCCGTCAGGCTCCGCGTTCTCAAACGCGGAGTCCTACAGGAGCGTACGAGTGGACGGCGAGGCCGTAGCGGAGGAGGAGATCGCGGATCTCCTGCTCAAGGTTCGGCAGCCGGTGGGGGGAAATGCCCCCCAGGCTCCCGTGTCCGTGCAGGAGAGGGCGAAAGCGGCGGTGGCCGTCATCGACAAGGTGGCCACCAAATCCGTAAACCTTAAGGGCTCGTTTGTGAGGGCCCTTAAGGACTCCTCCTCCGCTTTGTCGGAGGTCGTGCGACGTCTCTCGCCTGCAGGTGGCCAACGAGAGGCTGACGGAGCGGGTGAACGAGCTGAGTGCTCAGTTCGCCCGCTTCCAGGCGAACCTCCCCGAGCGGGAAGCCCCGTCCGCGTCCCAGCCTGCCCCTACCACCAACTCAGGGGCATTTGACTCCCAACTGCGAGAAATCCTCATCGCAGTTGGGAATATGCTGGACGGACGCCTGGCTGGCCTGGAGGCGAGACTGCCCCCTGCGCCGATTATGCGCCCCCCGCTCGCGTCGGCACAGCGGCCTAAGGCCACCGCTCCGACCGCGCTCCCCGTAGTGGGAGGCCGCGTCTCCTACGCGGCGGCGGCGTCTGCCCCGACTCCATCGGCTCCACAAAAGCCGACGAGGAGGGGGGCCAAGGCACCGGCCCAGGCGCCGGCCAAGGCACCGGCTAAGGCGCCGGCCAAGGCACATCCCCAGGCGCCGGCCAAGACGGGGCCTAAAACGGCGCCGAGGAGCGGAGTGGCATTCCCTCCGCTCCCCACTCCGACACCCCTGCCGGGCCCCTCCGCACCTGCCCCCTCCAACGAGGGTTGGCAGGAGGCGAGGGGCTCCAAGAAGTCCCGAAGGCGGGCCAGAAAGGCTGCCCAAAAAGCAGCCCAAGCCCAGCCTTCGCCACCGGTGGCAACGGCCTCTGCAAAGAGGCCGCGGAAGCTGCAGCCGCCCAAAACCGCGGCTGTAGTTGTGACCGTGTCCCCGGAGGCGGCTGACGGCGGGCTGTCCTATGCGGCCGTCTTCAAGAAGGCCCGGGACAGCCTCGCCAACGAGTTTGGGACGGTGGGGGTCAGGATGCGCCTCGCCCAGACGGGAGCTCGAGTTCTCGAGTTCCCTGGGGCTGAAGGCGCAAAGACGGCGGACTCCTTCGCTGAGAAGCTGCGGGGAATATTTGCAGCCACAGATGGTGTCAGGGTCGCCAGGCCTACCAAGTGCGCGGAACTGCGCATCTCGGGCCTGGACGACTCAGTGACGGCCGAAGATGTCCGCGCTGTAATCCGGGAGAAGACGGGGTGCAGCGCGGACAACGTCAGGGTCGGCACCATCCGCCCCGGTCCAGGAGGGCTTGGCGCCGTGTGGGTCAGCTGTCCCGTAGCGTCGGCCAAAGTATTGGCCGACGCCGGCAGGCTGCTCATCGGTTTCGTGAGCGCCAGGATCACAGTCCTGGCGGCGAGACCGATGAGGTGTTTCAAATGCCTGGCCGCGGGACACACGCGCGTCAAGTGTGACAGTTGTTTTGACTGCGGCGGACTGTGTTTCCGCTGCGGTCAACCGGGGCATAAGGCGGCAGAATGCTCTGCCGCCCCTCACTGCCCAGCGTGTGCGGCGGGCAATAAGCCCGCAAATCACCAGATGGGGCAGAGAGGCTGCAAGCCTCCCCGCAGTTCTCGGCAGACGTCGGGGGTTAGCCAGTCGACCCAGGCTGCCTCCGATGTAGTTCGTGCGTCGACGTCGTCGCCCATGGAGGAGGTTGTAGAGACGATCCAGTAATGGATCAAGTCTCCAACCTCCTGGTCCAGACGAACCTGAACCACTGTGCCGCGGCGCAGGATCTCTTCCTGCAAACCATGGCACAGTGGTCGATAGGTGTTGCCGTAGTCGCGGAGCCCTATTCTGTCCCTCCCCGTCCAAACTGGATGGGTGACTGGGACCGCTCCGTGGCAGTCGTCGGTTCCACGACGGCTCATTCCCCGCCCTTGTCGCTGGATATGTTGCCGTCGAGTGGGGGGGGATCACCATATATGGTGTCTATTTCTCCCCCAACCGGAGTTTGAACGACTTCGAGGTTTTCCTGACCAGCTTGGAGACCTCGATACGGCGACTAGCGTCTGGGCACGTCCTTGTGCTGGGGGACTTCAACGCAAAGTCCATTGCGTGGGGTTCCCCCAGGACGGACGCCAGGGGCGAGGCCGTAGAGGAGTGGGCGGCCTCGGTGGGCCTCTGTCTTCTAAACAGAGGCTCCACCAACACGTGCGTGCGACAGCAGGGGGGGTCGATAGTGGACCTCTCGTTCGCTACCCCTGCCCTCGCCGCACGAGTAAGGAACTGGCGTGTCCTGGAAGAGGTTGAGACGCTCTCGGATCACCTGTACATCCGATTTGAGCTCTCCCGGACCCAGGACTCCAGTAGGGGTCACGTGGCGCGGCGTTTATCCCGCTTTCCGCGGTGGGCTGTTGCCAGGCTAAACCGGGACCTACTAGAGGAGGCAGCCATAATTCACTCGTGGCTGTCTCCTCAGGCTCCGACTGAGGAGGTCGACGTGGGGGCTGGCCGCTTTCGCGATGCGATTACGCATGTATGCGATGCGGCCATGCCCCGCGTTCGAGGTCGTCGGCCTCCAAGGAAGGAGGTCTACTGGTGGTCCCAGGAGCTGGCGGACCTCCGTGCGGCCTGTACACGTGCCCGGAGGTCCTACACGCGCAGTCGGCGGCGTCACCGTGGAGACGGTGAGGAGGACCGGCTTCATGAGGAGTACCGACGGGCGCGGAAAACTCTGAAGCTGGCCATTAGCCGCGCCAAAGAAGAAAAAAGACAGGAGATGCTGGAGGGTCTTAATCGTGACCCCTGGGGTCGCCCTTACCGCGCGGTGCGACAAAAGCTCCGCGCGTCGGGCCCCCCCCTTACGGAGACTCTCCAGCCCAGCTTCCTGCGAGAAGTGGTTGAGGGCCTTTTCCCACAACGGGCGGAACACACTCCCCCGTCGATGGCCTCCTTGGCCGGAGACGACGGGGAGCACGGGGAGGATAATGTTCCGCCCGTCCGGGAATCGGAGGTAGGGGCGGCTGTTCTACGGATCCGTTCCAAGAACACCGCCCCTGGGCCAGACGGGGTACCGGCCCGAGTGCTGGCCCTGGCCCTCAACCACATGGCAGACCGCCTCGGGGAGGTGTTCGACGCTAGCTTGGCGTCGGGACGCTTCCCTGAGTGCTGGAAGAGCGGGAAGCTGGTCCTATTGCGGAAGCCGGGACGGCCTGCCGATTCGGTCGCGGCCTATAGGCCCATCGTGCTGCTGGACGAGGCGGGCAAATTGTTTGAGAGGGTTCTTTCTGCCCGCATCGTCCGGCACCTTTGCGAGGTGGGCCCCGATCTGTCGGACACCCAATTTGGTTTTCGGGCGGGGCGTTCGACGGTCGACGCCGTGTTGCGCCTGAGGGCCGTGACCGAAGAGGCCGTGAGCTGTGGCGGCGTGCTGTTGGCGGTGTCATTGGACATCGCCAACGCATTCAATAGTCTGCCATTCAGCTGCATCAGGGAAGCACTCCACTATCATGGGGTGCCAAAGTACCTGAGGCGGCTGGTGGCAGACTATTTAGAGGAGCGTACCGTCGTGTACGAGGACCGAGAAGGTAATTTGAGGTGTCGGCCCATGTCGTGCGGTGTTCCACAGGGGTCTGTTCTTGGACCCCTCTTGTGGAACATAGGGTACGACTGGGCCCTTCGCGCCGATTTCCCCCCCGGGCTGGGTGTAATCTGTTACGCAGACGATACCCTCGTGACAGCCCGGGGGGCAAACTTCCAAGAGGCGGCGCGCCTGGCCACAGGGGGAGTCTCCCTGGTGGTCGGGCGCATTGAGGCGCTGGGCTTACGGGTGGCCCTAGATAAGACGGAGGCCCTGTTATTCCATGGGCCCCGTCGTGGTCCACTCGGTCCTCGTACCGGTTCGGGCCCAGATGAAATATCTGGGCCTGATCCTCGACGGGAGGTGGCTCTTCGACGAGCACTTCCGACAGCTTGCTCCAAAGCTGGTCGGCGCTGCGTCTGCCCTAGGGCGACTCTTGCCCAATATGGGTGGACCCAGCGTCGCGACAAGACGGCTGTACACGGGGGTTGTCCGGTCAATGGCACTGTACGGTGCACCGGTGTGGGCGGCGGCTCTGACCGCCCAGAATAGGGTACGCCTCTGGCGCCCTCAGAGGGTAATGGCGGTCAGAGCCATACGCGGTTACCGCACCGTTTCGACGGAGGTGGCGTGCGCGTTGGCCGGAACTCCCCCGTGGGATTTGGAGGCGGAAGTGCTCGCCGAAGTTTATCGGCGAGTGGCTGATTACCGGGCGGAGAGCGGATTTCGCCCTCCGCCCGAGGATGTGCGCGAGTGGCGCGAAGCCGCTCGCCGAGCCACGATGGCTCGTTGGTCGTTCCGGCTGGAGACTCCACGCGCTGGCTTCGCCGCCGTGGAGGCTCTCCAGCCGGTCATCGCCGAGTGGGCAGGGCGGCAGCACGGGACCCTTTCCTTCCGACTGACGCAGGTGCTTTCCGGGCACGGTTGCTTCGGAAAGTACCTGCACACGGTCGCTAGGAGGGAACTGAGTCCCGCCTGCCACCACTGCGACTGCAGTGAGGACTCGGCCCAGCACACGCTGGCGGTCTGCCCCGCATGGGCGGCGCAGCGCCGGGCCCTCACTGCAGTCATCGGAGTGGATCTCTCGCTGCCGGCCGTAGTACGCTCCATGGCCGGTAGCGACAGTTGTTTTACCGCGGTCGCAACCTTCTGCGAGGTAGTAATCTCGCGGAAGGAGGCGGCGGAGAGGGCCCGGGAGGACGACCTCCACTCGGACCCGATCCGCCGCCGGCGAACCGGGCGGCGGAGGCCCGCCTACCACAGCCTCATGCCGCCCTGAGTGTGGCCGCGGGTGGACGGGGTGGGTTTCCCCTCCACCCGCATTAGTTGGCCAGCCGCGAGGGGGCGGCGTCCGCGTGTGCCGGACGTCGCCTAAAGAGAGGAACATCTACAATGAGACGGAGCCCGCACCAGGAGCGGGCTGGCGCTAGGAGGGGTCCGGATGTCTTAACAACAGCTGTTCCCGGATCCCTCCTGTTACAGGCGCAGAGTGGCACACCGTGTGGTTTTAGTCGGTCCGAGTCCGACACACCACCCCGCCGCAAACCCCGGAGGGGTGACGGTCCGAGGGGATTTCCACACGTTAAAAAAAAAAAAAAAAAAAAAGGGTTTAGTTTAAGTTTTCCTTCTCTTTGCAGTGCTGTTGTCCTGCGTAGTTTGCTCCCTTGGCACTTACGACACCTACGGGATAAATAGGGGTAGTGACACTCCACATTCTTAAGTCATCACCGCCATCATGATGTTGACATTGAAGTATTGTTTAATTACAGATAAATACTTTAAAGCTTATAACAACTGTGGAAGCATAACTTAGAGTTTTTTTTTGCCAACCTTGATGCAATTTAGCCAGCGGTGAATAATAACGTAAGAAGGTACATTCACTAACCTTCATGACATGAGTCAGGTGTCTCTTGGTGGGAGGGGTCCAGAAGGCGATAATTACCTGGACCCCTCCTAAACTGGAAGCGCAAAGAGGGCACACCGTGTGGTTTTAGTCGGTTCGAGTCCAACACACCGCCCCGCCAAACGAGAGCCCCGGCGGGGTGACGGTCCGAGGGGATATCCACACGTTAAAAAAAAAAAAAAAAAAAAGAGGTGTCTCTTCCTTGATTGCTACATCTATCGTTGGAGCTTTAACTGCAAAGAAAAAGTATAGGAAGCGGTTACCTAAGTACGTAAGCTTTAATGAATGAAGGTTTAAAAGGCCGTATGTAGGCCGTCAACGCGCTTGTGACCCCTGAGTTGCAGGCGTTCATGGGTGGCTGTAGTCACTTTCCATCAGGTGACCCGTCTGCTCGTCTGCCTACCCTAACATAAAAAAAAATACTTATATATTTCTAAATACATACATATTATAGAGAAATTACTCCCAGACACAGAACAAATGATAGTGCTCATCACAACAATTGGTTCTGGGTGCGAATCAAAACCACAACCTCTAGACAGATTAACAGGCCTTTATAATGGTTTGTATTCCTCAGCAATCCTTCAATAAGCAACCTTTCTGTTCCAGATATGACAAAGAAGGTGAAAGAGGAAGAAATTGAATTGGAGAATGAAGCAAACGAGTTTGAAAGATGTTAGTTTATTTGTATGTATTTAACCGACTCATTTTATTGTTAACCGACTTTAAAGAAGAGGAGTTTCTTGTGTGTTAAGAACTGGAACGAGTCCCCACCGCAGCGTGGCGTATATATGTTTATAGGTCGGGCTTTTTCAAAATTCAAGAGGATTCGAATAATCTCATATAACGTGCCCGATTCGACTGTACTCTAGAAACTTCTAAAACAACATGGTACATTCTGGAATACTCTAAATATTTATAAAACATACAAATTGGTTCACATGTCTCAACTTGTTCATGACGTCATAAATAAGTTAGGTGAGACGCCCGGTTTGACAACCGGATGGCGTAGTGGTTTGTGTAACGGACTGCTATTCCAAAGGTCGCGGGTTGGATTCCCGCTTAAGTCAAACATTTGTGTGCATGAACATTTAATGTTTTGTGGGTGTTTCTATGTATAATAACTACGTATTTACAAAAAAAAAGTATATATGTATTTATATCAGTTGTCTAGTAGCCATAGTACAAGTAGTGCTTAGTTTTGGGACTAGATGGCGTTGGGTGAATGTGGAAAAAAGGAGTTCACCTAATTTTTTATTATTTCTTTAATTTTTTTTCAGTAACAGTATATACAGATACGGATTCACAGTTGAAATGTGACGGAGAAATCGACTCTCTAGATGTAAATGGCGACGATTCAGCACAAGATATATTTGACGGTAAGACATTACATTCAATAACAATGTGTAATAGGTCGTTTTAGCTGATTCGAAAAAACATGAAACCTAAAATACTGGTTTCAGCCTTATTTGTTAATTAGTATCAGTGCCTTTCGTAATTATCATGCAGCATGATTTTTGTTTATACAACTTTAAGAGACTTTATTTACTAACACAGTAATAAAATATAAGCCTAGTAAATATTGAATCTTAGTCCAATATGAGCCCCAAAATCGGTGGGTTACTCTTCTGTTCGCTTAAATCACTTCGAGGTTCACTGTAGCTCAAAGTGGTCTTAACGGCGCAGACGTGCCGTATTTAAATTCACTCAGAAGTATCTAGAAAGTTCACACAAAGTTTTTCTAGGCAACGATAGGTAGATAGGTAGGCTAGGTAAATAACTTCGGGCGAAAATCTATTTCCGTCCCTATAAGTATAGTAATAAAGTTCATAGTCATCCGCGCTGTTCTCACAGCTTTCTGGTAGGTTCGTAAGACCTATTTCTTAGCGTTCCATGGATTCATGGTGCGGGTGCCGGGTCCATGGCGTCATGATGGAGGCAACACATGCGCCTTCGACCTTCGCCTGGGACTTGCGACTCAGGTATAGGTTTAGGAAGTACTCCTTGCGACGGGTCAGCGCTCGCCTCCACTGTCTGCTGTGTTACCCCCTCTACCTAGCCATATTTAATACGAGCTATTCTTCTGCTACTGTATTTCAGATACAACTTTGATAAAAGCAGAAGAATTGGACCAACAGCCTGTGGTATTCGCCGATGTTACAACTACATGTAAGTATTTTTATCATTTTTAAGTAAGTAAGGAATTTCAATGACATGATATTTTGCAGGGAGTTACTTCTTTCAGATTCATCATCATCATCTTTTGATAGTCCACTGCTGGACATAGGCTTCTCCTTAGAAAGGAGGTTTTGGCCTTCCATTCTACGCTGGCCAAACGGGTTGGTATAGAGTTTGTTGTAAGTTTAGGATGCAGGCAGGATGATGATGATGATGGAAGAATTATTTACTATGATTGTTGCTTGCTCCTGTGACTCTGACTGGTAAGCTTGATAAGGTAAGAGGTCTCGTGGGTTCCATTCCCTCCAGGAAAAATGGTTACGTGATGAATATGAGGAATGTACTTTGATAGCACGGATGCTCGCCGCTTCCTAACTTCGTCCCATGTGTGGTTTGAACCCACAACACTCGGCGCAGTAGGAAGCGGCGTGGCGACCACTTAAACCACTACGCCATCCGTGCAGTCAATATTTTTGTCTGTCAGTCTGTTTGTTCCAGGTAATCTTCAAAACGGTTGGACCGATTTTGATAATATTTTACTACCAGGTAGCTGTCTATATAAGGAGGAACTTAGGCTACTATTCATCTCAGGAAAACCCTATAAAATTTTGCCCGGTCCGGGACCCGAGGAATCACCTACACCGCTAAGGCAGCGCTTTTGAATTTCAAACCAGCTAGTCTATATGTAGAAATACATGTATTTCAGCGATCTTGTTACCATAGCACAGGGTCTGCCTAGTTTGGGATCAGTCGGCTATCTATGAGATGTGTCAAATTTCTACTATTATTTCAGGCCCCGAAGACAGAAAATCGGTGAAGAAAAAAAAAACAACCAGGAATAGGAAACAAATGGGGAAACGTAAGTACCTATTCAACATCAACAGCCTAATAGTCCACTGCTGGACATAAGCTTCTCCCTAGAAAGGAGGTGTCCTACTATACCACGCTGGCCAGACGGGTTGGTATAGAATTTGTGCCAAGTTTTCCTTCTCTTCGCAGTGCTGTTTGCGTCCTGCGTAGTTTGCACCTTTAGTCGGCTCTTACGACATCCACAGGATGAATAGGGGTGGTGACACTCCGTATTCTTAATCCTTCGCCACTATTGTACCTATACACCTATAACCTATACACTATTGTAGTATTAACGAGTAAATTTTGGACTAAGTTTAAGGAAAATGTCTAAATATCGTGCACCAGCCTGTATATATTTATATTCACAAGAATTAACGCCCTCACGATAGGTCCTTCACATACCAGAGGCCTTAGTGTGAGTTTATTTCACATCAATTCGATCGTCACGGTGACCGCGTTCGGCGTTGTGATCCGTAAAGAGTTCAGCGCAGGCTTCGGTCGCCATCACGTTAACGTAATTATAGACTGGTGTACAGTAATATATTATGGAAAGCCATAGTTTAAGAATTAGTATTGTGCACCAGGTCCTAAAAGTAACTCTTAAAATATTCGCTTAAATGAAAGATTTTATGCCCTAGTAAAAAAAGTTTTAGATTATCCATTGACAGCTGCAGCAATTAATTAAAAACTTTTGGTCATTATTTTTTTATGTTAGAGGGGGCAGACTAGCAGACCTGATGGAAAGTGACCATCGCCACCCTTGAACTTCTGCAACTCAGGAGTCACAAACGTCAATTTTATTACAATTTTCAACCATTTCTGTAAATCATTAATATATAGTTGAACACTTTCCAGGTAAGAGAATAGTAATAATACCGAAAGAAGACCATCACGACGATAAGAAAATAGAATTTCGCCATGTGAACTACGTAAAACCAAGACAAAACGCCTGCCTAATACTAGAACATTCCACAATAGTCCCATTCAAATCTAACAAAGGCTACTTCACGTGCTTGTACTGTAATAAACAACATGTCGGTTTTGACGAATTAAAATCACACATCCTTCAGCTACACGAGAATATGACCTTTACAACTATTTTAAAAAGTATTAATAGGCCGCATGACCGAATCAAAGCCGATGTCAGTGACATCGCTTGTAGAATTTGTAAAAAAGAAATAGACAACCTAGAAAACTTAGTGTCACATTTGACTGAAAATCATAATATTAAATTCATTGAAGACGATGTCAAAAAGCCCGCCGATGCAATTTTAGCTTACGAATTAAATGACGGTAAATTCAAATGTTGTATTTGCAAAAATGAATTCTTGTTTTTTAAAACTCTTAATAATCATATGAATACACATAGCAATGATCATGTTTGCGATGTCTGTGGCCGATGTTTTTTACTCCCAGAGCGGTTACGAGCTCATATTCAGAAGCATTTTGATGAGAAATCGGTAAAATGTAAACTTTGTGATAAAATTTGTGCCTCTAATATTGCTCTACAATCACATATAAGGTACAGGCACAAGAAACTGTCGTACATGTGTTCAATATGTAATGTGACTTTTAACACGTATAGGTTAAGAATGAGGCATTTAGAAGAAGTTCACAAGCGCGCTCCTCTCAATTTGACATGTAAAATTTGTTTGAAACAGTATTCACAACCGAATAGTTTAAATTCGCATATGAGGTTAGAACATTTAAAAATTGTGAAAGAACCTAAACACAGTTGTAATATTTGCGGGACTTTGTTTAAAAGTCCAAATGCATTAGCTTCTCATTCTTTAGTACACTCTGGTGAGAAAAATTTCGAATGTCACGTATGTCACAAAAAGTACGCTCGCGCCAAAACTTTGAAAGAACATCTAAAGATACACCGCAATGACAGGCGTTGGGCGTGCGGCGCATGCGCGCAGGCTTTCGTTCAGAAATGTAGCTTAAAAAATCATATTAGAGTGCATCACGCTGATATGGGTTATCAAGAGTTAATTGTATATAAGAAACCTGATTTAGATAGTAAATAAATTATTATTTAATATACTTGCATTTTTATTTGGCTGTGGAAAACTTTTTTGGAAGTTATTCTAATTATAAGTATTGTTAAGACCCGGAGTTTGTAATAAGATCAATACTCTGATTAACACACGAAATTGACAATTTATTGAAAATTGTCACAATAATCCGTAATTAAACTTGTTGTGTTGTACAGCACAGCCATATGTGTTAACTCCATAGCCCAGTGGATGTTTTTGAGAAGCGCTTATCTCAGAAAAAATCAGCAGGTCCAGACACCTCGACGCTACTCCGGAAACTTCTAGATGATCGTAATAAATTTTAGACGATTTGAACTTTTTTCTAGAACATTAGGTTAGTTATGTTTTCGTTACAGTATTATAACTTGATTTGCTTAAATAAAACTATAAGAAGTAACTCCTTTACTTACTTTATTTCATTTAAATAAATACATAGTTACAAAGAAAATATTTTTTAGGTATATTGTGGCTTGATATTTTATAAAATAAAACGAAAAATAGAATGCTTTATTATTACTTCTGCCAGATTTGTTGGGACTTCATAGCGTGGCCTGGGTTATGTGCATCAGAAGGTCAATTCTCGTAATAAAAGTTCGGTCAAAGTTCAGTTTTGATCAACTCTTGATCTCGCGACAGACAAAAGGTATTTTCGTAGTAAAATAGTAAAGTATTACTAAGACTAGCAGATTACCAATTCAATTTTCATAATCACATTACAGTCAACGTTGGATATTTAATAATTTACTACGAAAATACTTTTTATGGCAGTTGTGATCGAGAGTTGTTCGGAACTGAAATGTGACCGAATTTTATAACGAGAACTGGCTTTCAGGGCTCGATTTAATATCGCTGCCTAGTGTTTGTCAGCACCGTTACCTTCTGAGCAGATTTTCCGCTCAGCGCTAGAATCTGTGGTTATTCTGTAAAAAAATATCAGTTACTATCTTCTGCCCACGGCTCCCTATTCAGTAATGACGAATTGTTTTATAATTTTATACCAGAATTTATTTTATATGATTATTACTTAATAAAATAGTCGTGTCAATTAAAAGAAAACCCTTTTAGACGCTCTAAGATTCTAGTATTATGATTTTGGTAAAAAAAATCATAAAATTTGTATTTTTTTTTTGGTTTCCACAATTTTTGAGAGTAGTATATAATATTATAGAAATCTTAATATTTACCGGTATTTTCCTTCAGAGACTGAATCTTCGGTAGAGCTGTCATTAGAGCTGGAAAAAAGGGTTAATTATTACTATTAAAATATTATAATACAGGTACAGAAAACTCACTGAGCAAAATCATTTGATTAAATAGCGACTCTCACTCCGACACAATAAGTTGCAATTTGGGTCACAAAGCGCTAAATTTACGTATAGTCATTTTTACTTAGAAGTTATTTAGAAACTTACCTATTTCTTTTTACGCAAAAGGTTCTGTACTACCAAACAATTAACTTTTAAAAGTCTTAATAACTTCAACGCCCCTAAATCATGATGATTTAGGGGCGTTGAAGTTGGTGTATATGTTGGTGATACTTTTTCTTCAAATAATATTTAAAAATATATATGTAAGAAACATTAATAAAAATACTAATGAATATTGAAAACTTTTTTCTTTTGAAGTCGGTTAAAACAAATTAATTTATTTTCTTTAATTTATTTAATTTTTGGAGTTCCCTTTCCCAAAATCAGAAAAGGTTTGTCTTTAGCAATCAAACTTTACTAGCCAACACAATATTACCTCTGCTTTTGACTTCCTGACTTCCTCTTTTCGGCTTTCTTCGCTCTGTCCTCCCTCACGATGCTGCGTACTTCCACCGGGCTGACGCCAGTCGCGTTGGAGGTCCGCTGGGTGATGGCAGCCAACGGCCGAAGGTCAGGATTGTCGTCATTCTGCAACTGCAGGAACTTGTACTCTTGGTCTAAGTAGCGGAATACGTTGGAGATTATTGTTTTACTCTGTAACATAAAATAGTAGGTTCAATACAATGTTCCCGGGATATCCAGTGTTCTTTCGCATTGCTTTATAAGAAAAATATATCTTGGCCCTATCATAGCCAAAAATGAAGAAATCAAAATAATAGTCATTTTTCTTTTTTTAAATGCTAGGTCGTGACGTCTCTATGTTGATTTGATGATATTAAAAAAATAAAAATATTATACTGATAATGGAGGACAATTCTAGCTGTACTTAAAGATGTTACATTATAATAGCTAAATTATTTTTTTATACATTACATACACCTTTTATAACAAAGTACCCACAAAAATTAAAGGAACAAACACACTCATATTTTTCTCGATTTATGACGGTACATTACTAAGTGAAAAATGTTCGTATCATGATCATAGTCATGATTTGTCTTCAAGAGGCATACCTAAAATCTGTTAGTCTTCAAAAAACATCCCTGGCTGAAAGTCATTTCAAGTCCAACAGAATTAGAAGGTTGCCACTTTAGAAAAAAAAAAGCAGGATTGCCACATGAAAAAAGTACAAAAAAATCTTAAAAATCATTACCATCAGTAAATTAAAGCTTTTAAAGATTCTACCTGCATTGGTGTTAATTTTAATCAGACACGTAAACTTTGTGTCAGTATTTCAATGATCTAATTGGAAGCCAGCTGCACACATATGGCGCCATTTACTAGAACTCCTAATTTATAGTAATTAAATTGGAGGTTATCGTGAGTCCTGACTGTTGTTGTCCACAGCTGGACATAGGCCCCCCTAGGCTTTCCACAACGACCAGTCCTTATAATATAGTTCTTATAGAAATAATCCTTTCTTCATGTTTTTAGTTTGTATGAGAATTAACAACGACGCGAAAGATTTTATCCGTTGACAAATGGTTCCCACTCCCCATTGAGCCTTAACATAATCGGGCATCCCCCACATAAGTGTAAGAATACATTTAAAAAGAAATTGTCGTTATAAAAATAACAAGATCTTACACACAGCTTTAACCTATAGATAAATATCCAAATATCAATATAAATAAAAAACTTCCTTACATCTGGTATGTCTAGTTTTGGTTTCTTCCTGTCTGCTTCCACTTCTTCATCCGAGTTTGCAGTCTCTGGTGGACTTTCCTACAACAGTTATAAGGATTGTTTTGCTTTAATAACCAGCCCCCCATAGAGAACAATTAAGCATACGGGTCACCTGATGGTAAGTGACTACCGCCGCTCATAGACACCTGCAACTCAAAAAGTCATGAGTGCATTGCCGGCAGAGCCTCCAGTACATACCTCTTTAGTTTTACTTTTTTTTTCTTCTGACTCTATCAAAAGTTGTTGCTCAATATATTCCTGTTTGGCACGTTCCCTTTTTAAAAGGATTCTCTGTCTCCTAGCATCAATTGCCTGTTGAAGCACCATGCTGTAATTTAAACACATTCTCGCATAACTTCATGGGCTTTGTTATAATGCAGGTGACATATGTTAAATGTACATAAACAATTTGTGGATCACACGCATTTCCTGAAATTTACTTCTTTTTGTGTAATTTAAAATTCCTAACTAAAGTGTAGTGTACCTTATCACTCATTGTCACACTACCCTGCAGAACACTGGTAGATAATGCCTACAGCATTAACTCTTCACATGCCACCCGTCTAATATGCCACTACACTGTAAAGTGTTTTCACCGGTAAGCACTGTACAGTGTAGTGGCATGTCAAAAATTAAGTCTGCCATTGCACATAAAGATTCAAATAGACACTAAAATATACAAATAGCATGTATGACAACATAAAGACTCTTAATAATTATATTAATAAAGTAAACAAGTGTATAACAATTTAGAACAAAGCTAGTTGTTCTATATTGTTATACACTTGTTTATCCAGAATTATATGTATGTTTCAGAAATCACAATGTAAAATAAATATATTTAAGCGTCATCTAGCCAAATCATGCCGATCTATCTTGTAACTAATTATACCGAATAGCGCAATGATAGCTCTCGTACTTATTAAAATATCTATTAACATTCACACCTTAAGAATTTTTGTAGGTAGAAATGATACCACAGCACAGAGATCATGGCACCTCAGTAATAAGTAATATTTTTATTGTTATAATCAGAGGAGGAAGGATGAAAGCGTGCCTAAGCTACTACTAACAAAATGCAAGCGTTTATCTTATAAAGATTCATTTTGTTTACAATTAAACAAGAACGTGCTTGAATCAGTTGTAATGATATAAGGTACGTATTCCTTAAAATAGTTTCATGGGCTTTTAAAAAATGTCATACCTTGCATAATTTTCGAGTTCTTCAATATTCATAAAAACTACACAATACTAACCAAATATTTCATTAAATACATATACCCTTCGGTACTGGGTTACTGTTTTGTTTATCTTATAATAAATATTTCTGTTCTACGTGACATTTGCAAATCGCGTTTAGTTACACACATCAAGCTGTCATTTGTTAACAAAAAAATTATTACGTTTTTTAAAATGAAAACTGTAACTTTATGAAGCACTGCAGATTTTATATAATATATGTACAATTACATCTGCTTAAAAAAACCGCACTTTAACCTTATCTTATTAAAGTGAAAATATGAATATTATAAAGGTTTTTATGATAAAGTCCAACTTAGTTCTTTCTGACTGTTAAATTTCAAGCGATCAAGTGAGCATTTTTGGCGTCCAAATAACATTTCCCCAAAATATAAGGCGCCGATTTTTTTTTTCGATTTCTTCCTCTTACATTTTTGAAAACCTGTAGAATCTTTTATCACCGCTGAAATATTATATCTTCTTCTTTCTTTGGCCTCGCCTTGTCCCGTTACACGGGGTCGGCTTTCCCAATCACGCGGCGCCATTTGCTTCGGTTTTCCGCATCTTCTTCCTTAAGGCCTATCTCCTTCATATCCTTACGGACATTCGTCAGATAGGTGGTTTGGGGTCTTCCTCTCCCCTTCCTCTTTTCAGCCATGGAAAGACACTTCTTCACGACATGGTCTTCCGGTCTTCTAAGCACGTGACCGTACCATCTTAGTCTGGACTCTTTTACCTTGTCTGCTATTTGTGCAACCCCAAAACTACCTCTCACATACTCATTTCGGACCTTATCTTTCAGTGTGACTCCTCCTGCCCATCTCAGCATACGCATTTCCGTTGTGTGTAGTTTCTGTTCATGAGTCTTTTTCATTGCCCAGGCTTCACTGCCATACAGGAGTGCCGGTCTAACAGCTGTCTTGTAGACTTTACCTTTAGTTTTTATAGGCATTTTCCTATCACATAAAACTCCAGTCAGCGTGCGCCACTTAGTCCAGCCCGACATTATTCTGTGCGATATATCCGCTTCAATAGATCCATCTTCTGAAAGTACTGATCCTAGGTACTTGAAGGTTTTTACTCTGGGCAGGGTTGTGTTATCAATCTTGATATCGGCACTGATAGTTGCATTTGGGTTAAAATTGCAGAACATATATTCTGTTTTAGTTCTACTAATGCGTAGCCCATTCTGTTCTAGAGACATTCTCCACTGCTCTAAACATTTCTGGATTTCTTGAAGGTCATCGGATATTAGAGCCACATCATCGGCGTACAAAAGATTCCACGGAATTGGTTGCTGAATTTTTGCAGTAAGATAGTTTATGACGGTGTTAAAAAGCAGGGGACTCAGAGCACTGCCTTGATGGATACCCACTGTAATATTAAAATCTTTGGATAATCCCGCTGGTGTTCTGACACACGTTTCGACATTGTTGTACATGTCCTTAATAAGTTGAATGTAGTATTCGGGGACTTTATGTGCCCTCAAAGCCTGCCATATTAACGTCCTCGGTACTCGATCAAACGCCTTTTCCAGGTCAATAAACACCAGCCATAGATTCTGTCTATTTACTCGGGCCTTCTCCATAACTATTCTGATAGCATGTATAGCATCGGTTGTTCCCTTTCCAGCAGTAAATCCGAACTGATTTTCCGTTAGCATGATATGATTTTTAAGGCGCTCACTCAGGACTCTCTCCCAGATCTTAAGGGTATGTGATGTTAGTTTGATTCCGCGATAATTACCACAATCGCGGACGTCGCCTTTATTTTTATAGAATGGCACAAGGATACTTTTTCTCCAGGAATCTGGCATTTTTTCACTTGATAAGATGTTATTAAACAAGTTTGCAAGCCATACCTCTCCATCCGCTTTTGAAATATTATATGAAATATTATATGACCGCTGAACTATTATATGACTTTTATTAATTCTATTATTCTTTCAAATATAATAGGTTACCATGACACTTGATTCAATCCCTATTTAGCATCATGGGCTCCCCTACTGTTACATCCGTACACTCTAATAGTATTACTGTAGGTACTCTGTCCGTACATTGCAGATGCGCGCATATTCCTGTCTACGTGCAGTTGAGTCGTTAATAGTCTTTGTTTCCTTACTTGTCTTAGTAGTTGATTGTTATAGTTTTGTGTTTTACGTAAACTTTTCGACGGTTACATATTGCTGTGGCGATTAAAATGCCTCACGGTAGGGACAATGTATTACGCCGACAAGCTAGAAAAATGATATTTAATATTATGCAATTCATGAAAAAGGAGAATGAGGATGGAGTTCCGACTTCATTTAATATGGCACAAAAACGAGTGGCGGCAGCCACGGGTGTCTCACTTAGAACTGTGCAAAGAATTGCAGCACAAACAAATGTGTGGCGACTCCCACATACGAAGAAACAGAAACATACTACAGCGCCATCTGACGAAGACACACCGAACTACGAAGTAACAACTGAATAAGAATTGCTAATCCTGTATCGCGATATGAAGAATTCTCTCGCCGATTAGCATATATACAACTTCCCAACATCAACCGCTGGGCGGCGGCCCGCTAGGCATTATCACCACGCCTGGTCGGAGAAACCTCCCTTTGTGTTGGAGGGACATGACACCCGTTCCTCAACAATTGAAACCAGCTTGATAGTAGTTTTTCATAAACCTGGAAAGAAAAGGAAAGAGAGTCACAGGTAATATACCTGTGACTCTCTGAGCTGAGACTGAGCTTTGATCAAGGTGTGGCCAAAAGGTATGTTCACAATTTTCACATTACAGAAAAAGAATTACCGAGTTTACAAAAAAAAAGTGGCATTAAATTTAACGGATCTATTACCAGTTTAAGCATAATCCTAAAAAATATAGGGTTAGGAGAATGAAAGAAAAGTTTTTATTGAGCAAACTAATATTCGTTTCCAGAGAATCGAATATCTAGAGAAAACCTCTAAATATCGAGCCGCAAGCAGAGCTATCATTTATACAGATTAATCATCGGTTGATTCCGCTCACAGTACATCCAAGTCGTGTTGTGATGGGTCTGAATAGGGACTAAAGAAAAACATTTCTAAGGGCCAACAAGCTGTTATAGTACAAGCGGGTCCTGCAGCTGGATTTGTACCCAATGCCCTATTGATATTTAAGGCAGGAACCAAAACCAGCGACTATCATGACAACAATGCCAAATTTACCAGCATACTCAGTTGTCGTGGTAGACAATGCATCATACCACAACCAACTGGAAGATCCTGCACCAAATTCCAACAGCAAGAGGGCTGATATGGAATCTTGGCTCCGAGAAAAACAAATATCTTTTAGCAACACAATGTTGAAATCGCAGATATATAAATTAGTTGCCATAAATAAAGATCGCTTCAATAATGTTTATATTATAGATAATATATTAAAAGAAAGTAACCACGTCATCCTTCGTCTTCCTCCTTACCACCCCGACTTAAAAAAAATTAAGCAACATGTGGCAACAAAAAACGTGACTGTTTTTAATATTAATATTTCTTTAATATTTTTACACACGGCCGTCTGATCCCAAACTAGGCAGAGCCTGTACTATGGTAACCAAACTGCTGATAAACATACATATATATTTATAAATCTATACATATTATGGAGAAAGTACACCCAGACACAGAACAAATGACCATGCTCATCACACAATTATTTGTCCTGGGTGGGAATCGAACCCGTCGTGGGTTCTCTGGCGTAGCAGTCAGGGTCACTAACCACTAAACCAACAGGCCAGGCCAGCTTTTTACTATTGACAACGGGCACCCAACGATTTTTTTACCCGCTTTATATTAGCTTCACTTGTATGTTTGTATGTTTGTTCGTAACTGACTCTTTTGGGCGTGATTTTGACTGACTTTAAACGGTCAGAATAAATTCAAAATTTGTAGATATATCGAGGACCGATGACAATACACTAATTTAAAATAAAAAAATTAAAAATAGATAAAAAACACGATATTTATAGAAAACCAAACTAAAAAATAGAAAAAAGATTTTCTATAAAAAACGTGTTTTTTGTTTTTTTAAACTAATTTTTTTTCAAATTTATTTTCTAGTTTTTTAAACTATTATTATTTGCAAACACAAGTACATATATATACATACAGGTACAACATATAGATTGTCCACTGCATTTTACCACATCATTGGTGTGCAAATATTTGTCATTAAAATGTTACTTTTATTCCAATCAGAAATTGAAATACAATTTTCCAGAAGAATAAGTTATAATATAATTATTTAATAACATTATCAGTCATCTAAATAAATAAATAAATCCATGTCACAAACCCTACATTGCATAAATTACCTTTATTATTTGATACTAATGTATATTAAAAATTATTTTATAGAGTAGTAGGCTTTTTCAATCAGAAAATTACGTAGATAAGTTTTGAAGCATTCAGTTAATTTTTTATAGATGCTGGTAATTTATTAAAAACCTTCACAGCCATACAGAATACACATAGAATACATGCGTGCATGAGTGCTGTTCGTGAGGGGATTTAGCACGGGCGTGTTTGGTTGCGATTTCTACTTGTTAACCGACTTCAAAGAAAGGAGGAGGTTCTCAATTCGACTGTTTTTTTTTTCTTTTTGGAACGGGTGCAGATTAGTCCAAACAAACTTAGCAACTTTATATTTAAAAAAATGTGTTTTACATGAATCTGTTTTTTGCAAATGGCATACATTGCCCGTATACAGATTTTTTGTGCTAAAAAACTCTGCCCCTCACCAGTAGTATCCACAGAAGATAACTCCATACTTTACGTTAACTATGCGTAAAGCCATCTGCCGATTAGCAGTTCTTATTTGGTCATCATATAATCAAGAGTGGTAAGTTGAATTACTTATTATAATTATTGATATTGAAGGTTTGATTCCTGTTCAATGCTAATAGGCAGGGACAGATAAGTGACTGCACTGTGGTTAAAGCGTTCAATTCGCCGCTTTTATCTGCGCTGAGTACTTTTTGAAGCGTACACAAACCAACTTTTTTTTTATATATAGATACTTATGTAGATGGATTAGGGAGTGTAAGTCGAGCAGTGCAGGTCAGCGTACCTAACTAACGCATAGGTAACTCAAACTGGCTGTTCCTAAGTTCAAGTCCTCTTCATCATCATCATCATCATCAACAGCCTTTAATAGTCCACTGCTGAACATAAGCCTCTCCTTAGAAAGGAGGTTTTGGCCTACTATACCACGCTGGCCAGACGGGTTAGTATAGGGTTTGTGTCAAGTTTTTCTTCTCTCTGCAGTGCTGTTGTTCTGCTTAGTTTTTTCCCTTAGTCGGCTCTTACGACACCCACGGGATGAATAGGGGTGGTGACACTCAGTATTCTTAATCCGTCACCACACGGACCACAAGTCCTCTAGCCTAACTTTAAAATAAAACAACCAAAATACATAAATAAAAATATTTATTTTTTATTAACTGTAGGGTAGAAGAGATCTGGAGTGAAGACCATATCTAGATAAATGTAGGACGATCTGAGACCTGGAGTAATGATCTCAATAAAACGGCGAGAAAAACCAGGTGTGGAAAGCTGATGATCGAGTTCAGTGGCGTTCATGAGGGGGCCTCACCAAGTTTTTTTTTATGGTATGGGTCAAACGAGTAGAGGTTTCACCTGTTGGCAAGTGACTACCTCCGCCCATGGACAGCTGCAACTCATGAATCCAAAGCATAACTCGCCGACCATGAAACGCTGATGACGATAAACCAGTTAATATTACATACTATATTCAAGATGATGAGTCTTCAAATGGCCTTTAAGACTGCACTTCTGCACAAACGCCTGTCCGCACACCGCACAAGCGAATCTCCTATCATTATTATGTATTCGCATATGTTCTTTCAACGTTTTCTTCCTAGCATATGCTTTCTTACACACCGAACATTCGTAAATACGCTCCCCATTGTGTTTCACCATATGCACTCTTAATTCATTCTTCGTAAAACATTTATAAGAACATAATTCACATTGATAATCGCGCTCTTCCAAATGATCCCGTTTCATATGCCTCGATAAAGTATACCGTCTGTCAAAACTCTTCTCACAAACGTTACATTTGTACCTCAGCGGTGCCAATCCGTGTACTTGTACCATATGCTTCTGCCTTCTAAAGTATTCGCCAAAACGTTCAGGACATTTGGTACATTTGAACCGTTTCATCAACTTATGAACTGTGTTGACATGATTTTTATGCTTTTGAGGTGTCGAGAATATTTTACCGCAAACCTCACAAGGATGTGTCCCATCTATATGCATACTTTTCACGTGTACTTTGAGTCTGTACCTCGTGACAAAACCTGTACCACAATCTTTACATACGTAGTTTCTAAAATGTACGTTCATATGACGTTCTATTGCGCCAAAAGTCTCGTAACTAAACCCACACATTTGACATTCATAGATACCGCTATCGCATAATTTGTACGGAATAATTCTGTCCGTGAAATCTAAATGCATTTTCTTTTTGTGTACATTAATTAAATGATGTTTTAATTCGTTCAGATTTGGCATATCCTTGTTACATATTTTACATTTCAAATTTGTTATATCTACATATACCACTAAGGATTCAGCTCCATAAGTTCTCAGAACTTTAAGTATTTCATGTGTTTTGTGTTTAGCGGTGTGTTCTTTAAGTCTCTCGAGACTTTCGAAGAGATGTCTGCAGTAGAAGCAGGGGAACCCTTGCCGGCTCTTGCTTCTGAATGGAGTGACGTTGGAACATTCTAGAACAGTAGTTGCGTTCACAATGTGTGCCAGTTTTTCTGTTACGTATTGGCGGCGAACAATTCTGGACTCTTGGATGAGCTCGTAATCTTTTACTAGTTTGGATATTGTCTGTGGTAGTACTTTTGAATCTGTGGAACAAAATCGATGATTTTTTGTAATTATTTGGAATAGAAAAATATTTTTATCACTTATCTCTTAATAAATTAATATTAACTTTTTTAAATAAACTATACATACAAAGAGTAGTAATATTGTTGGTGTATTTAAGGTTAAATATAGCTTGCAGGGTTTGTAGTAAATTAAACGACGACTTCTCTCCACAGTACTTGTATTGCGACAACTTTTAAATGCAAGGGTAGTACTATTTATAACAAATATTGTTACGTGTTAGGGTTCGTTGATTCGGAAGAATAAGCCTTCTGACGACTAAAGAGACTCTTTTTTAATAAATTTTTAGACGTTCACACAATACTAAAGAATAGTCCGAAATGATCGCCGAGGCCGTTGGGTTACACTTATATTCGCTTCTGTCGCTTCGATGTTTATTGCACTGTCGCTCGAACTGAACTGACTCGAAGAAGACATGTCAGTATTTAGAGTACTCATAAAGGAACATTCCAGCAATCTTCAATCCCTACGAGAACCGTCCGCTTCCGACAAATACGAATTCGTTTCAAATGTAAACAAGATAATTCGCGCGACAATCTATTTTCGATCTTATGACTTTTGGTATAAAACTTATTGTTCCGTGCCAACCTGCATTATTATTAAACGATTCCCAGAATTGCGCGGTTAATCGAACTTTCGCGAAGTTTCGTGACAATGTAATAATGTAATCTGATCTTAAATCAGGCAGAACCTGTACTATGACAACCAGATTACAGATAAACATTCTTATATATTTGTAAGCACATACAAAATATGAATAAATTAAATAAATAATAATAAAATAATAAATAAATCCAGATACAAAATAGGGTACATTTTATAATGTAACATCTAAAAGTTTTTATTGATTTAATGTCTTGATTTCAAAATTACAATGACAATAGCTAGGTGTGACGTCACGAAATAGTATTTCATACAAAAATGTAGCGCGTTTAGCGTTATGACGTTATAAAAAAAATACTGATTTGACTTGACAGTCATCTACTCTATTCATTTGCTCTTCACGCAATTTTTGAAATCGTAGTCACAACCTGTCTCATCAGTCAGTGTGCGTTACCTCAGCAAAATAATGTCGAAAATGGTCATTTAAACGTTATAGATAATTAGTTGCTCCCCTTCTGTAATTGTTAGGCACATTTTTAAATTTGTTTCACTTAAACTTTTTTAGTTATTTCAAAAAAACATTTCCTGCTGGGGTAACGTTTGAAACGTTACCGCAGCCAGACATTTTCTTTTTTAATTGTAATATTGAAATAAATTTTAGCTACATAATTAGTTATCCGGACTAGGTAAATGTTACAACTTATTTGGTATTTGTATTTTTTTCGGCTGCGAAGTTATTCGAGATCCTGCTGGAGTAACGTTTATGGGGTTGCTGGATCTCTGAAACGGGTAAGCGGATTGTAACCATCTTTTGTATATAACTTCTTAAGGATGAGTTTTAATTTGTTCGACAATAAAATAACAAAAATAATGGACCGTTTAAAAATTATTTAGGTAAGTATGAAAACACTTCAATACGTCCTAACACTTTAAATAAGACCTCTAAAGACTTACTTCAAACGTTATTCTATTGCTTGTAACTACCTTCAAATGTATACGAATTTACGTAAGAATACTGTAAGTGACTAAAAAGTTATGATGAAATGTAGCTCTCCACGTTCACGATCACAATGTGTGCGGCCTTTTTTGGCCACCGATAAACCTGTGTGTGGATATATAAACTGAATGTTGTGCCAATAATTAGTTGTTTAGTTCAGTTGTCTACCTGTAGAATTTCAGCATCGTACATATAATAATTTACGAGATAATTAAGTAAAAGTCATTAGAAGGTGCAAGACCGTGGTAACCCGACCATGTTTAGGTGGTTACAAAAAAGCGATCACCCAGTACATTGTGCTGGCTTTTAAAATATGTAGGATATTATTTGCAAGTTTACTACGGATATGTTCATAAGTGTTACAAAAAACTACATGTTTTTAAATAATTTTTATTTAGGATTGTTTATTGCATAATTAGTAATCAGCCGGGAGATTAGGTATTGTTTTGAATGCTTTTGTTTTCTCGTAATTTTAAGGTGAATTGTTTATAGTTGTTCATAGAATTGGTCCCTGTGTAGTATTTGTTAATTGAAGTTTAATTTTAGGGTAGGTATAGCTAATTTAAGTTTTGAAGAGTGTAACGTGTGCGTTGTAAATAGGTATTTTGTGAATAGATGGGGATTTTTTTAAGTGATGAATCGACTTAGGCTAGTATATCGCGAACAAACTCTGTATTGCATTATTTCTGTAATAATGTTGGAGAAAATAAAATATTTGGTCACAAAATCGCGGTGAGTTAAATTATAATAAAATAAATTATTTATGTAAAATTAGTAATAAGTGAGATACCTACCTACAAGTTATGATCGTTTTTAATTTGTTCACCCTGAACGAAATTTCAATATAAGCATTAGTAATGAATATCCTAAGACAAGAATTGACAATTACTTAAATTGAATCGAATTAGCATTAATGCCCATTATTAGTAATTAGGTACACACATATTGAAGAACTCTCAAGAATACGATAAATATTTGCAAAAATAGAAAGCGGAAGCGCACACGCACTTTACAAGACGTATATTATCTGCCTAAGGGTCAAGTTTAGTGCACTAGATGCAAATTGCAAACAATGAAGTATCCCTTCGCCCCTCCCCTCCCGCGTTCTAGCGAAGGATGTATTATCGGCGATTCTTGATTGACAAATATTATCTGACCAATAATTTTATCTATAAAAATGTATCACTTCACTCGATAAATTAAATTACCGTTATTATATCAAAATATCATTCAACAACTGTTCGTTTTTAACAGAAATCAACAGTCACGGGCTCAACGCTTAGCGGTAGGTACATAGGTATAGATAATTCTCGGTTCTCGGTATAGACCACAGAACAATATTACCTACTCTTACGAGGTATACGACTGTTGGGCGATGCAATGTTGATGCATTCTAATTTACAACTGTATTTTTCTAATATTCGGTCTATTTTAACTTATTGTAGATGACTTGTTGCTTTAAATATTTTGATGCATTCAAGTCTAAGCTCTATGCACCTCAAAATAAAATACAATTACTTTAGTGTCATTTCTTTACAAAAAAAAATCAAAGAAATGAAACGATTTCTTATTGGTTTAAATTTTCGATTTATTGCAGTCAGGTGAATCGTTCATACATGTATTGTAGATACATGTATATTTATAATTTTATTGTAGCTCCGGTAGTTAAAAAGACTAAAGAAATTTTAAGTAAAGAAACTAGTGCTTAAGATCAATTAGGAAAAAAAGAACAAAATAAATAATAGGTAATAATAATCAATAACGACCTCATAGACGAATGGCAACAACGCTGGGATGAATCATCCAAGGGGCGCCATCTTTACCAATTCTTTCCATCTGTTCGCGAACGGTTGTCGAGGATATGGCTTGAGGTGGATCACTGTGTCGCTCAATTTCTTACGGGTCATGGTAACTTTAAGAGCAAGCTTTATTCATTTAAATTAGTCGAGTCACCATTGTGTCAATGCTCAACACCTAACTCTCACTATGAACAGTCTGCTCATCATATCCTCTGGGAATGTAGTCTTTGGTATAATGAACGTAATATAATGCTGAATAGCTTGCAGGTGACATCTGGGGCGGTATACTATGGGGATCTTGTGTCAACTAGGGTGAATTTCCGTGCGTTTAGGCGATTCTGCCATACATATTATAGAAATCAAACATAGCTTACGTAGGACCCGTAATATTTGTGGCCGTGGTGCTTCCCTGTTTAAAAGGGTGTATGCCCATTTTTACTTCATTTTGTCTCCCGCTTTGCTAAGGAGGGAAGTGGATTTACTGTATTTCCAACTCCTCCAATTTTCTTCTGATTAATTTCGTTGCGGGTTCCAAGACAGTTTAATTTCTTCCTGGGACTTCCCGAGTGTCATAACTCGGTGTGTTCGTGGGTCACTGCTGTGGATCCTGGTGTACAGGAGTTACAGTGGTGGGCGTGTGGGTGGGATTAGTCCCAATAAAAAAATAATAATCAATAAATATTGAATGTATTTAACACTGCACGCAACTGTACCGAAATCGTAAGGTGTATTACACTAAACATTTTAAAAGACAGCGCAATGTACTGGGTGATCGCTTTTTTGTAACCACCTAAACATGGTCGGGTTACCACGGTCTTGCGCCTTCTAATGACTTTTATTTAAATATCTCGTAAATTATTATATGTACGATGCTGAAATTCTACAGGTAGACAACTGAACTAAACAACTAATTATTGGCACAACATTCAGTTTATATATCCACACACAGGTTTATCGGTGGCCAAAAAAGGCCGCACACATTGTGATCGTGAACGTGGAGAGCTACATTTCATCATAACTTTTTAGTCACTTACAGTATTCTTACAAAAATTCGTATACATTTGAAGGTAGTTACAAGCAATAGAATAACGTTTGAAGTAAGTCTTTAGAGGTCTTATTTAAAGTGTTAGGACGTATTGAAGTGTTTTCATACTTACCTAAATAATTTTTAAACGGTCCATTATTTTTGTTATTTTATTGTCGAACAAATTAAAACTCATCCTTAAGAAGTTATGTACAAAAGATGGTTACAATCCGCTTACCCGTTTCAGAGATCCAGCAACCCCACAAACGTTACTCCAGCAGGATCTCGAATAACTTCGCAGCCGAAGAAAATACAAATACCAAATATAAATATATAAATAAGTTGTAACATTTACCTAGTCCGGATAACTAATTATGTAGCTAAAATTTATTTCAATATTACAATTAAAAAAGAAAATGTCTGGCTGCGGTAACGTTTCAAACGTTACCCCAGCAGGAAATGTTTTTTCGAAATAACTAAAAAAGTTTAAATGAAACAAATTTAAAAATGTGCTTAACAATTACAGAAGGGGAGCAACTAATTATCTATAACGTTTAAATGACCATTTTCGACATTATTTTGCTAGGGTAACGCACACCATCAGTCACGTACCGACGACGTCGACGACCGACTGCTATACCAAAGGTCGCGGGTTCGATTAACGCTCAAGTCAAACATTTGTGTGCATGAACATTTAATGTTTGATTTGGGCTGGGTGTATAACATGTATTTAAAGAAAAAAAACTATATGTATTTATATCTCTATCTAGTATCTAGTACTCATAGTACAATCTCTGCTAAATTGTGTGAATGCAGGAACAAAAAACGAAAACAAAACCCTTTTTGTGCAATGCTCAGATTAATGGATTAAAGAAACCCTTATGTGATGGCTGTAAAATCCCGATGTCCTGTCGGCTCATAGGTGACGCCATCGCGTCGATGAAAGAGGCAGGAGTACGTGGTGTTACCACGTAAAACCACCCCGACGCGGCAACAACTGGTCATAGCTACTGCCTACCTACTCTGGATAATGTGCAACCCTAAATTGATACTCCAGTATAAAACTTTTACCTTTAAAAGCCAGAAGTTGCTTGCAGAACTCGGGGCACAAACTGACCAAGGAGGCCTTGGTTGGAAGCGGCTGCAGATCCTTGAACCTTGCCAGCAGTTCTGCCTCACCATCCACAAAACTGTCAAAACTGTTCTCGCACTCATTGTCCGACAAGTAATCTGCCAACATAAGAGAAAAAATCTTAAGTATTTCTGGGCCACACAAAACTAAATATTAAGCGCTTAAGTAATGAAACCAATGAGTTTTATTTCGTTTTACACAAGTACCCAAAATAGCAGTTCAATAATAACCTCACACATCTTACACACAGCGGTAGGCAGACCCTATACCATGGTGACTAGACTGCTGTTAAACATACTTATATATTTCTAAACACTTTTGGCCTACTATGCCACGCTGGTAAGATGGGTTCGTATAGGGTTTGTTTCAAGTTTTCCATGTCTTTGCAGTGCTATAGCTTGCTCCCTTAGTCGGCTCTTACAACACCCATGGGATGGATAGGGGTGGTGACGCTGTCTTTGTAATCCGTCACCACAACAGACATTCTTCCAAAAAATTTAGCATCATTTTAATTTATAAAACTCACCACTAATATCCAGACCATTGTCTGCAATTTCAAGTGCAGAGCGACACTCTGCAGTTTCCTCCCTTATTGCCTGTTGCGATTCTGTCTTCACATTCCCTCGGCTGTCCAAAGCATCCTCACTCAGGACTAAAATAAGAAAGTCATTTAAATATTTCAATTATGTTGCTCATTACTATACTTAAACAATTTTACTTCTGAGGTTGGGGTTGATTTTCAGCCTACTGCAATACATCTGAATTTTTTTATGCAGAATGACCCAAGTACTAAACTATATCAAAATTGTGTAGCAAGGCTGTTATTGGACTTTTTAGGGCTCCAACTACCCGTAACAATTGCCACAAATGTTCAATTAAATGCAATTCAAGTTTATTGGACTCCATAATGTATATACAGGTCTCATAAATGTAGAAAGCAATAATTATATACCCTATCGGGCACAAAAAAATAAGGAGAAAAGCAAACATTCTATCATCCATTAAACATATTGAAATGTAGTTTAGTAAAAAGAACTAAGTAGGTATTTATTTAATTGCTCTAATATTATATAAAATTAGCAAATATTACATTATAGTACTTTATTATGCTCATATGGCAGGGCTCTCCAAAGCACGGAGGGATCTCAGTATGTTAAGAATGGTCTCTTGGAGACTCTTCAATGTGATAACCAACTCAGTTACCACTTAGCCATGAGCCCAGGGAACCAAAAACCATATCATAATAATACACCTGCAACTCCTGAAATGCATTGGCCCACAGATTTGCCATAGACACTTACCAACAAGTGACTATAAAAAAAAACATTTTTGTTGTGCAACTTGGCCTCTAGAGCGTCCACTACACCCGCTGGACTCAAGGGTTGATCATAAGATAGATAGCACCATCAATTAAATAATAATAATGATTTGTATAGTTCAGGCTTGAATCTCATACCATCGACAAATTCAGTATTTTTCCCATTCCCTGTGTTTATTGCTTCAAGTAGCTGCCGCTCGGTGCTCATTGCCATCATGCGGAAGCTGGTTGCATCGCGCAATCGGTGTATACATGTTGAACATATTAGATTTGTCAATTGTGTGCTGTTTGAGAGCTGAAAGAATACATAAAAGCATTCATTGCAAACATCAATAATAGTTAAAAAATTATGTAATATTTTTAAATGAAAACTTACTAAGAAATTAAAAGTTTCGGAGAATATTTCACTGTACACTTCCCTTATGCCATTGAAGAAGTATTCTATCATCAAATCTCGGTGATGACCTCGAGCTAAACAGAAGCGACACTGCCCGTAAGTCACGTTTTTATGATTATCTATTTCCATATCGTTTTCTTGTATTAACTAAAACAAAAACACACCTTACACAAAACAATAATGCGTTTGACTTTGACAATAAATAAAACAAACTGTTACGCTTGTCTTCTTCTTCTTCTTCTTATTATATGGCAAACTGTGCCGATGACGACAATTCTGCCAATGTCAAGTGCGATGGAAATACGTGGGTTAAGAGAAATACATAAGAGAAAAGGAATATGCAAACATTAAGTTTTCCAAAATTAGCAGGTGGACTGCATATGGGTCTTTTGATTGTGGTTAGTACACTGAAACAAACAGACAAATACGAATAAATAAAGTATGTATGTAATATATAAAGAGATAATTAGTAGACAAACACAAATAAACATCACAACATTACATTAGGTACACAGGTCAAAGTTTGATGCCATTGCAACGGATGAAAAACATCAAGGCTTGTAAAAGTTTTGGGGAGGAAAAGGTAAGTAGGGATGCAAAGTTAATAGGGAGGGGGATTTTTAATTTAGTTAGGTATGAATAAAGGTCTAAGGATGGATTATTTTTACTACAATTAAAGAAGATGTGGTCCAGGTTGCCTTCGTCCAGGCCACACTCGCATAGAGACGAGTCCCGTACCCGAATTTTATTCAAGAAGACAGGTGAGCTGCAGTGGCCAATACGAAGCCTACATATGGTGGAGACAACATGTTTGGACACCTTTTTAAACTTAAAAAACCAAGGCTTCGGAGGAATGCGTGGCTGTACTGAAAAATAGTACCGGCCTTTAAATTGTGCGGACCTGTTCCATTCCGCCTGCCAGGATGTCCTCAACTCTCTTTGAGGCAGTCTTAGGAGGTCATAGTGATGGTGAACCATATGTTTCTGGTCTGCCATTGAGGAAGTAGCAGCACTTCTGGCTAACGAGTCTGCACACTCATTGCCCATAATGCCACTATGGCTGGGAACCCAGATCAACTGGACCAATTTGTCACTATTGGAGCAATTGAAGAGGCTTTTTTTGATTTCTAAGATCAAGGGGCTATGGAGTTTGCTATGGAATGGATCTTTTAGCAGGGCTTTAAGACAGCTAAGAGAATCAGTAAATATAGCAGCCTTATAGATGTTGTGCGATTCAACATATAGGCATGCCTCCAATACCGCGACACACTCGCCCGTAAATACAGAAGACTCTTCTGGGCACTTAAACTGCAAAATGATTCTGGAGTTTTGGTAGTACACCGCAGCTCCAGTGTAACTATCGCTTGACAGTTTGGATGCGTCTGTAAAAAACCTCTCAAACCCTACCAAGTGGTCATCCACATAAGCGTTAAAGGTGGAAACAGCCGAGGCAGATCCCTTAGGAATTCCCACATCCAAGAACACATTCGGCTTAAAACTAAGTATACTGTATTCAAATGAAAAAAGAGGAAGTTTGTCAAATTTTACAGTTAAATTCGTAAAGGGAAAGTAGTAGCGAAAGGATTGCAGAATCAATGGAATTTCTTTATGTGCCCAGTACTTAGAGGTATTGCAAGTTATGTCTAAGTCAGTAATTTTTGGAAGAAGAGGGTGGGTCAATTTACAAATAAATTTCAGAACAAAGCATGAAGCAAAATATTGTCTTCTTAATTTTAGAGGTGGATCTGAGCATTCAGCCTGTAATGCGTTAATGGGGGATGACTTCATGCAACCAGTAATAATTCTAAGACACCTAGATTGGATCCTATCCAGAGTTGCTAATGCGCCTTTATTGCATGGAACCAGTAGGAAAACACCATAGTCCAATATGCTGCGCACTAAGGCATTGTACACTAGCTTCATGGTGTATGGATGGGCTCCCCACCAAACTCCGGCCAGGGCCTTTAAAATTGGGATAGTTCGTTCACATTTTGAGGCTAGATGGTTAATGTGGTGAACGCCAGTCAACTTAGAATCTAAATATACCCCGAGGAATTTAAATTTATTAACGAGAGGAATTTCCTGCAGCTGTACCTTGACATCAATCTGTGGCAGAGTCTTCTTTCCAGTAAAGACAACGACTGCGCTCTTCTGTGCAGAGAGGCTAAGGCCGTGGGATGATAGCCACCGCCACAGAGAATTAAGGGAGGTTGTGAGCGATGTGGCTGCGTCTTGGATGGAATGGCTGGTTACATACAATGCCAGATCGTCGGCGTATTGCAGTATACTGCAATCATTGTTTAAACATGAGCCCATATCTGCAGTGTACAGGTTGTACAATAGAGGACTCAGTACAGAGCCCTGTGGCAAGCCCCTCCACGTCTTTCTCTGGTCGAACTCCTCTCCTAAGATCCTTAGGACTAGAGTTCGAGACACAAGCATTGCACATATGCAATGGATCATTCTGACCGGAAGTCTCAGCTGGTGCAGTTTTTGCCTGAGAATGGGTAGTAGGACATTGTCATATGCCGCAGTTATGTCGAGAAAAGATGTTACTGTGGACGCACCCTGCGACAGAGAAAGACGGATATCGGTTACCAACACCGCAACACTGTCCATGGTACTAAGACCTTTACGGAAGCCAAACTGATAATTAGGTAGTAGATTCCTTGATTCCACAATCCACTCAAGACGGATTTTAATAAGGTGTTCAAGTAATTTAGGCAAAACTGATGATAAAGCAACTGGTCTGAAGCTGTTTGGGTCTCCTGCATGTTTGCCAGGTTTCAAAATGGGAATAATTATTTGAACCTTCCACTTATCCGGGACCCAACCATTGGTATAGCAAAAATTTAAAATGTTTAGAAAGTAGGATTTTGTACTAGAGCTAGCATTGGCTATAAAAGAGTATGGGATACCATCCATGCCAGGAGCAGAGTCTCGCACATTGTGAAGAACCATGTTCAGCTCCTCCAAGGAGAAAGGCTCATCGTGAGTACCTAGCGACTGAGTTGGAACACTTGGTTGGGAGACTTCATCTAGATGTGGGACATAAGGGGGGGCAATTTTGTCTAGGAGGAGTTCAGCTGTGTCTGTGGAGATAGAGGAAGACACTGAGGGAGAGCATCCAGACCGGAACCGATTTATGTTCTTCCACACAATAGAAGATGGAGTAGATGGGGACAAAGAGGAGCAGAAGCTAATCCAACCAATGCGCTTTTTGCGTCGGAGGAGTCGCTTGGTAGAAGCAAAAACATTTTGATAATTTAGTAAATTTTGAGTTGACATGTGAGCATTGTATCTCCTTTCGGACTCTTTTCTTAGCCTAATGGCATTAGTACACTCACTGTCCCACCAAGGGGGTGAGGGGATTTTGCCCCTAGAGGAATTCTTAATTTTAAAGCAGCTGTCCGCACTTGACCTAATTGCATCCACAAAGGCATCACAATAGTTCGTCACATGGCCGCGATCATCGTAGGATAGGGATCTGTAGTCAAATCTAGGGAGGGTATGAACATTGGATTCAAGGATTTGAGAGAAATTTTGCCAGTCAGCTTCCGAGAGGTTATATTTTAAGAGGGGAGGGCATGATTTTTCCAGGTGAGTTGAGCTAGGGAGGGATAATAATATTGGGTAATGATCGCTACCATGAGACAAATCCGTGCACCGCCAGCAAGCAGCCGCAGCAACTTCCAGGGAGCAAATGGTCAAATCAACACAGCTTTTGTTCTGACCAGGGAGGACTCTACGAGTGGAGCAGCCGTTATTGAGAACACAGAGGTTCAAATCATCAATGATCTCTAACAAACCAATGCCAAAACTGTCACAGTGCTCAGATCCCCATCTAAAGTGATGGCAGTTGAAATCTCCCATAACTAATATTGGGCTCCGTAGGCTCTGTAGCAAGTCTCTCAATATAGGGAGGAAACTCTGCTGGGGGTGAGCAATGTAGATGGAAAGCACAGATACACTACTGATTTTCGCTGCTACAATGCTGATATCATCTGGGAATGGGGGTAAGGGGAGGGGTAATAGAGGGACTCTGTTATTTATAAGGAGGGCTGCACCTCCGTAACCATCAGACCTGTCGCATCTAAGCATGTTGAAATTTGGAACATGGAAGTTGAGACCCGGTAGAAGCCAAGTCTCAGCAAGAGAGACAGCCAAAGGCTTGTATTTATTCAACAAGAATATGAGGTCGTGCTTCTTATGAAACACACTCCTCACATTCCACTGTAGGAATACTTGTTGGGATGCCATTTTTAAAGTTGGTTAATAAGTTGATGAGTGTGTTGGCAACGTTGGACGGTATACTAGAAGGGGATTGAGATAGAGGTAAATTGGAGGTTAATAGAGAAGTCAAAAGCTGTATTATAAGGTCAATAGTAGAAGTCTCGAGTGATGAGTTAAGAGCACAACCATTGGGTTGAGAAGGTTGGGGAGAGTGGATGATAGATTGGTGTGCAGTTATATCATAGGATTTGGATAGTGTAGGGCGAGGTTTAGGCTGCCGAAGAACAGTTTTTCGGTAGGACTGGGTTTGTTGAGGGGGTTGGGTAGACTGAAGGGTCTGGGTAAACTGGATGGGTTGGGTGGGCTGAGAGGATTGGGTAAATTGTGGGGTCTTTAGGGTATCAGCATAGCTGCGAGTAGTAGAAGGGACCACTTTATTTGCTTCCATATAGGAAATGTTTTTTTCCGCCATCATGATCTTAATGGCCCTCTGCCTGCCATACTCCGGGCAAGCCTTGCTGTTGGCAAAGTGACCACCAGAGCATAGGACACAAAAGGCCCCCGTTTCTGTTACCTCACATTCGTTACTGGGATGCTCATGTCTGCACTTGTTGCATCTAGGCCTAGATCTGCAGATAGACTCCACATGACCAAACCTGCAGCATTTCCTACATTGGACGGTGGGGTAAATATATTGCTGTACAGGAAGAGAATTATAGCAGCAGAAAACTCGTTTAGGTAGAACCTGGCCATCAAAAGTGAGGACACAGGATTCTGTTGGCTTCCACTCCAAGATACCTTCATTAAATGATTTTCGGTTAAGACGCCTGACTTTAATAATCTGCCCACAGCCCTGCGGCACTGTCACAAATTTAATTACTTCATCATCATTCATGTCGGTAGGGATACCAGAAACAACACCCATTCTGGTAATGTTATAAGTAGGAATGCTGGCAGTGAATTTACAAATATTTAAGAGGGGGTTAATTAGGAATGCATTAGCATCCTGAGGGGATGAAAACTGTACGGATACTCTATTCCTTCCAACTTTTTTAATACCATCTCTGACAATATTACTTATATTGTTTTTAAAAAGAAAAAGTCCAAACGAAACAGGATGGAGAGTAGTACCAGAGCCTAACTGGCTCTCCACGCGAGAAACATGTACCATGTAGGGACCACTGTCATTGTTTGTGTATTTGTCACGACTGACAAAGGTTTTCGTTTGAGTTTGGAGACGTTTAAGAGGGGGGGCACTTACCTCATCGTTCCCATTTCGTTTCCGTGAGGTAGAAACGAGGGGCCTGGTTTCTTCCACCGTAGCGTTGCAGACCACATTGGCAAACTGTTCTAAGGGGTTGGAAGGGGTTGAAGGTTGATCGGGTAAGGGAGGAATAGGGGTGAAAGGAGGGGTTACTGGACATGGAATATCGGGAGGGTCGGGCGGTTTATTTCCGTTCATGTTCACTTACCGGTAATAATATTTAGTTACAAACAACACACCGTAACCAAGGACAGCACAAAATAACAAAAAAAAAGACCCAATAGTCACAAAATCACCAAAGGTTTGAAAAAATTCTAGACGCACGTGCTAACCAAACGAACGACGCGACAGAATCCCGTTACGCTTGTCTGTATATTAACCAAGTTGACAAGAGATGTTGCCAGTTTCTAAAAAAAAAATACCTGACAGGGACGTGGAGATATATTTTGTTAAATTAAACAACAGAAGCAACGAAAAACTTTATTGAATGACTGATTTTTTATGATACGCAAAAGCATGAATTAAGGTTTAAGTAAAGTATCTTATACTTTTCGAAAAGCTTTTTCTATAAGTATAAGATATTTTACATAAACCTTAAACCGGTATTTTGATAACCGTACTGAGAACTCCCTTTTTTGTAGTCGGTTAAAATATTTCACTAACGCACGAAGGCAATGACTTAGACAAATATCAGAAAATCATTCTGCACTTGGTGAGTCTCTTCATGAGCACGGGCCTATCGATAACGGGTCGAGCCGTTATTATTATAGAAGCAGGCTGGACGAAAGACGCAGCCGGGGAGATGGATAAGCTATGATCAGTATTCTAATGAGGTCGCCTTTTTATTAGGCGGCCTAAGTCTGTAGAAGTCCTTGCTGGTTATGCTAGGTGTGACAGAATGTCCTATTACAGGCGCAGAGTGGCACACCGTGTGGTTTTAGTCGGTCCGAGTCCGACACACCACCCCGCCGCAAACCCCGGTGGGGAGACGGTCCGAGGGGATTTCCACACGTTAAAAAAAAAAAAAAGGTGTGACAGAACACCATGTGATTTTAGGTGGTCCGTCCAAAATAATTCTTCACCTTCAGCTCTAGTGAGGTGTTGACCCATGTGCGAAATTCACATGAATAAATCTTAAAACAAAGACAACACTGTTCATACATAATACTACCTTTAAGAGAGGAGGTAGTTTCTCTATCCTCCAGAATCCCGTCTTGCAGTGAGACATGCTCCACATATTACAAGGCTAAACTTAGCAATTAGGCAGGCCCTTATACTCAGGAAAGCTCAGCAGGCAATATTTGTAAATTTTTAGTTTTAATTTAAGATTCTTTTAAGTTAAATGTTTCAAGCAAGTTTTAGTGAATTCTTATATGAGATAGAGTAACTCATTAAGGTCATCATCCTAATGATCATAAAATGGACACTTAGGGACAATATTAATAATAATGAATTTGCAATTCTTTATTAAAAAGCTTTAAAATTTAACAACATTATTTTAATCACAGCATTTCACTTGTGGTGACACTTAATAAATATTAATTTAAAAAAGAATACCATAAGACATTTTAATATTCTTATTGGCCTAGTCCCCTATTCAAAATGAATTCCACCCATCTCTAATGCTCAAATTCCAAATTCAAAACTTAATTGTCACAATAACTGATTTTTTATTTTCATCATTTTTGAATTCAAAACATTCACAGCTCAAAGGAAAATAAGTTTTCTTATTTTATTGATAGCGATCGAAAACATCTTTATGTAAAACAAATCAGTTGCCGTTACAATTACTATTTTATTTGATTAATAAAAAACTTAATTATTCTTTTTATCTAATAAGTCTACATAGGCACACTCAATAAGATCCTCATCTTTAACTCCAAGTTTTGTTTGCAGATCTTTAGCAATTTTTTGACCCTCTTCTAATGTCTGTTCTCTTCTTAGTACCACTTCTAGTTCCATAAAATGACCAAGGTCGTGCACAGTGTCTATGTGTATACGAGTTTGGTCAACCATGTATAATTTTCTGAAAAAAAAACAATCCTCTTTGGTAAATTAAATAAATATAACTGCTTAATAATCTTTGTTGATTACAAATTATATAATATGCATAGGTCTCTTTAGGTGTTATAAGTAGGGTTTTTTAATGAATAAAATAATCATTCTCTATTATTTAAGTAATTTTAAGCTTTTAACTAATATAAAACTAATTAATAAAGAAAATGATTTGAAAACTGGATTCCAGTATTTAATGTAAAACAAATGTTACCCCAGCCGTAAATGTTTTTATTTCACAAAAAGTATGTTAGCATTGACTTAAAGTAATGTAATATATCAATGTATGTTAGTATTTTATCTTACCGTTCCTTCACAACTCTGCCGCGAATTCCTAAACATTTCTTTAACATAGTGTCTAATAATTTAGCTTGCTCACTATCAAATTGAAGTAACTCATAGTTACTAAGCTTTGGTCCCCCTTCATCAACACGATCGTACCGCACAAGAGTCGCCGAGGCATCCTCGAATGTCCTCAGCTTTAACCGGCCTTCGTTAACATTATAAAATGTATCATCTTGTTTTATCAACGTTGCCGATTTTCCACTTAATTCCTCAGCCACTTTGCAAATATTATCGTAATCTGTTATTTTAGCTTTTATTTCCACATTTCGAAGAGACATATTGCAATAGGCATAGAACTTGATGAATCTGACAAACAAATATCCACGATAGCATAACAGCTCAGCATCAATATAATAAAATTTTTCGTAGTTTTGTAGTTTAGGCGGGAAATTCGTGTTCGTGCAACTGCCAAACTGCCAAGCCAACGGTTCAGCAGATAAATTGTTCGTAAGGATGCAAGCGAAATATCGATTTTCTTCAAACATCGATTTATCGTTCATAAACATCATTGTTTTATCATCGATGTTGAAACCCAAAATTTCGATGTACATCGTTCTTCATGAGCGATGTTTTATGAACGATACTTCTCTCAGTCATAACTGTCACAAGCATAGACTTTTCTATTTAACAAAACAATTGCTTTAATCGGCTGAAGAAGTGAAGCAAAGTTAACTATGATAGATAACTCAAAATTCAACTATGTATATTGCGAACGTAACCAACCTCTTATTTCAATGACATGATTACACTCTTTTTCATTGTTTTAGTTTAAAAGTTCGCTTAACAAGGTAAACATTTATTAATAGATTTTATTTAGAAAATTTCGATGTTCTTATATCGATGTTTTTTATGAGCGATGTTGCAACCCTGTGTGCAAAAAATTCGTGTAGAAATTAATAGGAATGAATTGGTCACATACTCGATCATGTTTTTCAAAAGAAATAAACATTTGGCAAGTAATTTACCTTCCAAATAAAAACAATTTTAAAAGTTAATTAAGGTTTGAATAACATAGTTAAATGTAGTTTCACTCGAAGAATTCATTTGACTGACATGTGACATTTCAACTTTTTAAATAGATTGCATTCTCGCGTAAGAGTAAGAGTAACTCTAACACTCTAGTGTAAGAATAGTATTGAGAGAAAGGGGTACGTTATCACAAATAAAGCTGGGTCCATATATAATCATTTGCCTTGATCCAATCACGCATCATGCTATCATACAAAATAATTGACCGTATGTGGTAATAAGACTGTAAAAAAGTAGCTAAGCTTGCAGTAGTCTCATATAATCTCCCCACTCACCCATCTGATGGCTAATGTACATATTAGTCAAAATAAAAGGCGGCTTTACAGACGCGGCTTCGTGTTACAGACTTTCGTCCCTTTTCACGAAATAACTCGTGTGTAGTTACATTCATTAAAAAGAAACATAAGAGTATGTTTTTTTTACATGTTTAAACTTTACAAACTTTTATTTTCATTCCCTTACAAACTTTGATTCTCTATTTAGCCACCTGGAAGGCTTTTCTTAAGATTAACACCAGTATTAGGTTGTACAAAACTCCGCTACAACAAGTAAATATCAAGATATGTTATGGGTATAACTACAGCTTTGTTAATTGCTTATCATTAAGCGGGCCGAAGTCTGGATCGCTCGATTTGTAATACCAAACAATTTATAACAGGTTTTGCCTTATTTCGTTAATTTTTCAGTCTAGTTAAGCATTATATATTATAGTATCGCAATAAAGTTCTGTGTCTGAGAAAGGTGGATATACGCTTTGAGCGGATAGGAGCGAGCCCGAAAAATGTGTAACAAGTCTTTTTTCCAACACTATAGCAAACGTCACCCAAAAAGCGAAACTTCGTTCCGCCCGGGGTCCATAAAACCCTCACGCCGTTTTGTTAATTAATAAAAGTTTTATCTAATGCTACGTTTACACTCTGGCCGAGGCTTGGCAACGTCCACAAGCGCCAAGCCTTTATAAATGCTTGGATTCTTTGATGCTATTTACATACTTCCGAGTGTATTAGTGTTCTGGACCGGACAAGTAAAAATAGCAGACATGGAAGTAGAAATTGTGCCAAATCAAACGCAATAGCCGCGTTTTATTTAGCATATTTTTATTCAAATTAAAACCAGCGACACTAAACAAGCTATAAAAAAAATCCTCTAGCCCTACTGGTCACGTTGCGCAGTCCAATTGAGTAGTGGGAAGCAAGCATGCGTCAACATGTAAATACGTCGCAAGCGCATGCCGCAAGTTTCTTTTGATCTGTGTTCAAATACCGACACTCGCCCGGATCTCAGCGGCTCCGCTCGTCTTCGCCCGGATCGACTACAAGCTCTCGCAACCCAAACCAAACACCCTGTTATCAAGCTTGGCGCTTGTGTTTGTGGACACTTGTCGATACTTACCAAGTGTGTAAACGTACCATGACTTAAAAAAATAAAAATAAATATAGTAAGATATTTTCCTTAAATTACTACCTACACAAATCTGTAACATTTGTTTTGGATATAGAATATTTCGTTGTGCAGTAAGAATTGATACGGCGTAGTACCTTGATAGGATCGCTACATGGCTATATGGACAGTTAGATCAAGTGGTGCATATGTGGGTCCAGCTTTATAATGTTGGCTGCAGCTGCACTTTTGTTTAACTGTCAAACTTAAAAATCGCTATTTTACGAAGTAATAAAATGCGTATTCCGTTAGAATGAAATAATTAAAACTATAATAATGGTAGATCCAAGTTATGCTGATAGTTGGTTATCACAACCCGATGTCTGCCGGTGCTGTCTATCAGCGAACGGAACTTGGGATGTCACTTCAACTTATATTACGGAGGCTGGTGAAAATGAAGTTTATTCTACAATGCTATTGGAATGCTATGGAATTACAGTAAGTTACTCGTTCTTAATTTGAAATTAAAAAATTAAAACACGGTGTTGCTAACGTATTCAACAAATTTTGGAAATTATTCTAATTTTCGTTTTCAACCATTTTTAAGTGCTTTTTTACTTTATTTTTTAATAAGCCCTTAAATATTAAAATGTTACATTTACTACGTGTTTGATCTTAGGCTTTAAAAGAATATTTAATATTTTCCTGAAAGTAAAATTTAAAATATAAACAAATAGTATTTTTATTAATTTAATAAATAATTATTTAATGAAAATTATCCACCTTCTTAACATTGACGCTTTCTTAACACCTTTACTGCTGCTTATGATATATAAGAAATACCCTTAGACTGCTAACAAATATATGTAGTGTGTTTCCAGCACTGGAGTATTGTGAATAGTCGACAGCACAACTGTTGTGTGCCCTTACAGCTGTGCTGATAACACAGACGTTGTGTTTCCGATGAGCATGCTGTAACCCACACCCCTTTTGTTCCATATGGGAGTGCTGAAAACACACATATTCCTATTGCGGGACTTGTCTTTTTTAATAAAAAAAAGAAATTTAACAGTAAATAAATAGAGAATAAAAGAAGAATGAAAAAAAATTACTTCTTATGTTTATGATAGCAACTGAAAAATTTTACCTCCATTAAGAGAAGTAAAATAAATAAATATTCAACATATTGAAGAATTATATATTTTTCCTTGTTGTACCCTGCCATGCTTCATTATAGCACATCATGGTTGCATTGATTAGAAATGAGGAACAAAACTGATGTGAAAAATATATGTAAAAACCATCTATCACACCATAAAAAAATCACCAAAGCAGCATGTATATTGTGTCAAAATTTGAGCTCAATTGGTGCAGAACTTTATTTTTAATTTTTTAAAGACAACTCCTGCATAAGGAATATATTCTTGTGTCGGGGGGACTTTACAAACATACATGAAACGAATTCAAAGAACACACAGACTCAGAACAACAATTTGTGTATCACACAAAGTGATATCCAAAATCAGCTATTTGAGTGTTTAAACGGTACACACACACATCACATCCCATCAACAGCCTTTAATAGTCCACTGCTGGACATAGGCCTCTCCTTGGAAAGGAGGTTTTGGCCTACTATACCACGCTGGCCAGACGGGTTGGTATAGTTTTTGTGGCAAGTTTTCCTTCTTTATGTAGTGCTGGTGTCCTGCGTTGTTTTGCTCCCTTAGTTTGCTCTTACGACACCCATGGGATGAATTGGGGTAGTGACATTCCATATTCTTAATCCGTCACTACATGGACACACACCAACTTACATTTTATTGTAAATTATCCGACCCAGAGAATTTCGTAACGCATTAGAATTAATAAATTGGGTTACAAGTTTGGTAACATACCGATAGCCACCTACTGTTTTCAAACCCGCCAAAGACCCATTGAAATATACACACGAAATTTTATCCAAATCGGTCCATTCATTTTGGAGGATTTTGGCTAAAAAGACATGTATAGAAGAATTATATATATCAAGAATATATAGATAGATATCTTATATAATTCTAATATTTTAAGACTAGACTAAGAAAATTGTGTGTTAGTTTTCTGAAAAAAAATTATGTTATTTAGTAGGGCTACAGTATGATAAACTGTTGGTAACAATTGTATTGATACATTGTATTGGTCAATCTGTCACAGTATCCGTAAAATACATGTGGTACTTAACTAAAAAAGTTATAACAGTCTCCTTTTTGAAATAAGAGGAATTGATATTAAAAGAAACTTTTTACAATAAAATTTTTATAATGTAAAATTTATTATTGCAATGCTTGTAAGGTAGTTTTTAACAAAAGTTTTATGTATTTGTAAAATCTATATTATTTATTAGTAAGATTAAAAAAATTGGGTTGTAAATATTTTATTATGTTTTATTATAACATTTTTTGGCTGGCTAATAAATCATTAAATAACATCAACAGCCTTTAATAGTCCACTGCTGGACATAGGCCTCTCTTAAAAAGGAGCTTTTGGCCTACTATGTCACGCTGGCCAGAAGGATTGGTATAGGGATTGTGTCAAGTTTTCCTTCTCTTTGCAGTGCCGTTGACCTGCATAGTTTGCTCCCTCAGTCGATGAATCTTTTTCGATCTTAATCGATTCTTTTTCAAGAATAAAACGCCTTTTTCTATTACTCTTATTGTTTTATTCCTCATAGCTTTCCAACTTGCTGGAGTGGGGTCCGAGCAGGATGGTTTGCGCTTTTTGTGTGAGCCGGCTGCGGGACGCCACAAACTTCCGCAAGCAAGTGATATTAGCTGATCAGCACTTCGAGGCATACTGCAATAGTATTAGGCCACGTGAGTTTTGTTCCATTATTACTCCCGCATAGGAATATATCCAGTGTCGCGGGTGACTTTACAAACATACATGAAACACAAAGAACACCCAGACTCAGAACAACAATTTGTATATTACACAAAGTGATGTTCCTTGTGGGGATCGAACCCATAACACTCAGCGCAGTAGGAAACGGCAGTCAACAGACTTAGGAATATGTATTTTCGTAAAGAAGGCAAACGAACAGACGTGTCATTTGATAAGTGACTAGCTTTAGTGTGGCGTCTTGCCCCAGAATGATGGGGGGAGGGGGTTAGTCCTAAATATGGTAACCCATAAAATCACAATTACTTGAGATAAATCATATGATATAAGAATCATTTGCAGAAACGAATTTGCAATTCTCATAAATTGAAAGTTCTACTAGGGATTAAATTATGCAGGGAGGGATTAGAGTATGCAGGGCCGGATTACTCCTGTCGAGGCCCTTAGCACAATTCAATCCTCATTTTGCCCAAGCATTTTGCCCAAGATTCATCTCTTTGTAAGTCGATGAAGGGTTTTGAGTTATAGCACCAGCATCATCACCCGACTGATGTGTAACTCCTCAGGAACTAACAGCAAAAGCGGGGCCCCAAAAGCGGGGCCCTAACCGATATGGGGCTCCTAGGCAGTTGCCTACTCTGCCTAATAGTTAATCTGGCCCTGAGAATAAGCTGTAAAGAGCTTTTTAGAAGTCTGGCGAGTAATTATAAATATGGGACGTCTTCATCGGGGTCAGTGATCTAAGCAAATAGAAGTGTAACCCAGCGACCTCAGCGATCATTCCGGACTATTATTCAGTATTGTTTGATCTTTAAGTGTAGTAATAAAGACTCTCTATAGACGTCAGAAGGTTTATTATTCCAAATCAACGAAGCGAAACACGTAACAATATTGATTGTTGACTTATGTGCTAAATATATTCGCAGGTGTATTCAAGCCGGTGATACTCAAGGCAGACTCGCCTCACGACCAAAGGAACAGCTCTGACAGCGATGACGACGATGGTGAGCAGAATTCTATAAAACATAGTTTTATCTATACTAATATTATAAAACTGAAGTTCGTTTGTTTGTTTAAACGCGCTATTTATCGCGGGAGGATTTTTTTAAATCAGCACCTAATCATATTAATCCTAACGATATCGGTTAGGTTACACGATGGCTGGGGCATACTTCTCTTTAATATTGTACACACAGGCCCCGAGTGGGTAAGACATTGCGAGACCCAGGAGGGTAGAACTTTGCGAAGCCCTTGTCTTTGTGGAATTAGTTTTAAAGATGATACTTGAAACAAAAAATGCAGCGCAACACATACTGCTCCTCGAACTTAAAAGCATAAGCCGATGAAAGTTGCCACTGACAGATTGTCAATATGACAGACGAAATGAAACACGGGAAATCCCTGAACGTAACTCTTAAACACCATGATAACTACCACGCAAGAGAGCGCGTGATGTGAATTTTATAATGTGTAAGGCGCAAAGTTCAAATAAACATATTTTTCTACTTGAGTCGCAAGTGCGCGAGGCTTCTGCATTAGCCAGGCTCCGGGCGGTTACTCTGCTCGTCACCCCCAAAGGCCACCTCCGGGTCAGCTGGTTATTTAAGTAAAATCTTTTGTTAATTTGTATCCGAATGCGATAGGTATGTATGTATATTTTCGGCACACTCTGTAACCTAAACGGTTTGATGGTTTTCGCGTTTGAGTTGTCATTGGAATTGTCTTAATTGTGAGACACTAAAATGAATAATAAAAATTAAAATCGCAGGTTTGTAAATTTTTATTGTAAATTTTGGATCCGTATGGCCTCAACCGCTGCAGGCCTCTGAGTAGAGCCTCGCAGCTGGAGGCACCCGCCAAGTCTTTAGCCCAGACGGGTGCCCCATAGAGGACCATGGATCGCACGACGCCTATGTAGAGGCGGCGCACTTCTTCCCATGGTCCCCTGAGATTGGACAGCAGGCGATGCAGCGCTACCGCTACCCCCTCGCACTCGGGGGACTAGTCGCTCGAAATGCTCTTCGAAGCGCCACCGACTGTCCAGGATGAGTACTCCATGTACCGGCCCACCTTCAGCGTCACCAACCCGCAGGCATGAGCTGAGTGTTTCCTGGCGCTTATGTAGGCCATGGAACATTATCGCCTCAGTTTTCTGAGGTGCCACCCTCAGACCCAGCTTATGAATCTTTCCCACTACACAAGCCAAACCCAGACATCACCTGTAAATATAATAGATCTCAACACAATCTGCTCTAAATTGTAAAATAAAAGAAATAGAAACTTAACCTGGAATGGAGGCCTGTTGACCTGAAATACATGCTGAAGTCTAGTTAAGGCACCTGGCTCCCACCATCATCATGTAATAGTCTAATTTATCGGTCGGTAGACCGTCAACGCAGGTGAGCCATTTCCAGTGACTCTACACGTCCAGCGAGCATGGGATGACATTGGAGCTAAGGGACTCCTTAAACAAATGTTGGATACTACTAGGGGTACCGATCTGGCAAGACTGAGGGCCGTATCGCAGTCAGAGTCAGGGGCATGGTTACATGCACTCCCATCGCCTCACTTGGGCACCTTGCTAGACGGCGACTCTTTGCGTGTGGCAGTGGTTCTCCGCATGGGTTGCAGGGTGTGCGAACCACATAGATGCACCTGCGGTGCCATGGTGGAGGCCGATGGTCTTCACGCACTGAGTTCTCGTCGCTGCGCAGGTACATTTTCGCGACACCATGCCCTAAATGACATAGTCCGAAGGGTTCTTATATCCGCCAATGAACCCTGCGTGCTGGAGCCATCGGGTCTCAGCAGAGTTGACGGGAAGCGGCCGGATGGCTTGACTTTGGTGCCGTGGAAAAACGGCAAGTGCTTGGTATGGGACGCTACGTGCGTTAGCACAGTCGCGGCCTCACATCTGAGACGCACCGTCCAAGCTCCGGCGGCGGCGGCGGAGGATGCCGCTAGTAGGAAGCGATCAAAATACGCCGCAATGAAGACGCATTATTCTTTTGTGCCTATTGCGGTGGAGACGTTGGGCAGTTGGGGGTCGGAAGCTAAAGAGTTAATTGAGGAGATTGGACGCCGAGTTAGGGATAAAAGTGGTGACTCCCGCTCCGGATCGTTTCTGGTGCAAAGGATGTCCGTTGCAATTCAGCGAGGCAATGCTGCCAGTATCATGGGCACCTTTGCACCGGGAGCGACGCGGGGCGGGTTATATGATCTGACTTAAAAAAAAAGTAATTTAAATGTATGTAACTGTAAATATAAACTAATTAAATTATTATAAACTACTTTGTATTCGGAGTCCTAGTAATTAATTATTCAAATGAGCATTTCTATTTCATTGTCTAATTTATCAATGTAAATGTGTGGCGAAAATAAATGAATTTTTAATATTTATTGTTATTTTTATTAACTCTTATGAATACGTTCAGAAACATGTGAGTAATCTAGTAATTATTATAATTACTTTCCAGTTAAAACCATAGATGTATTAGCACTAACCGATTCAACCGAAGCACCAATCGTTGACCGGATAAGCACAAAAAAGAAATCTGACCAAATAGGAAAGAAAAGATACCCAAGAACTGATATTGACGATGACCTGGAATCGGACACCCCCATGTCAGAAGTGTCGAGGAAGAACAATGTGACAGAGAGCATTGATGAGAGGACTGTGATCGCTGATGATCCACTTGATCAAGATAGTGTAGATGGCGCTAGACCTCCACCTAAAAAAAGTACGTATCGCATTTTGGTAAACCTAAATTGTATTGTCTATTATTTGTTATCTATGGTTAGAGGGGTCGGCGTACTCATACTGCGTGACCTATTGGAAGTGGAGGGGGGGGGGGGGGGGGGGGGGGGGGGGGGCTTTAAAATGCCACTCCTCGTCACATGGGTAGTCGAAGGGTTCAGGTTTTTGTCATGTAGTCAATAGTAGGCAAGCGCCTATTATTGACTAAAATATGACTGACTATGACTATATTTTAGGTAGGAAGGAGGAGGGATGGAAAACAAAAAAACGGCGTTAGGTGTATGGACCCCAGGTCAGAGTGAAGCTCCTTTCGCTTTTTGGGTAGACGTCGGATAATGTCGGAAAAAAGTCTTGTTACACATTTTTCGGTATCGCTCCCATCCGCTTAGAGCGAGTAACGCGCGATAAGGATCTTCGTTCCAAAAAATTGTAAAACAAGGGTTACGCAGTATGGGCGCGTTCCCTAAGCGTCCTTAACCTTCTTGAACTATTACTAATACTCCCTACAATACCCGTATGAGCAGTATCCGTTACTTACCAATGCCTTCCATGCTCAACTACCCTTCCTTTATAATACTTCCAATCCGCACTAACCGATCAATCAAGCCGCAATCTTCAGACGACCGGATGGCGTAGTGGTTTCTGTAACGGACTGCTATTCTAAAGGTCGCGGGTTCGATTCCCGCTCAAGTCAAACATTTGTATGCATGAACTTTTCATGTTTGGTTTGGTCTGGGTGTTTCTATGTATAATATGTATGTATTTACAAACAAAAAGTATATATGTATTTATATCAGTTGTCTAGTACCAATAGTACAAGCTCTGCTTAGTTAGGGACTAGATGGCGTTGTGTGAATGTGGTCGAATAATATTATATTAATTTTCTTCTCATCTTCAGCACCCGAAATGTCTTCTGTACAGTAATACGCTTGCCACATATTATGTGTTCGGACCCAAGTAAAGCGGGGTCTCTGCCTTTATTTATGTAAAAAGCTTCTTGCAGAGTAATTAGTTACCAAATGTATAGAAAATGTATATTCAGGTGCGGGGCTTTATTGATGCGTCACCATTTTCTTAACGCGAATGGACTTTAGTTGTAGCATCATGCTTTGCTTGCTAGTTTCATATCATACGACAGATGACAAAAGCTTTTTAAATAATGGGTATATCTTAAAAGATATCCGCTCTTCCTTCGGAAAGAGAAACTTAAAAACCACAAGTTTATTTTTTCTCATGATCCTGAACAAGAGATGAGGACAAAGTAATGAAATTATAATATTGTTCTTTTCTCTCGACACATTTGCATGTTTTCAACACGTTTTTACAGACATACACGTAGTTAATTCTAAATTAAGTGTTCATAGATAAATTCTGGATTGTGTACCTCTGTCCACCCCTTGAGAAATAAAGGCTTGAGTGTATGTTTGTATTTATACTTAAAATTGCACGCTACATTACTACTAATAATTTACGTTATGTGTTTTAGCTTAATAATATTCCAAGAGACATGGTTTGCACATTACTAGTATTTTAATATATATATTTAACAATTATCTAATAATAAACTACTGACCCAAACTGAAGGCCAATTCTCGTAATAAAAGTTCGGCCACTATTCAGTTCCGATCAACTTTCGATCTTAAAACTGTCATAAAAGGTATTTTCATAGTAAAGTATTACTAAGACTAGCAGGTTACCGATTCTATTTACAGTTACAATACGATATTATCACATTAGAGTCAACGTTGTATGTTTGATACTTTACTACGTAAATACCTTTTATGATAGTTGTGAGATCTAAGGTTGATCGGAACTGAATTAAGGCCGGCCCTTTATTACAAGAATTGGCCGTCAGATCATTGCACAGAAAAACAAGTGATTTTACGGTTTTACTTACCACTGCTAATTGTCAGTTTCATTTTCATTTGTGGGCATAATTAAAACATCTCGCGTTCATAAAAACGTAGGTAGTATGAATTAGGGATGTTATGGTTCGGTAAAATAATCATACCGAAACTAATGGATTTGGGATAGCGGCGGGGACTTAGTTTCTGTTAATATGGATAAGGCCTGAATATAAGTAGGCATGATAACTAGCACTTGTCATTTTTTTTTATTTAATTACTAAATAATATCCTAGAGCTATTTATATTTTCCTTATACGATTTCTTGAAACTTGTCAGATTCTGTAGGATAATCTGAAATAAGGAATCTATATAATACCCGAAATGGGCCTAATATTATTCGACTACGACTCGATTAACCGCATTCGAAACCAGCATCATGTTTATTCATGTATCGGTAGCGATCCGTGGGTATCCGTGCGGTGACGGATTAAGAATACGGAGTGTCACCACCACCCGCGGGATGAATACATCCCGCGGGTGTCGTAAGAGCCGTCTAGCCATAGTATAGTATAATAGTAATAGCCATGGTATAGTAGGCCAAAACCTCCTTTCCAAGGAGAGGTCTATGTCCAGCTGTAGACTATTAAAGGCTGTTGATGATGATGATTGATCATGATCATATCCAAAATAAACCCAAAATCATATCATATACTTGAGTTGGCAACGCACTTTTGTCTCTTAAGTTGAAGATGTCCCTGAGCGGCGGTAGTCACTTACCATCAGGTGACCATTGGCTTGTTTGCCCCCATGTCAAAGATTATTAGGTATACATATCCGAAATGTCAATATCCGCAATTGTATCCGAAACCAATATTATTATTAATAAATACCAAAAGTTAGTAGGGAATTACAACATATTCTGCCACAAGTGGCGTACAAATCTTAAGTTAAAATAGAAAAAGTTTTGATACAGGCAGTTTAATGAGCAGGAGAAGATCTAGGGTTAGAAACAGTCATTTAAATAGTCATTAACATCATAATAACATTTTTCAGATAGCAATCTTTCATCTATATCCGAAATGAGTATAGAGTTGTATCTAACATTATGGGGTTGTCATTAGTGATGTGCCGGATATCCGTATCCGTATCCGCGCATATCCAAGGGAGAAGAGAGATCCGTAACCGTATCCGTATCCGTGACTTTTTTGGCGGATCTTTCAATACATATTACATAGATGAAATTCTATATAGGTGATTTTGTATTCACTGTAAAACTCTTAGGTATGTGTTTGTAACACTATAAACAGCAACTTTTTTCTGGCCAACGTCAAAATAAAAAAAAATTGGTCCTCCATTCAAGTGACCAATCAAATGTTGTTAGTTTGTATGGAGAAACAATTTTTTTCTTTCGTTTTCGGTGTTAGTCCAGAAGAAAAGTTGTTGTTTATAATGTTACTAATATTCACTGCACTTCAGAGGTTTTCAGTAAATTTAAAATAACCCTGAATAATGGTTATTAGGTAGCTATGAAAAACTATTGAATTCTGTTCAGATTACTTTTTATTTCTTAAAACAAATATTTGGCACCTTTGTATTGCAATCATTTATCGTACTATACTAAATCAACTAGGCAGGTCGTAGGTACTGAAAGAGCTATCTTTATAATGAGATCAATCAAACATCTTTGTATTAGCTTATTAAAATAATGAAATATTTAAATATCAACGGCAAAGCGTCAAGTGGCGACAACTATCAAGGTCACGGGCTCCGATTGAGTAAGAAACTTAAGATCCGTATCCGTATCCGTATCCGCGGATCTTGACACCAAATATCCGTATTCGGATCCGTATCCGCGGATATACTTTGTTAACGATCCGGCACATCACTAGTTGTCATATTGAAAATAGTTATTGTTACTAATCTACTTACTCACACATATTTGCCTTACGAGCATAGTTTCAATTTTGTAGTTATCTTTAGATGTACAGTAAACATATTAATCTCTAAGCTATGCATGGGAAAACATATATATTAATCATTGTGTCCATAAAAAGCATAAGTCTAACATTTTTTAGAAACGGCAACAATTGTATTATTAAAAAAAATACATTTCCGATTCCTTCGCTAGAGCTGCGCAAGGAGATATTTAATATCTGCTAATGCTTCATAGCGTTCTGATTAAACTAACAGCATCTGCACTTAGAGTTCTAGAATTTGCGCTTTCTTTAGATAAGTCGTTTTGAAACAACTTCTTTAGGTTGAATTTTAACCCAACTTTGCTGTTTCATTTTATGAAATAATATTTTGTACTCAATTCATAATATTTAATTAGCCCCAAATTATTGAGAAGCGGAACTGATCGAAGGTTCCACAAAAAGTTCGAACATTCCAGAACGTTTTATGATGTTCTATAAGTGTCTTGATGGATGTTCCAGTTGGGTTAGAACAATTCCTTCCTATCTCTTATTATAACTTCTATTATTATATATTTTGTTTAAATTATCTTAATAGATAGTTAGGATACTCTTATACCTAATTATAATGAGTGCTGAGCGTAAAACTTTAGCCATATATCTATCATAATGTTAACATTTAACCCTCCCCACCTCCCGCACTGGCTGGTGCAAAAATGGGTAAAAGGCAACTTCTAGCAAGCTCAACATGCCCTTTGTAGTACCCGAGTCTGAAATTTATTTTTATTTTTAGGCTTCATCTACACGAGGCCACAGAACGTTCAGAAGCAGGTATCGGAGAGGAAACGTATTATTCTCACGTGTGACGTCGTCCTTAGAGATACCAACGCTTGCCCCTTCAGACACCACAAAAGCTGGTTTCAATGTTTCTTCTGCCAACAAGATTTCATGGAAATAAACCTCCTTAGAAACCACACAGTCACAAATCACTCAAACATAGACAATGAATTAAAAAAAATAAAACGTTATCCGCGCTCTTTGCAGATTGAAATTTCAAATCTCGAATGTATCCATTGTCATTTAAAATTGACAGATGTCAGTTCGATGCGCGGCCATTTTGTCGATGTGCACAAAAAGGTTATATACAATGAATGCATTGCCGACTACAAAGTAGATGGAACCCCATATTCTTGTCACTTATGTGACCAACAGTTTCATGTATTTAGAAGTCTGACTACACATTTAAATGATCATTACGCTAACTGTATATGCGATGTTTGCGGTAAATCGTTTTTAAATTCAAAACGGCTAAAAGTCCACAAACGTACCCACGAAAACGGTCAATTTCCATGTACAGAATGCGGGAAAGTATTTAAGACTAGAACTTCTAAAGCCAACCATATTGAAAGTGTACATTCTAAACGAATTATCAAATGCCAAATATGTTTTGAACCTATGAAGCATTATAACGATAGGATTAAACATATGTCTGAAATACATAATATTACTCATAAATTCAAATGTCACATTTGTAGTCGCGAGTATAACATAAAGCATTATCTAGCAACCCACATACGTCAAACCCACGGTAATAAGAACAAGAAATGTTTGGAATGCGATATGGCGTTTATAACTAACCATGGGTTGAAGAAACACATGCTGAAACACACCGGTGTCAAACCTTATACGTGTACTGTGTGCTGTAAGTCGTATGCGAGGAGTTATAGCTTACGGGAGCATATGAGGGCGCATGATGACGAGATGTTTATAGCACCCGAGTAGTTTGTCAAACTTTAAAGTTTGGTTTTAGCGTAATATGTTAAGCTGTTTATCCGTTGGGTGACAGAGTAAAAGAGTGGGAGACTTTCTTTTACGGTAATCTCAATCAATCGTTGAATATGTATATCTAAAAGCAACGCAAAACTTGCTTCAAACCCGTTATGTGTGAGGCTCATAGGCTCATCACTCCAATTGAATCTCGTACTCGGATGTACAGAAGCATATCTCTCCAACAGTGGGGTGTAGATGATATGATGAGTATGACACACTTTTCTGATTCAGTGACTAGATTGTGACGCAATTACGTTATTATTGTTACATACTACCAGTATTGTTCACAATTCAAGATTTAGGATTAAAAACAGCTTCATCTAGCGACAAGTTTCTCGCACTTTTCTAGTCAAAATAAGAAAAAAGCTATGTAGGTATTTATAATCCATCGCGGCCTGGTCTAAAATAGAACGAATAGATGTTCTCTCACTTATTGCTTATAGGATTGGTGTAGCTTCTGAGAAAGCACTATTGTGGAATGCATTCTACAAATGATATTATCATACTACATTATCATATGCTACATTAAACTATATTAGTATACTACTACTTGTTGCTGATTATATTGAAATTAGTTCTTGGCTGTCGCAATCGAAGGAGTAATACGTTGATTCAAATAAAGTATATTATTGATGTGTAGAAATTTATCTTATTATTTAATTTATAAATACTAGTAATGTGTTAGAACATTGTCACATAAACCTTTATAATGGTCTGCAACACCTTTTAAAAACATATATTTTTATATTTGCTTTGCCGCGTAAACAAACTTTTTATGACTCCGAAATAGGCTGCATTAAATGTTGCCACATTTTTTATATTTTAACGATTTCAGAACGAAAAGTCGCATACGAAAATATGAAATTTATGTCCGAGGGACACATTACGAACCAAAATCTTCGATCCAACATCACTTTAGTTCTCAAATACACTACAGTGTTGCCATTTAAACAGATTAACAACAATCAATTCTTCTGTCACTATTGCGATAAGCCATATCTACTGTTTAAAGATTTAAAAAACCATATCAAAGTTCGCCACTGGAATATTACGGAAGCGCAAATTAAGCGGACGATTCGATGTCCAAAGGACTTGGTGAAGGCCGATGTTAGTGACATATCTTGCAGACTCTGTGGCAGCAATTATAATACTATCGAGAAATTAGTCGAACATTTAAAGGGACTGCACAGCAAAACATTCCACATGATTCCCGATTTGAAGCACTCCCATGGCATTTTAGGTTTCGATTTAAGCGAAGGGAAATTAAGGTGCGCTGTCTGTGCCAAAGAATTTAAATTTTTCAAAAAACTATCCATACACATGAATGATCACGACACAGATTATATTTGCCATATTTGCGGGAAAAGATTTGTGGCGAGACATAGATTGGCTACACACGTTGCCAGGCACAGGAGTTCGGAGTTCAAATGCAACTTTTGCAGCAAAAAATTCAAATCAGCTTCAGCTAAAGATTGCCACACTCGCAAAGCGCACAAGCCACTTAAATTCAAATGTCCAGAATGTCCACAAGAATTTGCGCAGTACCTTCATCGGCTGAAGCATATGGCCGAACGCCACAAGTTCAAAAAACCGGATTTCCGATGCGAACATTGTTCTAAAGTGTTTGCTCATCATTCGGCATTGGCTAAACATATTAAACACAGCCATTTTCAGCATGAAATTGATAAGTTTTTGTGTGAAATATGCGACAAAATTTTTAGTAGCAAGTGGCTCGCGGAAAGGCATTTGATAACGCATACTGGAAAGAAAAATTTTGAATGCGAGTACTGTAGCAAGAAATTTGCGAAGAAGTACACCTTAGATATTCACGTGAAGACTCATTTGGATGAAAGGAAGCATGCATGCCCTGAGTGTGAGAGTGCGTTTGTGCAAAAGATCTCTTTGATAAAACATGTTAAGGCTATCCATCCGAATCTGGATATTAAAGCATTGTAAGCCTATTGAGCTGTCAATAGCATTTTATTATTTACATTAAGTACCCAAACATCCATACATCCAACCTCTCAAAGTTTCGCGTTCATGATATTATTGACATTGTTTATTACAACAGGATTATCTTAATACCCAGTGTTAAATATTTTAAAATTAGAAATCGATTTTGAACAAAAAATTCGTCTGTCAGATATAAAAAGTGACGGATTGTCCGTGTAGTGACGGATTAAGAATACGGAATGTCACTACCCCAATTCATCCCGTGGGTGTCGTAAGAGCCGACTAAGGGCGCAAAACAACGCAATACACCAGCACTGAAAAAATAAGGAAAACTTGACACAAACCCTATAACAACCAGTCTGGCCAGCGTGGTGTAGTAGGCCAAAACCTCCTTTCTAAGGAGAGGCCTATGTCCAGCAGTGGACTATTAAAGGCTGTTGATGTTGATGTGAGATATAAAATAATATATTTTAAAATGACCTATCTCATTCATTTCTACGGAGAATTGTAGACTGCTAAAGGTATTGTATTATCCTTGCTTAATCTATGGGACGTAAAATTGACTGATTATTTCAGGTAGTCTGTCATGAGTGGAAAGTGTGGTTCACTCTGCTTTTGTCTTGTGTTATATATATATATATGATATGTGCACTACTTTATCAGGGCTAGGGCAGGAAAAAATACAAGGGGTATTTATTTCCAAAGCCTATTTAAAGTGAGCTAAACTTATGTCAATGAGGTTAGTACGAATATTCTTAATAATAACAATGATCTCGATATTTTCCACGTCCGCCTAACCAGTTTAAAATCAAAATTATCGCCTAGTTGTAGTAGTTTTTGTGTAGAAACCATTTATATTCCATTTTTTTTAAGAATAATCTTTAAAAGGTTTAGTTAAGTATTTATATACATATAGTTTAGTGTCTATCATTTCATTTTTTACTGTTACAAAGAAACAGTAATAGTAGCACTATTACTGTTTCTTTTTTAAACAAAACTTCTAATAACTGGTGTTCCATTACACACTACATAAATACGAAAAACTTTATTCCGTCAGTCAAAAATACGAATTTCAAACTACCGATTTTCATAATTCCGAATGGTGAAAATTCCTAATAAAACAATTCCGATTTATTATTCATCCTATTTTTATAATTTAACAATTTCAATATTCCTAATAAATGTTTATAATTACTGTGCTCAAAATACAGAGTTTCAATAGATCGAATAACGAAAAGTCCGAATTATAACAATTCGAAACACTAAAAAAAAATTGAATAAAAATATTTTCTTGCGCTGGTTACAGTTCTAACCTAACCTTACCTAAATGATTCACCAACAATAGAGGGGATATGACGGGTGCTGACGGCACGCTCGCTCGACTTCGTGATTTAATGGTCACAGTTCTAACCTAACCCAAAGAATTTACTAACAGTAGATGGTACCAGACGCAGAAAACACAAAAAATTAATACACAAATATCAATAACAAAGTAGACATTTTTAAATTACATTAAACGTTTCTTATAGATTTTTAATATAATATATGCTTAACTGAATCAGCATCCTAATTTTAGCAGTTTATTCGAAGTACTGAAAATCGGAATGTCGTTTTTCGGACCAAGAACCCATCGAGAGTTTGATTCTTTAAACTTATAAAAATCGAAAATAAACAAATCGCATTTACGACTTTTGGTAAAATATTTTTCAGAATATTAATAATAGACATTATAATTCTTAGATATTATGAAATTCAGACTCGAAAATCGGAATATCGAAATTCGGAATAAAATATTTCGAAGTATTTGGGTGTTCCCGTTCCATTAGATCCATATTTTATCTCACTGTATACTGTAATGGCTATATAAAACAGAATAATTAGCAACAACTAAATGTAACGCGAATTGTGTAATATATGCTACGTGGTTGTACTTATTACAATATGGTAATATTAAGTAAGTGTGGACAATGTATGTTTTAGAGTCATAAGTCATCTTTCTGATCGTTAATTTTGGAATAGGTAGTATTTTAATTTGTATTGGTGGTATTTCTATTTGTTGTCTCTTTTTTTCTAGCCATAGATATTATGTGTGTGTGTGTGTGTGTTATTGCGTTTGTGTTTATGTAATTACTTGCCGATACTTTCGACATTAAGGGTTATTAAAAATTTAAATTGTTCGCTGGCCGTTCACTAGTTGTAAGTTATTGTATTTATAATAAATTTTAGTGAAACTAAACATGACAATGTTTTCAAGGAGGATGTAGGTTTACAGCAGTTTAATACTGAAACTAATTACCAATATAAAAGAGAACTGTTTATCTTTAAATATTTACAAAAATACGATTCATTCTAAGAGCCGTAATTTTTAATGGTCTTGGACTGTCAGTCTTGGCTCGCATAATTCATTTAGCGCAGGAGGTGCAGGGACCTTACAAGTGAAAGTACTTCTTTGAGCTAGAAACATTTTTTCGAGCTAAAAGCTCTTCTATGAGCTAGAAGCACTTCTTCGAGCTAGAAGCACTTCTTTGAGTAAGCACTTATTTGAGTTAGAAGCACGTCTTTGAACAAGAAGCACTTCTTTGAGTAAGAAGCTCTTCTTTCAGTAAGAAGCACTTTTTTGAGTAAGAAGCACTTCTTTGAGTTAGAAGCACTTTCTTAAGCTAGAAGCACCTCTTTGGGCCAGAAGCACTTCTTTAAGCATGAGCAGAGCCCGCGGCCTAATTAATGACTGCCTTAAGTCCAAGTTTGTAATAAGTAAGTTCTCACTTTTAGCATTTTCACTTGCTTCGTCTTACTTGAACAATGTTTTAATACAATTATGAAATGATTGATTCCCCCAGCAGTTATAAGTTTGTGATTAAATTACATAGATATTTGAAGACCCGTGAAACAGGGGTTTGAAATGTTATTTTATAAGTAGAGTAGCCAACTGTATGTTGTACATTATACCAAACAAAAGATAAATATGTGATTTTTTTAGTATTAACTTCAAAGCACTCTTTGGAGCAAAATCATTCTTCAGGAGAAAGCACTTCCCATAGTTAAAAACTTGAATGTGATTGTCTTTATTACTTTATCTGTGATTGTAAATTTTATTGTATTGTTTTATTTACTGTGATAATCTTTATAATTGATTAAAATTAAAAAAGCAAAGCTTACCTTCAATTTAAATTAGGTACTTTGTAATTTGTGGCATTTCAATATTATATCCAATAGAATTCATCTAAAAGTGTTTTTATGTCCCTCCTGAACATAAACTTGTACACATTTGGGAGAAATTACAATAAAAAAAAAGAAAGATAAATATGTATTCACTTTTTCTTAGATATAAAAAGTACAATTAAATATAAATTTGACATAGTTAAAAACCTTTAACTGGTAACATTGCTTACAAGACCCGCATTTGTCATGCTAATAAAAACCCCTCTTTACTCTTGTAAAAAAAAACCGTAAAATAATAAGCCATCTCACGTCATCTATTACGTGTTCATTGTATTTTTCTTCAGATTTACTAAATTAGAAGACAATACTGTATGTATTTAATAAGTATAATAATATCCGTATAGCAATAAGCCAGCTCACGTAATATATTAGGTGTCCATTTTATTTTTCTTCAGATTTACTAAATTAGAAGACAATATGTACTGTATGTATTTAAGTATATTTAATTATGGATACATTCTGTAAGTAATGGTGTATTTTTGGGACAATATTTTCTTGATGTCTAAGGTTTGAATGCATGAAACTGTCCTTATTTTTGTGTTGCCACCCTTTTTAGATTATGTGCAGATGTTTACATATTAAAAAAATCAAATGTACTTACTCAACTATAAAATAATAATTTAAATGTACTTCAAAAACTCAGCGAACGAATTAAGAATACAGTGTCACCAACCCTAGTCATCCTGTGTGTTGTAAGAGCCGACTCAGGGAGCAAAGCACGCAGGTCAACAGCACTGCAAAAAGAGAAGGAATACTTGAAACAAACTCAGTACCAATCCGTCTGGCCAGCGTGGAATAGCAGGTTGTTGACGATGATGATGATGAATTATGTATCATTTGTGATTTCAAAATTAGTGTTTTTGAAAATAAATTATTATTTTTCTAAATAAAAAAGTGGCATCTCAAGAATAATGCATTTTATGTCAATTTGTCGTATGTATTAAATGTGACTGAATAAATAAATGTAGCTATACATGTGAAACGTGTTTCTATTTCAACATGGGACCCCAAAACTGTTTTTTTTTACTAAAAACTACATTTTCCATATAGCTTTACTTGTGTTTCCTGGAAAAAAGTACGTTATGTCTTTATCTGTATACCCGGAGATGTGTATGCAAAAATATCATGATAATCGAATGAACTAGATAAGAGAAGGCAAACTTGATGGTAAGTGACAACGTGTGCGTTACCCCAGCAAAATAATGTCGAAAATGGTCATTTAAACGTTATAGATAATTAGTTGCTCCCCTTCTGTAATTGTTAGGCACATTTTTAAATTTGTTTCACTTAAACTTTTTTAGTTATTTCAAAAAAACATTTCCTGCTGGGGTAACGTTTGAAACGTTACCGCAGCCAGACATTTTCTTTTTTAATCGTAATATTGAAATAAATTTTAGCTAAATAATTAGTTATCTGGACTAGGTAAATGTTACAACTTATTTGGTATTTGTATTTTCTTCGGCTGCGAAGTTATTCAAAATCTTGCTGGAGTAACGTTTGTGGGTTTTGCTGGATCTCTGAAACGGGTAAGCGGATTGTAACCATCTTTTGTACATAACTTTTTAAGGATTAGTTTTAATTTGTTCGACAATAAAATAACAAAAATAATGGACCGTTTAAAAATTATTTAGGTAAGTCTGAAAACACTTCAATACGTCCTAACACTTTAAATAAGACCTCTAAAGACTCACTTGAAACGTTATTCTATTGCTTGTATATATATGTAAACTACCTTCAAATGTATACGAATTTTCGTAAGAATACTGTAAGTGACTAAAAAG